AAAAAAAAAAAAAAAAAAAAAAAAAAAAAAAAAAAAAAAAAAAAAAAAAAAAAAAAAAAAAAAAAAAAAAAAAAAAAAAAAAAAAAAAAGGAAAAAGAAAAGGACTGAACCCCGACAACCTTGAAAGAGAGATCTGGTGTCCACCCAGCCCAGATCCAATTGTTGAGCTGCCTCACTCCTTACCTTGCATAACCTTGGTTCAGCTGTCTCCATCGTCATCGTGTGCGGCGATGTCAAGGTACTTTTAAACTCAGGCGCTGGTAAGTATATTACTATTATCTGTCGCCCATGTTCCTCTCCTCAACTATCATCGTTCGGATTCATTATCTACGCTCTGTGACCTCAGTTGAGCTACCCTATTAACCCTTCCACCCTTGTCCGTCCTTCTTTTGCTTCTCCATCTCTTGATATCCACCTCATTCCTCCCCCCTCTCCTCCCCGCCATTTGATTCCACCACGAAACCTCATAAATCCTACTTATTCTCTTCACAACCCAAGTGGCTCGACGTGTGGGGTCTTATTTTTTTCTTCCTCTACATCTTCCAACCTGCCTCTTGATTTGTGTGGAAGCCGCAGGCCGGCTATACTTGTGCAATCAAGCCTCCCTGCTCTGGCCTTCTGTTCTGCCTATCATAGTGGAATAGTTACCTCCTCGGAACCCTTTTCCTTCCCTTTGGCAGTGTTTGTCTATGTCCCAGTACCGTGAACTGGGTGAGGATTCTGGAAAAATGGCCATTTCCTACGCAAGTGGACTTCCAGCGGACCATACTCCTGCTCTTCCGTCATTTCGAGAGGTGAGCCAACATACTACGCCTGGCAAAACCGACCGGTGGTTCCGCCGTAAGAAAACCAGTGAGACTAACGTACTTTTTGATAGCTACTCCCGCCTCATCTCCATGACGAGATCGAATCGACCTCATATTTCACTTCTCGCCAGCATGCGCGCGAGCGGCCTACATCAGCAGCCCACGAATTGACGTCCAATCCCCGCCCTTTCTCTGATCGTCCCTACGGATCACCCCCGAAATTGCCATTCGCTGGCGATTATGCCGCCCGGTCGAGTGAACCTCAAAGCCGGATGGCTGGGCACCCGACCGACCCCATCGCAGGCTCTCCTCGCTACGCTTCTCGTGGTCCGAGTCCTATTCTACCTTCCATCCGGGACCTTCAGTCGCTCCCTGAACGGGGACTGAATACTTCGGGCGCCGCTTACCCAGATTCAAGGGCCCTTTCTCGACCAGACTTCGCAGCGCAGGAATTCAGGGCGGGCCCGGTTGGCCCCCACGCATATCCCCCAACCAACATTCCAGGCACAGTACCGGGTGATCGGAGGAGCGTGGATTCTTTTCCCGTCATGCCCAATCAGACTGGCTATGCCTATCCCGCAATGGCTTACCAGAGTGATTCCGAACAAGCTTCTCCGCAATCCCTTTCTCATGCTCAACAATCAAATTTCGGTATCCTTGGAGATTCGATCGATCCCAAGAACAAGCGGAGACGGGGCAACCTGCCCAAGCCAGTCACAGACATTCTGCGTGCCTGGTTCCATGAACATCTTGACCATCCGTATCCCAGTGAAGAGGACAAACAGATGTTCATGACCCGCACTGGTCTCACCATCAGCCAGGTTAGTAGCAGTTCTCCCCCCTTGTCTAACAAATCAGCACATGCTTATCAAAGATCTATATACAGATCAGCAATTGGTTCATCAATGCTAGACGGCGTCAACTTCCTGCTCTCCGGAATCAGATGCGAAACGGTGGAAACGACATTGACTCTCAACGGCAATCTCCCTTCAGTGACATGGACCAGACGTCCCCGGAATCAATGCCGTCTCCTCACCAGATCGTCAAATCATAAATTTCTTGCGAGCACAATCGGGGTTTCGTTTAGCGCCGGGCATCATTCTTGATGCCATTACCGCAAGATACATCCGACATTTCATGAGTTATGTGGCTTCGGGATACCAAGAACCAAATAGACACGAGAGTTCGCCACCCCACCCATCTTTAATCTTTCTTTTTGATCATCAAAGAATTCTACGACGAGCCGAGTGAGATGGACAACCGCTCTTGATACCCTTTACCGTTTATCTAATCGACTTTATAATTATCGTGCGTGGCTTCAACATTACAGGGTTTATTTGGCTGGAACCACAGTTTGGGAATGGTAGCTGCTCAGATGTGCGGCTCCTCACCTGTGCGCCCTTGCCTCCCACATTTTGGCCGCCTATTGCGATATTGCATCTCTAGGTGTTTTTGGTCATTTTATCGGCTATCTTAATTTCCTTTGTTCTGTCTTTCTATACTAGATCAACGTGTTTTCTTCTGTCTTTTGGCGCGCTTACACTTGCAAGTCGGTTGTGATGGGTTTCACTTGGAGATGAGGATCAAGCATATGCATGACTTTTTGTACAGTATAAGTACGGATGATGTGACCATGTCAAGTTAGACTGTCTTTCCTTTTCATTTTCTGCTTAATTTTTTGGGGAGGTCATCTCAGGTTTTGGAATTAGACAAAAATTGAGAACATTGGTTATTACCCTAATAGGCTGCTTTTTGGAAAGTCCGCATTGACTCGGACGCACTTTCTCTCCTTTTTTGCTCTCCTTCATTTACCCTTTTCATGCATTTCCCGGCCCTCCTTATAAGACAGACCATGGTTGGGCTGGTTAAGGTTCCCTCATCTCACATCCGGGCGGTACCGTGCATTTCTGGCATTCGTCACAAACCCTTACCCAAGGCTGCACTGCAGCTTGACGGAAAGTCATTGGTGCAGGTTTTGTTAGGCCCACTACCGCATGAGGCGATCGTTAAGAGGAATGGAGGAGCCAACTCATTCTCAGATAGTCCCCTGGTGGGCGGTAAGAAAACCATGGAACCGCTCTCGCATTTCTGATCCGGAAGATCCATGGGTTGAAGACCATTGTGAGACGCATGCAACATTGGAATTGGCCCACTCTGAAAGGCCACCCATAGCCTCTAGCCTTGCGGTGAGCGCCGGAAAGGACAGGCGGGAGGCGTGCTGTCACACGTCATGAGAAAGGACTACGAAGGCCTAAATTTTGGTTCCGGCCAGTCGGGACGGCTAGATCGCCAAGTGCCAGTTACCGAGAAGTGCGCCTCGTGGATAGTCCAAGCCCAGTTGTTGCAGAGGCCGTTCTATGTCGTTGGACGGCGCTGCTGCTTGTCAAGTGTTCGGACTCTCAGACGGGCGCGAGCGCTTTTTGCTATTCGGCCAGCTCTTGCGGTAAGGCGGCCTTGGGATCCTGGATCACCCGAGGAGGTCATCTTGGACGTCTGTGCGGGTGTACGTAGGTCGACCCTTGGACTCCGTATCAAATTGTACTGGAAGGGAGGGGGCGACCATTGTCCATCAGGTCTCATGAGCCACACACAAACACACACACATACGCAGCATTAACTGTTGCATGGAGACACTCGAGGCTGGTCTTCTTGGGCCCCTCTTTTTCTTTTTCTTTCCCAACGGTCACCGGCACGGAAATCGATGCAAGCCAGAGACAGGCGGACGGGCGGAAGATGCCTCCGAGACCATTGGAGAAGCAGATCAGGCTCGTCGAGTGTGGCACAGGGCTTGACCCCAGCTGCACGAAGCACGGGGGAGGAGGTGAGGGAGAGGGGAGGGAGCGATTTAGAAACCAGGATCTATCCGATCTATCACATGGCGGTGAATCTGGCTGCCGCGCATGGGGATCCCAGGTACTCCGGATGTCACCTTTCAAGGTGAGGGGGGATGGTGTCGCTCGGATCAAGGATGGGCGGCATTCTACTGGAGGAGGGGGGAAGATGCTACACAGGATGTGCCTTGACAGGAACGCAACTCGAGTCAGGGCCTGCTTTGACACGACAGCTCAACGGTCGAGGGGATGCAGATGGGCATGAAGAAATACGAAGAGGTATTGCATGACACCCGTCCTAGCCCTGATCCCCGATCAGAAGATGAAGACAGGTCGGCAGGTCAGCCGGCCTATCATCAACCCTCGCCCTGGGCTTGAAGGTTTTTTCTGTACCTGTACATGCGACCGACCGATTGCGAGCCTGTCGCGAAGTATTCACCCATCGATGCAGAGAAAACCTGGAAACCACACAGCTGCACCCCACTTTGGTGCGGCAGATCTCCCTTTCCCTAGGATGAGGAGAGGATCGACATTGAAGGTCAATAATTTAGTGCCCTTTGCTGAATATTGTTGGCTCTGTGACTGCTGTACGATTAAAATCACCGAGCATCCCCGCCAGGTTGTCGCGGATCACTTTTCCCACCCCCTGGCCGTGGGATATTATCTCCACGCTGCAAGGTGTGAGTCAGTAAGGAACTCCTCGCGGCTTTATACTGCATTAACCGGTTGGGAGACCCCCACTGCGTGCAAGAACCGCGATGTCTACAGAACCGCCTCGCCACACACACCAGCCACAGGCCCGGCGTCAGCGCCTAAAGGAGCATTTCCGGAGCCTATCGTCTGTACCGGGTACATGGGACTATGTACGAAATGTAGGTGGATATGGGCTAATGCACGCGCCATCCCTGATTCATCCCAGCCAATCCAGGGCCATAGCCCTTCCCAGAGCTGCGACATGTTATACTACCCATGGAGCTCTGCCCGATCCAGTCCGACTGGAAGGCAAGTGTGCAACGCTCGGTCCTCTTAGCTGCACAGTCGGGATTGTCGTCCCTTGACGAATGACGTCTCAGAAAAAACTAAGCATTTAGGCACCTGAATTGCATTGCCTGACGGTCTGACAGGCCTTACCCCTCTCTACATGGTGATTGTCTACCTGCTGTGGTAATCCGAGAGATCATTTATCGGGCGGAAGTAACCACTGTTGAGGACCAAGTCCATCCCCCCTCTGGCGTGTTTAGTTGGCCGTCATACAAGTTCGCATCCTGGGAGCTACCCACTACCCACTTGCATGTACGTCAGTCACGGTGGCTTGTGTTCGTACCCAAACGCAATCCGGGGTCTCGGGATTTGATACACTGATACAGGGCGATCAATCCGTTGGCTGGAATCTTTGCCCAGCCTCTGGTCTGGTGTGGGGTTGAGTGTCGTGTGTCTGTGTGTGTTGTATGTGCACTTAATGTGCGTACGTATACCCCATACCAAACCGACTTATATGCATACATATGTCGACATGTCTGAGGCGAACTGCAAGCTAGATCTGCAGGCCGTCCATTACTTACCTGCCTGTCTATCTGTATGTGATATGGTGGAGGAGCTCCTTTCAAACTTACTACGTATGACAACAGATTCATATTGCATCTTGCTGGCCCCCTTTTCCTATTTTAGTTTGCTTTTTTGCTTTTCCTTTCTCATTCTTGTCCAACCCTAGCCCTACGGGCGCATGCTATGGAATGCATGGGTACCATGGTTCATCCAGCGCCCTGTGCGTTTTACTCCTCATTTTCCAAAACTCCCTGCATCCTGTTATCATACAAGGGTTTCTGCTGCTGCATCGCTGATTTCTCTCCATTTGCATGCGTGCGCTGGCGCCTATACCATAGCTAATAGTATCTTGGTTCCCCCCCATATCCATTCCCAAAGAGGCAATGACCTACGTGTTATTGCTTATGTTGTGCGATGGGGTTGGTTTGCCACCGTCAAAGTGATACACATAGGCTGGATCATTTATCCGACTGAGACACGAGGTAAGAGTTCACCTTGCTAACTCCGCAACCAACCTTAAGATGAACTGGCTAAGTTATGGAATTGGGTTCAGTAAATGTCTAGTCCCCTCTATCTTTCTCCCCTCCCTTGATTCGTTTCCGGGTCATCTTGATCTTATAGGGTATGTAGTTCTGCCTCATTTGGGATAAGTCTTGATTCTGGTTTTGGGCAGAAAAGTCAAAAGATAGAGAGGTTAGCTAGCTAGTTCTGGCCCTTCGTATGTGTGGGGTATGCACAGGGATGGTCGTGATGGTGAGTTCATTTAACGGTTTCTTCTTACTTATGTTACTGTGTAACGTAGAAGATGCTGGGGGAGGAGCATGGGGAAAGGGGGGGAAGGGGATAGTGATGGTTCGGTTTCACGTGAGTTCGCTTGGGTGTGTTATGTAGGGATGTTTTGAAGGATTTATCTACTCGAAGCTGGTTTCTCAAGTCGAATTTGGTCGTTTAGAGTGAGCAGTCTCAGGTTAGGTGGTGATATAATGGGTATTGGATGGTATGTCTGTCTGATATCTATCTAACCACCCCCTCCCCCCTCCTCTGTCATAAATATCAGCCTGATATGTAATAGTGATATATGCTAGCCGAATGAACTATATACGTACAATAGTATTTTCTTGGTTCAGTCGATGCTCATTAAAGCTAGCTAGCTAATAGCTAGGATAAACCGCATTCTGTCGAATCTGTCACTGTCAAAATTAAATATCAACTCAATATAGTCGTAAAAATATGCGACCTATGTAGAAGAAAGGAAGGAAAGCAAGATAGTAGGCACACTCTCTAATTCTAATGAAACCTAAAGGTAGTTAAACAATAGATAGATAGGTTCGTGGCACGATTAGCCAAGAGTACAGTGACACTAACTAGTATTATCTGCTCATTCGGACATCCTTTCGAAGGTGTGACTCAGTTGGCGATGAGAAGGGAAAGGATGATTAATGAATGTCTCACTTGTCAGTAGTATTTATTTAGGTTTTGTTGCCATGTAGTAGCTGTCATATAGTGGGTTGAGTGTACTTTGTGCGTGTCATTCGAGGGGATCGAGAGCGACCTAAGTAGGTGGTCAGTTGTGGTATTCCACGATCATTTGATTGGATGAGATTATTGATTGATAGTGTATGTTGCTCCGTTATATCAAGGGTTCTATTATTGGTTTTTGTTTGGTGTAGATAATAGGCAGATTTGAAGTGATAGTAGGTTGGTAGTAGATAGAGGGAAACATAAATCCGTCATTACGTTGATAAGCATTAGTGGTAGTACCATGTCAGCAGTGATGGCCGTATTGAGAACTAATGGGCCCAAATAGTACTATATTAAATCACTTCTGCTCATGTTGCATGATGTCTATTTTTGTGGGCTCAGTTATAGATATTCCAGTGGTAGGTTGGTCTTTGTTGGCTCTATGTTGATAATGGTGTGCATATGGGATATCAGTGGGTACAATTATGGAGGACAGGTACCTCTCTCAGTGATATTTATCTCAAAAGGTATTATACTGATAAGAACTCTCGTCTGTTCAAGATTATCGATAGGGTAAACTTACATCCTGAAAGTCATACATAAGCATAGTACATAAAGGAGGGTCTGTATCACATGTCATGTTCGTTGGTGATGAATTCCGAGTGGAGTGGCAATGCCCTGGGCATGTGCCATGTAATGAACTTGGCCCGAGTACATACGAATCGTAAAAGAGGTTTACCATTCTACCACTGTGGTGTGTCGGTTCCTCTATTGCTTACGGGCATCGGGTATCTGATAAGATTGTAAGCTCCACAGTAGCTCTATTCAGCCGGCCATAAAAAGAAGATAGAGCCTAGCTGGCATCGATTCTAGACGCTGCTAGGTACCGGATTGGGCGTCACTTTCCTGCTAAGCAACAGGTGCTAGGCCCAATGGCGCTACCATTACCCGGGAATGCTCGGTACCACCCTGGAAGGTACCGGCAGTTGATAGGTTGAATGGCGAGCATAGCCTGCTATCCTATGGATGTTAGTGGCCAAAGACATATGCAGGCCTCCGTCTGGGGTCACCCTCAAGAGCCAACGGCATATCGATGATTGCCCTGTGTCAGGATAGCGCGGATATTACATCGACCCATCCTCGATTCGGGATACATGACTGGTCATGTGTTCTTCCTATGCCAACGAGCATAATCTGAGGATGGCCAATCATCAGCCAATTATTCCTGGCTATAGCCACTTCGATCCCGAACAAGACAACGACTAGGGTCTAGGCTAATCGCCCTAGATGAACCAATCGATCATGACACGGGGCAGCAATTCTGCACGCAGCCTGCCCTCCCGTTTTTGGGGCGATCTGGCGGCGGTATCGGATCGGTAGTCCGACGTTGCTGCAATGGATAAACGTGTCTGGCATTGTGGACCTTCTCGAACTGGCTAGAAGCCCACAGGGTCATCGGCTCGATTCCGGTTCGCACAAGGTAGTGTACAATACGGCTAAACCTCCACGGGCCCACCGGTCATCGGCACTCTTCTGCACGCGTAAACCAGATAGACAAGCTTTGCTTGGCTATCTGATAGTCCGACTATCATTCCTGACTTGACAAGCGCAGACGGACACGATTTGCAGCGTGATCGACGCGAAGCCCGTGGAGTCATCTCCCGAGTACCCGGTTTATCCACTTCCCCCACATCTGGAGGCGGATACTGTGATGGCAGACGCTTGGATGCGAGCCCGGAGAGGCGTGTCTTCGCTATCGGAGGGAGAAAGAAAGGAGTAATGCTTGGTTATGAAGGACGGACCAGGGTGTAATTAACCCCTATGCAACCTCAGCTACGGAGTTTGGCAGGTACTCCGGACACGATGCCGTGTCTGGCCGCTGAGCCGACGGTTGCCGCTCGTGGAGTTGACCTGTGGCTAGGTGTTGATTTTGAGTACCTAATTGCTAGGCATGTTATGGAGCACTTGGAAGGGGCCAGGGGGAGCCGTAGCATTGGCATATAAAGTGGACACCATCTGCTGTTGTTGGAAGTGAAGCTTCAATTAAGAAAGAGCAGAAACGACTTTGGTTGAAGGAAAATACAGAAGAAAGTTGATCGACTGCAAAACGACGCCACCAGATTTCCGGCAACGAACAAAACAGACAAAACAGACAAACTGCGCAGAAGGCGTGACCGGCGATCATGTGTCTACAAAGAACTTGCTGGATCGTCGCGGCCTCATTATTCTCCAGCTCCCCTCCTTTACTTCCTCGGTATATTCTTGAACACATGCCTACGATTGTCAATTCCCAGCCTGTCCCCTATCATGTTCGCGCAGGGATCATGGTCTGGCCGTTGAACTCCCCTGATTATCCTGCCTGAGAGCCTACGTCTTCCGATGACGACGTGTCCGGTGGCCGAACCGCCATCCGATATTAACCTGCAGCCGGGAATAGCCATGGACAGACAAACCTAGAAGGTTAGCTAAAAGTTAGTGTATGAGGTGAGCAAGGATATACTCGGCGTTCCCTCTTGGGCTTTCCGAAATCCATAAGGGAATCCGCCAAACAGTTCATTATGATCTTATTAAGCCGAGTTAATTTAGCTGCAGGTACGGCTTCGATAAGGATGGGATACGGACTCCTACGACCTGGCATTTCGGAGATATCCGACCATCACACGTCTTCCAACAAAGAATAATATGAGCAATGAGGTGGCCCGGAGTACGGAGAAGTTGCCTCTATCGTTGGCTTCTCGTGTCGAGCGCGCTCATGGCTAATAACGTTAAAACATTGACACATCAATTCATGATAACTAACAAGTGAGACATGTGCCACTCATTCCCGAATGCAACCACTCTATCAGGCCAGTGGGGAACGCACGGCTAGCCTCGTCGACCTCCGATGGTTGGTTTCTCTGATCTGAGTTTCCTACTGGGCCATCTCAGGAAGGTGGAAAAAGCAATGGCACCATTTACCGATACAAAGCGCAGTGTTGGCTGCCAATTTTACTTTTCCACCCCTCACCCGCTCTTCTTGCCTACTGGCGCCTGGAAGTGAAATCCTGGAGCAGGAGAAAGGAACGGTAATTGGCAAGCGCTAACCAACTTGCGCCTTGTACTTTGGAGCCGGCGCTGCGAGCCGACGCGCCCCATTCCCAAAATGGCCTAACGGCCGTGAAGCCGAGGTTCAGGGTGTCCCTACTTGCAATGCTTAACAACGGACGGAATAATATTCAACAGCCCCAGCGTTGCGCTGGTCAAAAATCTAGAAGCAGCAAATTTGGGCCTGAAGCCTAGATGGCGATGCCAATCAATCCTTTCTGTGAAATGATTTAGTTACTAATGAGGGGTTGCTGATTCGCTGTGGTATATGTGATGTCTGTGTCGAAGGCCCCAGGCAGCTCGTCCACTCCCCCCGAGAACAAGCCTTGCTCAGACAATCCAGGCTCCACCGCGTGCTGGGTCCACCACTGCTGCTGACCTTAACGCGGGTGCCTGTCGATTATGGGTCGACCAGCCAATATTGGACCGATATGCCTCCTCCGTCCCGGATTGTGAACATATGATAAGGAATGATGTGATAAGGAGGAAAAAAGACGGTATGATCTAAAAGCATTGTACAGACATAACAACAGGGATGAAGTGGGCCAGTAGGAGCTCCGCCATGATCCTGGTGGCTCGAATCAGTCCTGAGAATCCCCCACGGGCTGCTGTTGTGGAAGACACCTGGGCACACTGGCACCACAAACGCTGGACCTGCATAGAATATGCTTTGCTGGCTTCGGGTCTAGACATGGATTGGGATAATATCAACGTGCATCCTTGCTATAATCCAACAATATTTCCGTTGATAGCCGACAGGGCAGGCATTCAATGTCGCATTGCAGCATGCGCCGTCAAGTGTAGAGACTAGAGAGTGAGACAAGAGAGAAAAATTTTCTCTCCTTGGTGCTGGAAAGCCCATTTGAGGGATCTTATAAGGTAATTGCCTATGTTCAGTCAACTATGGTCTTGTCGAGAGAAACTCTTTCTCGTTAAGATCTACATGATCGCTTTTGATTTTCTCTGGGTTCACGCGGTTACTTTCTCCCCGTCAATCCCCAACCGCTGTTGTGCCTGACCATCAATGTGGAACGGATAAGGGGACAAGAGAAATTGAAGGAGCGATCATAAAAAGCTAATTTTGGTTTATTATTTTTTTTTTACTTCTAAAACTCAAAAAAGAAAAGGAAAACGAAAAAGGAAAAAAAAGAAAAGGTAAAATGGAAAAAGAAAGGCGGTCATCAGTTCCAATAACCATCAGCCAAAGATACAGACGAGTTACTGACCTTCTTATCCTGGACTTCCGCCCGATCCATATCTTCATGATAAGCAGGGAGCCGAACAAATCAACGCCAACTTCAGCGGCAGTTCCTCACTAATTTCCCACTTCCCACCGGCGTCATTTTGGTCCCAACCCCCTCCCTGGAAGCAGCGGGATTTAGTTACGATCCGGTTTACATCGGAGACTCGGAAAATACCATAGCGCATGCCAATCAAAACCCCTCCCAGGGTGACTGGCCAGTATCACGACCCATTGTTTCTATCTTTCTAGAAGACCTGCAGGGACATGGATTGGCTGGCCGCCGTGCTGCCGTCCATTAGCGTCTACCCCAGGTCAAGAACGGACTGGACGGACCCATAACCAATCTAACCAAAGCCAATTTCGTCAATTCCCAGCTGGCGAGCACAATCCCATTCCCAGGGTTGGCCGCCAACTGTTAAAAGGCACTATGTGTCTCTCCACCTGCCCGCCCCCTCGATGGCCTGCGCGTAATAACTATTCTACTGCTTTTTGCCTCTTTTTTGCCTCATTATTAGTATTTTACTCTGCTCTCCAGATTGCCTGCCAGCAATTGGTCCAAAGTGGACTTTGTTTGATGACATGACTCGAACCGTGGACGAGATCAAATACGAAACGCCTTCTTCATGGGAGCACAAGAGCTTGGACGTTGCCGAGGATGGCAGGCGACTAGCTCCCCATTCCGACACTGCTCGTCCGAAAGGCCGCATACGACGATCGATGACTGCCTGTCACACATGTCGGAAGCTTAAAACTAGATGTGATCTAGATCCGCGCGGTCATGCGTGCCGTCGCTGTCTATCTCTAAGGTCAGAGGCACTACCTACCTGCCAGTTGAAGCTTTGTCCTTCTGAGCGCGACATGATACTAGTCGTGGAATATAACTGTCCCAAATTTTCTGACAGTCCACAATATCTTTAGAATCGATTGTAAGCTGCCTGAAACGACCGATCGCTTCCAAGACAGTGCTGCGATGTGGCCAGACGCCACCTCGGCGATTCCCTCCATCGAGGAGCGCCTCACCTCCCTAGAAAGATGCATGAGGGAGATGACGGGCATGATGCGACAGATGCTAGATCACTCCCCAGGTTTCGCAAATGCCTCGGTTCCGCATTTGACCAAAAGCATCATCACGGATGAAACCGCCTCGATGGAGGGAAGCCCGTCGTCCCCCTTCCTGCCTAAGCCCGTTCGCCTCATTCAGGACCTCCAGTCCGACTTCTTCGGAGAAGCAGAGACTTCCCCCGTTGACTCCCCCCTCTCCAGCGATGGTAACGCTAAGGGTGCTATCGACTCTAAGCTATCCCTCAAATTGTTGCAAACGTATGGGTGTACCTGATTGACAATTACCAAAAAAGCTGCTAATCCTTGGCGCAAATCAGGTTTGTCGATCACTTCGGCGCTTGCGTTTCCATTTACAATCTCTCCGACATCCACAACGACATGAAAGCCCCCGACTCTTTACTGTATAATACTGCATGCCTTCTAGCTTCACGCTATGTACCGGGGATACCGACATCTACCGTGCATGCTATATACCTTCAAGTGCGACATGCAGTAGTCAATATTTTGTGGGAAAAACCACCCCTGAAGTATGAGACCCTCCAAGCACTTGCACTCCTCTGTCTCTGGCCAGCAACCGCCCAGAAAGAGCCACCCATGGACAGCTGGCTGCTGAGTGGTATCTCAATTAACCATGCAATTATCGCGCTCGATTTCCTAAACTATGCGCCCTCGGAAGTCATGGTGGACAATGAAACGGCTGCGCAGCTGCGGCTATGGAATACATATTGCCTGACACAACTACAGTGGGTTTCATCTAAGATCTCCCGTCCAGAAGATAGCTAACAAGCTTTAGTTTTGCGGTCGGGAATGCGCGTCCTTTCCATATCCAGCAAAGATACCTTGACCACTGCCCACGGATACTGGAGCACCCAGCAGCAACTCTGGAGGACGCAAGGGTTGTAGCAGAAATACAGTTGTATTTGATTACATTGCGGCTCCAGAGCAATAGCAGTCGAATGCGGTTGGCGGACCTTGACTATGAGGAAATAGAGCGATGGAAGAGGGAGTGGGCTCACCTTTTCTGTAAGAAGCCTGTTCTTGTTTCCCGGGGGACTACCACTGACGAGAGAAACAGCTGGTGAAAGTTCCACATTGGAGCTGAGCCTTTGGTTCTGCCAGACACTCCTTCACCGCACAGCAATGAGGCTTCAGCCCAGATCCGACAGGCTCGCATCTGAGGTTCTGCAAACCTCACGTCTGATAATATCGCGGTTCCTCCAGATCCGGTACTCTACCGCATTAAGCCTTGTAGACCAAGTCTACTTCATTGTCGGCTACGCCGCACTGAATCTGTGCGATTTCAATCTTATGGACCCGCTCATCGAGCAAGTGCAGATGTTCCTGCTGCATCTCTCCCCGAACGAAGACCACATCGCCTACCGGTTTTCGTGCATGGTCGCCGAGTTCAAGCGGCGATGTGGCAGTGCGGAATGCAATGACCCATCATCCACTGTCAAAGGGTCTCCGTTATCATCCTACGGCGACAGTCGTAAGATGAGCATGGGGCAAGCACCGTTCATGCCACCGCTCATGGATGGCATGATCGAGGGGTACGGCTTCGAGCAACTGATGCCAGAAGTCATGCCGAGTTCCTTTCCGGATGGGATACTCAACGGAATGCCTGTGACTGGGCTAGCAGCATATCGGTCAGCGACGCTGTAAGTAATCGGGATCGAGCTGGAAAGCACATGAGTGGGGGTGGTGGTAGTAGTAGCAGTAACACCAGGGATGATAACCTGCAGCGGTGGTTTATTTCCTGCCCATGGGCTGAACTAAAACCCCGAACCTAGCATGATGACGTGCAACGAAATGATTATAACCAAGGCCAAGTAAATACTAAAATAAAATAATATAATTCCACACGATCCACTACCACCACCACCACCGGATCCATCAGGTTGCCTTCCTGCACAGGCCTATTTAGTTAGAGGGCCCGTGCCACGAAACATCACGTAATTGAGCGTTTTTGCTTCCTTGCAACTTAAACAACCCCGTAGACACTCTCACATTCACATGCCAAACTACTAACTCCTACTGACCACCAGCTGCAGGAAGCCAGCCAGCCACCATTTCCTAATCGGATATATCTCCGAAACGTACGCTTTCCTCCTTTGTTCGGACCGTTCCGTGCCTCCGCGGAGAGTTGAACGAGTCAGAACACATTCTTTTCGTTTCTATCGTTTCTTTTTCAAGGCAGCAGAGAGACGAACAAGTCAGTGCTTGCTAACTTACTTACTTACTTACTTACCCCTCAGCATTTAGTGATCTACTATTTAGGAAAGAGTAATCATTCATTGAAGACAAGATTTTTATTTCTCCGATCGACCAAACAAAACGTTCAGGTAGACTAAGTAGTAGTAGTTAGTAGTAGTATGTCTTTGACCCCTTTACTCCACTACCCGTTGGCTGCTGCACTTAGTAGTAAGTAACTATCTAACCAGTTGCCGAGGAGAGGAAAGTGAGTGGGTGGGAGCCGGAGGATGCCGCCGAGAATTATTAAGTCGATCATTGCTAGTTAGTTATCTTTTCATGAGGAAGGAGAGGGGGGACGGGATTAGAGGAATAAACTTTTCTCTCTAATTAATTATCTGCATTAATTAAAACTTGGAGAGGAGGGTAGGGGAGTTGGGTATTGTTTTGTTGCTGTGTAGGTAGGTGTGTAACTTTTGGAAGGAAATTGACAGGATGATGCTACTATGCTGCAGGCAGTAGGAGGTTGTTCATCTCGCTTGCCCCGCCCGTAGATGGTTGGGTTCGGATGTAGATACTTGATGGAGATAAGTAGGGGTTTCGTTTCTTTTCTTTTCTTTTTCTTTTTCTTTTTTATGATGAAGTATATTTCTCTGGTATGTTCGTATGATGCAAAGGTTGAGGGTGAATTTACTATTGGTCTGCTGTTGGTATTGGCTGGGTGTCAATAGAAATAAGTTTAACTCCGTTGTTTCGTGAGGTTGTAGTGACCGTGGCTTTGAGACACTAAGGACTAGGTACAACTACTACGTCGGTGGTAGTGATTTTATCCATACTTTGCAAGCAAATGAATACTATGGATACTAATAATATAAAATGATCTTGAAGAATCCATTACACATAGAATCATCACGTCACCTAATAATATATACTGTCATCTGAGACATCCCAATCACGTCATTATAGCAATAAGCACCTGAGCAAAAACTCTACAAATTGAAGTCAGCATCTGGATCACGATCACAGGGGTCATCGTCTAGTGACCATGATATGATCTGACACACTTACACAGTGTAGCTCAAGAACAACACGCCTCCTCCTGCATCCTTGAAAACAGTGATCGCAGAGCCTGTGCGAAGGTATTAATTGATCAATCCATAAAGAATCAATGCGATGGACACGCATGCAAATACGGCTTATTGAAACATATAGGCAGGGAACTAACTGCAAAATGAGCTTCCATTAACCAACTTATCTGCAGGATAGAGGATCCGCGGTAACCCGCTCTTCATGGGTACTGGCACCGAGCCATTTGAGTTGACTGTTAGATTCGTGCAGGTATAGATTTCAGTAATCTTTTGGCCGGCTGTGTAGCCTGTTCCTGGGAGGGAGAGTGTGTATGAGGACCCCGAGGCGCCAAGGTTGGAAAGGACCGTGATAGTTTGGGTGCCATTGTAGCCTTTGCGCATGGCAAGGGTCGAGGTGTCTTGGTAGATGGGGTAGTTCTAAAATAGGTTTTAGTCAGATAGATTGTACCACACATGAACTCGAATGATGATTACTTTGTAGGTGAGATATCCGGTATCCTGTTTTATAGCGTGGGTGCGGATCTTGTTCGATGCGGCGATATGGGTGTAGAGCTCGCTGGTGGTCTTGTAGCCTGAAAGCCAGGTCGCTTCACGGTTGTAGGGGTCATTACCGCCGCTGTAGTGCTGTTCCTGACCGGCGTATATGATGGGGATGCCGTCAGCCAGGATAGTGAATGTTGCGGCATTTTTGGCTAGGGACATGTCGCTTGTGTAGCTTCTGGAGGTGAGCTCTTGTGTTTGTAATGATGAAGTCGGAGAGGATATTCTTACTTGGCAAAGCGTGGGTTATCGTGGTTTTCGACGAAGGTCCCTAGAAGCGTAGAATCTCTGCAGGTGGATTTCACGGTGTTGATCATGTTATAAAGGTCGCTGATACTGCCGTTGGTGGATTCGAAAGCCCGGAGGAGTGGATAGTACCTATTGCAAGTCGTTGGTAAGCATTCAATGGGGATGAATGTAGGGCTCACATGGGGTAATTGAGAACTCCGTCCAAGTCTTCCTGATAAGGACAGGTGTATGAGGCGTCCCCATCGAAGACTTCTCCAATACAGTACACGCCTGAAGCATTGTTGTAGCCGGGCCAGAAGTTCTTCTGTACGTTCTTGACTGTGTCTACGCGGAGGCCGTCGACTTGATGTTTGTTAGTCTTTGTCTCATAAGAGGCAGAAAATAGCGAAGTAAAGGTAGGATTACCGGAGTAGTTAGAGACAAGAGACTCGACCCAGTCATACCACATATTCTTCACCTCCGTACTGGTAGTATCAAGATCCGGCAAGGCAACGGTGTTATCACCTAGCCAGCAGTCTTCAACATTTGTCTGATTATTGTAATTGGAGATCCAACAGAGGTTGTGAAAGTACTTTTGCGAGTTGAATGGCCTATAGACACTGTAGTCCACAGAGCTCCCCGTACCATTGTGACCCTATCGCTGTCAGATACAAAGCTAAGGTCCTGTGGGGGGACTGAGAACATACCATGTGATTGGCAACAACGTCCACCATGAGATACATGCCCCGTGAGTGAAGAGCTGAAGCCAGAGCTTTGAGATCGTCTGCTGTACCATAATGGGAGTTCAGGGCATAACTGTCTGCATGGTAAGAAGGAAATACATTCATCCGGGCGATGGAGGTTCTCACGCGTCCTGCTGCCAGTATCCGTGATATGCCTGTCCGTAACCAGTATCTTGGGGGATCTGTGCAGTTACTGGTGTGATCCAGATCGCTGTAAAGCCCATTCCTTGGATATAGTCCAGCTAACGGATGTTAACTTGCCAAACAAACGTTGATGTAGATAGTGCTGCAACGATGGACGGACCGACCTGATTGATGATGCCCTGCCAGGATCCACCGCAATATTGCTAGATCTGTCAGCGAATCAATTGGAGATTCTAGAACATGCTGTGACTAACCCGAGCGCTCAAGTCACAAGAAGCAGTGGTAGAATTATCCGTTCGCGCAAAGCGATCGGTGAGCAGGAAATATATCGACTGAGAGCGCCATTCTGCAGGCGTGGCTGCCAGAGCTGTAGCCACGAAAATGGCCAGAAACAGAAAGATTGTCATCCTTCTTGTCAATTTTTCAAAGATATAACTATATTTGAGGAACGATCCGATGTATCAAAGGAGAGACATGATGATTTATACTAGGTTAGCCAAAGCAGGTCAGATCCCGTTGGATTGAGTAAGGCCAACATGACAATGTGAGTTGTCACTTCCCATCGGAAGACCATTCGACGGGTCCGATCCCAGCATTCTATAAATAGCGATTACATGCTTCTCCGTGTCTTGGAAACTAGGCTGCCAGTTATTGATGTACCCGACTGTCAGCTAGATGAGATTTAAAGTCTTCATTCATGAACCGACAAGGATGCGGGGGGAAATCCATCAGCCCCTGGCGATCACGGGCGGGTGTGTTCGACTGGCAGGGTCCCTTCCAGCGAATAGTGGCCACAGGCCGGCGGTTTTCTCCTCGGCGGCCGTCTCGGCAACTATAAAGAGCAGTGCGTGTGAGAGAGTACCTTCTCTGCTGCCCCGTGCTGGGTGTTATCGGGTCCATTTACAGAACGTTAGTCATGCAGGAATGCCGTGGCCGCCGGTGAAACAAAGGTGGAAGTTGAATTCTGATTTCTAACCAAAGAGCTACATTGCAGAGCATCGTTCCCATGTTGCATGCTGTACGCGCACACCTGGCTTGTGGCTGACACTACCATTCCAACACCCAGTTTTCCGCCCATGCGCCGCCCTTCGTCAAGTTTTGCAGCCCCCCAACAAAGAGAACCTGGGACGTAGAATTGTACGTGACAGACCCGGGAAATACGGCCTGTCCATTCAGGGTCACCGCAGAGGGCTCCTTGTTCACTCCGAGCACCGTCACATTAGCAAGCGGGTTCCTCTCTTTCCATTTTCCTTGAGCCGACGAGCGCAGGCTTGACCGCGATGCCGTGAAGTCCACATGGAGGGTGGCATTGGGGTAGATGCTCTCTCCATCATCGAGATAGAGCTGCCCCGACGCGGTTCCATTGCTTCCTAGTGCAGCTAGCAAAGCCCACGGGGTTTGCCGGGCTTCACGAGTGGTCAATGCCGGCTCTTGCATCGGCAAGATGTTTCCACCTCGTACATAAACTGGGATGTGGCCCAATGGTGCCGAAATGGTCGTGTTGACCCCGGGCTTCGCATCAACTGCAGCCTGGGTGTACCAATCGTACCACACTTCGCCATGTCCAACTCCTGGGAACACGCCCTTGACCGTATTGACCAGAGGCTCCAATACCGGGATCACCATGATGGCCGGCCCAACCATGAATTGAGTCTCAACCGCAGCCAATGTTGGGTCATTAGGGAATTCCCAGGAAAGTGCGCGCATTACAGTGGAGCCCGTGGTGTGGGCCAGGTCAAACAACGTATAAAAGTAAGGTAGGATGGCGTACCGAATTCTCATGGCGGACTTGGTTGCCTCAATAACAGAAGCCCACCGATAAGGCTCCTGTGGGATCGTGGAGAGCTCATTGTGGTTTCGGTAGAATGGGAAGAATGCGGACAGTTGCATCCATCGGTTGCAGAGCTCCTCATCGGAGTTTCCGTTAAACCCACAGGTGTCCGCACCAAACATTGGAATGCCGAAAAGTGAGAAGGAGAGGGCTTGCGAGATGGAGTAGTACATGGACCACCATTTGGAATAGTTGTCGCCGCCCCAGTGGCCTGCCCATTTGCCAGAGCCAGCGAAGGTTGAGCGGCCAATAATGAATGGCCGCCGCTTATGAGACCAGACCTCAAGCAGACCTTGGTAGGTAGCGTTCAATCCTTGATGTCCGTAGAGACCGTGCACATCATACTCCTCAACACCATCAACATGCGTTGCATTCGGCGACACCGCATGGACACTGAGATCATGGCCTTCTTGGTCATGGTTGATCACATAGGGTGGGTGCTCAACATTGCGGACACCAGGCGTGGGCGTTGTCCGCAGATATGATACCGAAGTCGACGTGGTGGTCGCGGTTGCTGCAGCCTGACTGGAAGCTCCCGCCGAAGCTGACGCCGCCTCTGTAGCGTTGGTGATATTGAAAGCCTCTGGGTAATCATATATGATATCACCAGGCTCACCGGGGAGAAGAAACGATGGGTGTGCCGGGTTCAGAGTCAGGTTACCTGTGCCACAGCTCCCGACACAGAAGGATGAAACTTCAGACATGTCGTACCACACACCATCGAACGCCACTTTCTTCGACCAGATAACAAGCTCGTTAGCCCAGAAGTCAACTGCCTTGGGATGATGCCAATCGGGGAAGACTGTATATCCTGGCCAAACGGCTCCAATATAGAGGCTACCATCGGGATTCTTGAGGAAGACGTCGTCCGCAGCTCCTCTGTCATACGTAGCGTATCTGTATCGCTAATTAGCATACAGGCAGTAATATAATTTGTCACTAGACACTTACGCATCAGAGGCATTTTCGGGATTAGGAATGTAGAGCGCCGCATCAACAATGGGTACATAGTAGCGTCCACTCTCATGTAGCTTGCTGAGAAATTCATCGCCCTCACTGTAGGAAAAGCGATGTTGATCGTTGTCAAAGTTGCGATATCCGTGCATGTAGTCAATATCGGTCCTAAGTGCCTGTTAGACTGTTTTGAGATACCATAAACCAGTACAATACGCACCAGATATATTCCAACGGGATCTCAAACTTCTCAAAGTTCGCAACAACGTCCGCCAGATCCGACCAGTTGTTGTAGCCCCAACGACATTGGTGGAATCCAAGAGTGTTGTATTGCTGCATGGCCGGTAATCCCACAGTGCTGGTAAGATATTGCCTGGTAACATCGGCCGGGGCGGGGCCTGAGTAGAAGGTGAGATCGATTCCTCCACCTAGGGTCCGCCAGATCAATTTTTGAGACCGGAGGAGTATCTCAAGTCCATGAGAGTTCCTCAGAAACACGCCATGAGAGAGGGAGATATAATCTTGCGAGGCATCAGCCTCGCTGCTTTTGACGGGAATATAAGACCCATTCTGCCTATCTCCTTTGTAATATCTTGTATCCAGATAGAAGGGATGTTGGCCGTAGAGATTTCTAGGACGAGTAAGTTTCAAGAGTAGAACCAGAAGATACGGGCGGGATATCAGTACTCACTGGTCAATAGGTGTTCCATCATCCGAAGGATATATGGTCAGATTAGCATTTCTCTGGAGGCGGAATTGCGTGATATGCTCCCCAAGGCCATACAAGTTATATTCTTCAGGGAGCGCGGTCACAAATTCGATGAACTGATTCTCATATACGAGCACAGTGCCTTCTGTACTGAAAAGCGCGTCGCCTGTAGCCTTTCGGATCACCTTGAAATTGAACGACGGCTCATTTGACCATGACACAAAAAGGTCGCTCTGGGATACAGATGCATTGAGGGAAGCCTTGGGTCTGGGAACCAGGTTTTCCGAAAGAAAGTACCAAGAAGCGTTTGTGGAGTCAACATGAGTGGGGAGAATCTGAATATTCAGTCGATCCGAATCCTGGTACTCCACAGACAGTGTCAAGGAGTCAACATCTGTGCCGTATACGTTACATGGCCTGCCCGCGAGCTGAAGACTGGCAGTAAATCCACGTGAATTGTGCTGCACTTTTGAAGCCTTGTAGCCCGGACAAACCGACTGCGCGTCGGCAGCCTGAGGATCATCGATGTTGGCAATCAGCTGCGCACCGACATCTGCGGAAGCAGGAATGGTAAACTGTGGCTGCGAAGGGGCAGTGGTGGATAAGAGTGACTGGCTCGCTCCATAAGCCAGAGGGACAAGCCATGCTCTGGCAAGGAGATCCGTCAACTTCACCATGGCTCGCTTAAGGAGGCTCGAGGCACGGTCGCGTAATCCTTGATGAGAATGGAACAGCTATAACCCAGATGTGCTCAAGGAATGCTCGCGTTATTTATATATAGCTGGGTTGAGGCGACTAGATCACCACTAGGAGCAGCCTCCTATTGACATGACGCTGTGCGACCGTACCCGAAGGCTCATTGCGCCGGTGAATTCCCGACGTGTAAGGGGCAAATGCAGATATATTCTTATGGACTGCGGAGAATCGGCAAAGCTAGCGACCGAATTGAGTTCATAATGACCGAAGAAGAGGAGAGAATGGGGCAGGTAACGAACAAGCACCTACCTGATTGAAGATATTGTTGTGCTGGTGGGCTGGTACAGCACCTTATCGTAAGCGAGATCATGGAGAAACCAGGACAACTGGAGAAGCATCGACCCCAGTTGGCGGGGGAGCTGGGGATTCTCCAACGATGATTTGTTGCACCGGAGAAACGGGAGTGGATACTGCCGAGTACCGTATTGATGCCTGAGGGGCCTGGCAGCCAGACGATCAGATGATGAGCGCACGCTGATTGGCTCTCATCCCGATAAATGACCGAGACCCCCTCAGTTCGGGCTTCGGCTCTGACGATTCTTGTGCTCCAATCCAGACTACAATCGCGACCCGACCACTTCGCGCCGCCTTTTGCACCTTCCCCAGAATGCTCCCGGTGAAGATTTTCAACAGCAGACTACCCATGCTGGTTTGAAAAGCAGGTGGCACTCAATCTTGCTTCTAAACCTAAAATGATGAGCAATGAAGGCGGGGACGAATGAAGATGGGTTTCGATTAATGAAGACACTTACCAGGGCCCCTGACAGCGAGGCATTTAATGGCTTTGATAATCATCTCATTTTACTAAGTAGGTCACAAGTCTCGGCTTCCCGAGTGGGATGTTCACCAGTGTTACGTGAAAGCTCTTTCGGACCGTCATTAGCATGAATCCCATCGTCAGCGAGTCTCAGACTCTGTCAGCTTTTGACATAAGAAAACACATTGACAATGCTTTGTGCAGGGGTGCTGATTCTCCGAAAGTACTCCGTAGCGCATGGATGATGCCCTTGGTCCCAATGATGGATCCTTCAGGCCGGCCCAACAACTCATGGCATGCCCACACCACGTACACACAAAGAGTCTCTAAACGAGTCGAGTCGTCTACCGGATATACCGAGGCAATATCTGTCATGATGGCTCCGTGACATATCATGGTTCAGCCTACGCTTCTCTCGCACTTGAAGGACATGGCTTCGGCCTCCTGTCTGGAGTATACCTGACCCGCGTCATGGCTCGGGCGGAGGGTCCACCTGCTAAACCAGGAAGCCATCCTGGGACTAAAAGACTAGTAGCTCCAGTCGAGGTGATACCCCCTTTGGCTCAAGCAACGGGCCGAAATGAACAGGCCAGTCGTAGCAGGTTAATGGAGGTGGCTCATACCGCGGGGTCCGGGTAGCCTGGAGGTGCCGACTTTCTCACGGTGTCGCTTCCCCGCCGCCCTTCCCCAGATTTCTCTCCTTTGGTCTCCCCTCCTTTAGCAATCGCATGATTTTCGGTGACTGCTCACCTTGTGGCCATCTTGACCACCGAAACTTGTCTCACGAGTATCATTATTTCTCAAAATACAATGAAGTCTCCAGAGTCTCGCTCCACTGCCGCTGCTACTGCTAAGTTCTGACGGGAGTCACACTTGTCTCCGCATACAAATGGACTCTCATCCTTCCCCTACCAAACAAAAGGCCTCCAAGCAAGCCTGCGACAACTGTCGTCGGCGTAAGATCAAGTGCTCGAGAGAGCTTCCCTGCGATAAGTGTCGACGCCTTCTTCTTTCTTGTTCCTACAGTGATGTGCTCCGGCGCAAAGGCCCCAAATTCCGCACCTTATATCCACTTGCGCCCATTCATCCCCTGGTATCACGACAACAGAATACATACCAACAGAATTCGTCACAAAATCCGTTAAACAAGCAATGGACTGCAGATGGAGTGGGCTATCCGTTAAGCTCACCAATGTCGCCTTCTTTCACAGTGGCAGACCCTCAATACTTACCCCATGACGCTCCCGAGCCGTTCTCTCAGTTTCCTCCGCCAGAGCTAGTCTCCTCACCCGACTCAACCAATTCATTGTCAGACTCTAGTATGGCACTAGTGCGCCCTTATGCAAGACGCCTGTCTGCTCCGGTGCTACTTGCTCATGTGAATGTTTATCTAAAATATCTGTTCCCCATCATGCCTGTGGTGCGGAAGGAGGAGCTTCAACAAGATTGCCACCAGCCTGAACGGTTATCGCCCCAACGATATGCCTTTCTTGTCGCCCTATGCGCAGCCACACACATCCAGCTGAAACTAGATGGCACAGCATCTGTCCCAGAACCTTCACACCTTCAAGCCGGGATTGACGGGCATTCCTGGATGTCCGGCGAAGAGTTGCTGGCTGAAGCAGTACGCGCAAGGAAGGATTGCGACCCAGTAGACGGCATGAACATAGAAAGCCTTCTTACGTCTTTCTTCCTGTTTGCTTCGTATGGTAACCTGGACAAACAGGACCATGCCTGGTTCTACCTTTGTCAGGCAACATCCATGGTCTTCACGCTCGCACTCCACCGAGAGTCAAGTTATGTGGATCTGAGTACCGAAGAAGCAGAGGAACGACGCAGGGTGTTCTGGCTACTGTTTGTCACCGAAAGGTAGGTGCATCCTATGAAAGCATTGCCCATTTTTCGACTAATGTGAATCAGGGGCTACGCACTTCAACAATCGAAACCGGTAATGCTGCGCAATTCAATCCGCAAGCCTCAAGTACTTTGCTCCGAAGATCCTATTTTGGCCTACGGTTTCATCAATCTTATTAGCATCTTTGAGAAACTGACCGTCAACCTTTATGACTGGGTCTCTGCGGGAGGCATGGACGGCTCGTCCGAGATGCCCCCAACGTCTGCTATTCAGTCTAGTCTCTGCAACGCAATTTCGGTCGACGGAGTCTCGGAGATTCAAAAGGTCGACATACTCATCACCCAGCAATGGCTGCAGACAGTAATGTGGAAGCTTTCTATGACTCGCGCTACTCAGCCTGGGTCTCGCGATGAGGCGGTTCTTCCCTTTCATCTCCCCGTTCTTGTCGGAAAAGCCGTTATGAATGTTATTGGTGCTGCATCCCAGGGAGCTGTTGATGCTCACGGCATTGGCATGGTCAGTATCTTAGTTCCGGCGCAGCATATGCCAATGCCATTTACTAACAACATAACAGGAACAAAAATTATTCGACCTGGGTTCCTCAGTTGCAGACGTGGCACGATCACTTAATTCCAAGGCTGCGCACCGCCTTACTGAAGCGGCCGTCGATCCTCGCGAACTCCTTTGGGGCATTCTCACCACCTTATCACGCATCCGCGGCTCTCAGTCCTACCTCTTTCCTTCATTGTTGGAGCGATGCAAAGGCGCCCTGGACTTCACCTCCCCCACGTCGATGGGTAACTTCCTTCCTCCCTTATCCACTGCTTCCACATGGGAAGAGGAAACGGGGCTCGCCGTGGTTTCTGTTCCGGAGAATCCTGACCCTCATGAACAAGAGGCAGCATTAATGGAGCCGCTATCGCAGCTCTTACCAACTCCACAGGTGCAATTCCCGGAAAATAATCTTTTGAACTAGGAAGGCAACTACGACGATGACGATGCTAGCATTAATCCGCGTTTGTTACGACTTTGCTTATGTTATGATACCATTTATCCGGAGACTATGTGGCAATGTATAGGGCATGAAGGTGAACTGTATGTAATAAAGCATGTATATAGGTGATGAGACTATCTATATGATTACCGATTGTGGTCGAATATTAGCTGAACCACCACGCATTGCACTGGACTAATCAGCCATCACACTTCTGTTAATCTGAAGAAGTGGCATGGATTTTGCAAATTATTTCTTTTATTTCAGTCTAACAGCGCTATACAAAGCAACACAACCGGGTCCATCCGAGAATAAATGTACAATTGGTATGGAAGTGTAAGAATGTAAGAAACCCAAGACTATGTACCTGTATCGCGCACGAATCTGATATCATCCCAAGCTAAACAATCAAGTCAAGTTTCATGATCTATGCGCCGTAAGAAAGAAGCAAAATTATAAACGTGGCTAGCGTAGAAGAGGGAGTGAAAGGAATATCCCTCTTCATATATGAGTGAGCAAGTCAGGGGGGGAGACATGAGATAGAACCTGTAGCTTGAAGAAGCAGTACAGGTGATTTTGATGGTGGTGGAAGGCGAAAATATGAGGGCGGAGAGGGATGGGAGGGATTGCGCAAATGGTAGATGCGCAATGCAGACGGGCGGCCAATCTTAGGCTGTCCGCCAGATCAACTCTAGAATTTGATCACCTTTCTCTGGGTCACGGTGGACGTACCATTGACGGACGCGGTTTCCGTCAATGATGGCGTCCTCATGCAGGTAGCTGATCTTTCCCTCGTCCTTTAAGCGGAGAGGACCCAGCTCATGCAGGTATGACTCGAAAACTGCACCGTTGTGGCTGTCCCACGTGAGCTCCATGCTTCTGTCGCCTGGCTTTTTCTCGCTGCTATACTTCACCACCGAGAAGCCGTTGGTGAGGATCCAGCCGTCTCCAAAATGCCATTTCCGCAGGAGACATGAATCACCGCAAATTTCGGTAACAGCGCTGGCTTTGGCCATGTCTGCGTGGAACCAAGACTTCCAGTGATGCACTGACAGCGGCGGTTGTCGTTCCGCCTCGAAAAACCCGGACACATCGCCCATCATATCAAGCTGGTGCAGGCGGTGGTCGATGGTTAAACGAACATCGGTGTACTGGTAAATGCAAAGGGAAATTCTGCGGTCGCCGGTTACATCCATTCTCTGGCAGTCCTCGAATACTTCCGGCCGGCTCAATTCTTGGATCAGAGGCCGGGACAAGAAGACGCCAGCGCCTCCGAATCCCATCAACCCGAAAACTCCGACCTGTGGGATGCTTTCAGACAGCCCACCGACATACATAGGTTTCGTATCATCATACTCCTTAAGCCCTTTCACGAGCTCTGGCATCGAGAGGAAGAAAGTATCGTCGTCCATGACGCACGACCATCTTGTTTCAGGACGCATATTCTTGGCCAGATGAGGGACCAGCGAAAAGTATCGGCGTTGGTACTCTTCACTCGACTCCGATATTGAGAGATTTATTCCAAGCGCATCGGCCTTTAGCAACACCTCGTGTGCCCTCTCATCGGGCTCAACCAAGGCAAAGATGTGAGCATTGGTGTAACCCGCCCAATGAGAAAACGCGTCCAACGAGTCATTCAGCCGTTCTATCGTTGTAGCGACACCAAAGTCGATGTGGGATGCATCCGCATGTCTGGGGGGTGTCGGGACTTGGAGCGCCACCGGGTGTGGTATTAAGCAGTCCTCATGCATGAGCTCCTCCGGTAGATGAAGTTGGTCGCCATGGGACTTTTGCGGAAATAAGGGAACTTGGAGACGTTGTGACAGGGGCAAGATATTGCTGGGGGACTCAGAGGCGACTACTTCGCGTCGCACGTATTGGGTCAGTTTCTGGACATTCAAGCGGCGGAGAGCTTCATAGTCCGGTTCGCAGCCAACGTCGGATGTGATGGTAATGTTGGAGACGGTTTCTGTGGTCACGCGCGGGGATTCTAGACGGGGCCAAAGGAAGATGGTGAAGCTGGTAACGAGGCAGCTGATGACGACAAACCGCAGCAGCTTTCTCTTCCCCATCGATGACCGCGGCTTGTCCGCAGTTTTTGCCCACATTCTCGATTTTCCACTTCTTTCAGGTATAATCGGTAGATGGATGGATGGCGTAGGACGAGATTATCAGAATGATCGCACTAACAGTGCAAAACCATCTCGAATCTTCCGGTAGGAGTGGGCAAAGGGGGGTGTGAGTACCGGGGGAAGCAGGGGAGGGTCGGACACTGGAGGAGTAAAGGAGGGAAGATTGGCAGCGAAGAAGGGGGGAAAGAAGGAAACGTGGAGAGGAAAATCCAGAGGATAAAATGAACAGCAGACGATCTCTGGACCCCAACGGATGGAGGAAAGAAGAACGCGGAAAGAATGACGAAGGTCAGCGGGCAAGCGACAACGTCAATGGAGCCAAGGTTGAAAGGGAAGGCTGATAGGCGATCAACGGGGCTCCAAAGCAGCACGGCGACAAGGAACACAAGAAACAAGCACTTGCACGGCTCGAAATTGGTCGGATCTGACCTGGCGGAGACTGGCGACAAGCCAGGGATCGGCCATGCCCTGGACTTTGGGAAGATGGGACACTGGAAGCCACGGATGGAGTCTACGATGCTTGGTCGAATAAGAGCCGGTCTGGCCGTCAGGGCACACCTGCTGGGTGTCCACTGGGGGCCCTCGATCGGCCATTCAAACACGCTCTAGGAGTTTTTAGTCTGATGCTTTCGTCTCCAATGTCTCCAGCGATGGACGGTGACACTCTCCCCAGGGTTGCGTTAGGGGTCCGGCTTAGTGGTTTACCCTGTACCAGTTCCCCCATCGCCATGGCTCATGGCGCGGTCGCATTCTCGCTTCCGATGGCAAAAGACGCCGCCAGCCAGGTGGTTAACATCTACGGTAGTAACGGAGCCTACACGGTACAACTTTCCATAGAATATTGGTTGGTCGATTTGATTGCCCTAGCCTAGACATCCGCGGGACAGCCACCGTCGCCGCAGCAGCTGGTGGATGGTACAACCGCCCGTTGATTGACGCGCATTCCACTTGGGGGCGATGGTCCAACCGGACAGCGGGGCGAGGGCTTGATGACGACGGCCGCAGGCGAATCGCTTGGCAGTGCGTCTCATGATGGGCTTATCGACTTACTTATCTGGTCGGTAGTGTGTTTGTGTCGCCAACCAGTTGCATAGGGAGAAAAGCGCTGCTGCGGGTTGGCGAACTGACCAACAAGTGGTGCATGTGTGCATATGTTCTCGTCTCAAAAGCACAAAAAGGCATGCTTCTGCTAAGACTATCTCTGGCACGACATGTCAAGAAGTTTTTGATAAGATGACAAGTCGTTATCCCTTCCAGTGACCACGCGTCGACTCCATCAGGGAATTATTCTCTTCCTTTGCGAGCCAATGGCAGTCATAGCCTTTTTCCGGCACTGCAGTCTCATGGCATTCGCTCCAAAGTATTGACTTATGTAGATGGTCGCTTTAATTTCCCCATGGCCAATCGCGGTGAAGCTGATGGATTCTCATTATCGCTCGTCGTCGGATGAGTTCGCGAGCTATGATATGTAGTCTCTAGTTCCTATTTCTTCCAATCGGGCAGTGATAATTATAGATGTTGCCAAAGCTAATTAACACCACTAGTCAGGTATAAGCATGGGTCATATTACGTGCATGACCTCGTACCGCCTATACACGGATAAATTGTGGTGGGATGAAGGAAGACAAATACTATTTATGCATCGGCTCTGCATGTCTTGGGTTCATCATAACGAAACTGAACTATCTTATTGTCCCAACTGAACAGCTTATCGTCAAGAATTGTCTGGTTGTTTTTTGGTGTAATCTGCCCCTGCATGGTTGCATGCAACATTGCTCAGACAAGAATAATCAAAAGCAACGCCGTGGCGCCATGAGTAAGGGGCATGAAATGTAAAGTAGGCAGAACAACCCGGTAGTCTAGACCATGTACAGGGAATTGTTGTTGCACAACAGGGTTGACATTAGATCAGTCAAGAACCCCCCGACCACTGCACAATTATTTCATTCGTACTATGGCCACAAGTCACATGGCGAGCCGGGGGACTACGGGGAGCGCCCCGCCCACTTGTGCAGAGTTCCCCAATGGGGAAATATCTCGATCCCGCACACATGGCTTCCAGCGGAGGCCACTTGCCTGATCATCCTCGACCAGTCTATACCCTCGGCTTCACTACTCTCATTTCATGTGTCCCTATTTGTGACTCGATACTTAATCTAATTTCACTTATCTCCGAGCCCTCTTCGGGCCCTCATCCCGCTCCGCGTTCCGCCAATTGACACACTCCGCAATGGCTGCCCAGTCGCTGAGCTCGTTGCTGCAACGAGCAACCATTGACGACCACGAGGAAGTCCTGCAGTCATGCAATGCCGCGTTGGCCAAGTCGAAGTCGGACTTGCATGCTCAGCATATCAAGGCAGTTGCTCTGCTGAAGCTTGACCGCTATGAGGACTGCCTGCGAGTATTCGAAGAAGCCGGTGATGGTCTGAAGAAGAGAGCAGCTCTGGAATACGCCTACGCTCTATATAAATGCGGTCAGCTGGACCCGGCGATTGAGGTGGTATCTCGCGTCGCTGGTGAGAGGGGCGCACTACATTTGGAGGCTCAAGCCGTACGTTGTTGCTTCCCATAAGCATATCTACTCCCAGACATCTTCTGTCATAGTCTGTCCGCTCATCCTAACTCTCATCTTCCTTAAAGAGCTACCGTTCAGAGAAATTCCGTCGCGCTGCCGAGATTTACGAAGAATTGTCCAAAGGCGATGCGTCCCTGTCGAACGAAGAGAACGACTTGCGCATCAACTCATGGGCCACGGATGCACAGCTGCAGTGGAAGGGCTACCCCCAGTTTGTACGCCATAACAGGCCGATGCGGGATGATCTAGAGGCGTTCGAGACTGTCTATAACGCAGCTTGCTTGAGTATCGCCAAGGGCGAGTTCCAGCAGGGGCAGGTTCTATTGACTCGGGCTAAAGGTTCGTGTGGTCAACCCCGGATGGCGCACAAGAATGGCAGCTGATTAGCTTCACACAGAGCTCTGTCGGACGTCGGAGGACCTCACCCCTGAAGATCGGGCTGCAGAGCTGCTCCCGATTGCCGTGCAGCAGTTGTACGTCTTGCTTCGCCAAGGGAAGTCGGAGGAAGCACAGTCTGTTCTGGAGGAAATTTCCGTTAGCGAGTATGGTTGTCACAAAACCTGGTTGACCTTGAACGTCTGAAGCTCACAAAATTTGATAGTATCCCTGAGCTCTCGACGAAGAAGATCGCGCAGACCAACATCACGCTTGCCCGTGGCACGACCACTACCAATCCCTTCGCTCTATACAAGGCTCTTCACGAGATCCCCGATTCCACCGACAGCGACAAGCTCTTCGAATACCAGGATAACCTCGCGACGGGGAACTCATATGCGGCAGACCTCCTCGTTCAGAAATACGATGGCATTATCCGCTCCACCTCCAAGGCGCTCGCTCAAGCTGCCTACCCCTCGACGGAACCTCGTGCCAATCTGCTATCAGTCTACAACGCTGCCGCTCACGCACGCGGAGAAACAGGCACCAAGGCCTTGAAGCGGATACTATCTGCGCTCGACAAACGGCCCAAGGACCTTGGCCTCGCCCTCACAGCCGTCCAGCTCTACGTGGGTGCGGGCAACACGACGTCCGCGATCACAACTCTAGAGCGGACCCTGCAACTGCTTGACGAGTCCATCTCCGAGCAAGACAAAGCAGTCCGCTTCAATCCCGGCCTCTTGAGCATCCTCGTATCCCTCTACAAGTTGGAGGGCCGTAAAGTCCAAATCCGGACCGAGCTCGCCAAAGCCGCAACATACTGGCAGGCCCAAGCCGCCGAACCACCAGCCTCCCTGCTCCGCGCCGCAGGAGCATCCCTCCTGCATTCCTCCGATCGCTCCGACCTAGCCAAAGCGGGCGACCTTTTCAAGTCTCTCTACCAGAAAGACACGACCGACCAGTTCGCCGTAGCCGGCTACGTCGCCTCCCAGGCAACGCTCGACTACTCCAAGGTGGAAGCACAGGTCGACACTCTCCCCTCCGTCGCCGACCTGATCTCAGGCGTCAATATCGCCTCCCTCGAAAATGCCGGCATCTCTCCCTCCTCCGCGGCTAACGCCGCCGCCGCCGCCGCCATGGCCGGCGCGCGGAAGAGAAGCGCCAAGGATAAGGAAGATCGCGCAACCAAGCGTGTTCGCAAGGACCGTCTGCCCAAGGATTACGACCCCAGCAAGACCCCCGATCCAGAGCGCTGGCTGCCTCTTCGCGATCGGTCTTCGTACCGCCCCAAGGGCCGCAAGGGTAAGCAGCGCGCTGCGGAGCGGACACAGGGTGGTGTGGTGAACGAGAAGGCTGAAGAGTCCCCGGCTCCTCCCACTCAGAAGGCTCAAGGAGGAGGTGGTGGTGGCAGCTCGAAGAAGAATAAGAAGAAGGGCAAGCGGTAAATGCAGTTAGACAACCACCGCTTTTCTTTCTTTCTCATCTTTCCCCGTTTCTTGCATCGCATTTGCTGGCAGGATACCAATGTAGTTGTTGTTGCATGTTGCGAAACGAAGCATGTGAATGATATTTGATATTCTCGGGTTGTAGCTAGATAGAGCACACGCTGATGAGTGAACGGCCTCTCTCTCGAACATCCATCGTGAAAGCAATCTGAGCCCTCTTTTAATCAACGATATGCATGATACACATATTACCCGTCCCTTGACCCAATTTCATCCCACTAGACTCCTTGCCATTAATAGAAGAGCAAGCATGATGCTCGAGTTAATTAGTAAAAAAGAGATCCCGGCTTGATCAACGCCCCCCCATTCATCCCATCCCAGCCTAGCAAATGCATTAGCAATCTTTCCACCCTCTCCTTCCCCCAACTCAGAAAACTGAAAACTAAATCAACCCAACGGTGTCCGAATAGTCCCACACTGTCGATCATACTGCTCAAAGATGGTCTGAAACAGTCTCAAATCCTGGATCGCATCTCTCGCCGTCGTCTTCACGGCCTTATCCGCAGTTAAATACGCATGCAGGGCCTTCAACTCCTCGCGATAGCTCTCTTCCCACGCACTCACGGTCTCCGTTCTTTTCATGTCCCCGTTCTCATCAATGGTCTCGACGACCACCTTCACCCCATGCCGTCGACCATATGGCAGCCCGTACTGCACGCTCACGGTCTTCGTATCGCCGTAGACGGTGAGATGCGCGTCGCAGCGAGGCACGGCATCCGTGCCGGTCTCGTACATGAGCGTGAATGGATGTTCGCCCTTGCCGCCACTGTAGTAGTGGAAGACGGCAGCGTAGTAGGGTTCGTTGACGGAGATGCTGGACACTGCATCTGGATAGCCAAGGGTATCGCGCATGAGGCCTAGGTCGTGACATCCCAGGGAAGCGAGGAACTCGCACAGGGCGACGCGCTCCTTGCTTAGGTCCTGGCCGAGGAAGGCTTCTTCGAGGAGACCCTGGAGCAGCTGTGGGCGGGTTTTTCCGGCGATGGAGTCGTTTGATGGCGACGAAGGGGGTGAAATGGGGAATGGTTGGCCGTGTCCGTTCACCTCGTTCCAGACTTGCTTGCGCGGCGCGGTGGCCGTGTGTGCGGAGCTGGGGCCTGCGATGTTGCGACACCGCGCGTAGTAGATGCGGTCGAGACTAGCGACTTCCTTTCTGAAGACGGAGGAAATGCTGGGGGCGTAGCGACGGGCGCAGGCGACGAAGACTTTGGCGCCGTTGGGGGCGTGTTTCTCGGCTTCGATGATGCGTTTGGCGCTGGGGATGCTCAGGCTCAACGGGGTTTCGACCATGACGTGTTTGCCGGAGTTCAGGGCCGCGACGGTGTAGGTCTCGTGATACTCGTTTGGCATGAAGTTGAGGATTAGGTCGATGGTCGGGTTGGCTAGGATGTGGTCCGGGGTGGGGACTACTGGGATGGTGGCGCCGTGCTGGTGGTCATGGTCGTTGCACACGCTGCCGTTCGTCTTGCAGATGCTGCCGTCTACCTCGTTCTCGTATGACAGGGGCTGCTTGGAGCCATCGTGGATGGCTTGGACCTGGAACGAGGTGGGAAGGGCACGTAGGGCTGGGAGATAGATGGCTTCGATGGCTTTGGCACCTTCGTCTGCGGTGAGGATTCCCACACGCAGGATGGTTGGGGTTTCGGTCATTTTTGTTTTCTTTGGATTCTGTTGATACGCGTTACGGTGAGGTTAGTGTTTGCTCTTCGTTTTGGTTGAGGGAGTGTAGAGAATGTGAGTGACGTACTTGTTTTGTGGTAGATCAGTTGTGCTACTTGATGAACTCAATCTTCAGGGAGGGATAAGAGTGAGGATGAGCTCTGAAGATCGAGCGACGGTGAAGAAAAGAACATGGTCCGAACGTTCGAGGGATGGAATGAGAGTCTGCCGAAGGGGGAAAGTGAGGTGAGCTGGTATGTATGTATGAAGTGCCAAGGGGGCTGGTAATAATGATACCGACTGGGTGCGCTGCACTCAGTCCCTTGGAAAAAGTGTTCAGCAACACTGAGTGAGGTGTTTGAGATGAAACAAGGGATAAAGAACAGTACCTGGGATGCTTTTCAAGGATCCTCAGGAAAGGTTTGTGTTACAGTTCTTTGAACTTCGTCGCAGGGATGTGAAGCTTTTTGTTGGACCGCAGGTGGCATGCATGACATCAGTGGCCGCCCATGGAATCTTGGTCTTTGTTGCCATCTCGCTCTGTCGCCGTTCTTCTTCTGATTTTATGCTTAATGCTCTGAAATGATCTAGAAGCTCTGAAAATGCTATTTTGGACTACACCAGGGGTCCTGTTGATCTGGTCTGTTCCAGCCAAGCTAGCGATGTAGCTTGCCTGGCTGCGCTGATCCGTGCGTTCTGTCTGTGTCTCCCCGACGATGCCTGCGATGAGGCCCATCGTTGATTCGGCAGATCGTCTACCCTGCAAGCTTATTTCTAACTACTGCATGCAGAGACGCCTTCAAGTATGCCCCCAATCCCATGACCGCCGTGGTTCCGAGCACGAAATGGCAAGGGTCAGCTGGGTTGGTGATGGCTTGTTGGGTTTGCTGTGAAGTCAGTCTGCAGTCATATTGAGTTATCATGTGCAGCGCTTGGTCAGCTGTGGCTATAACAGCCATCCATGGAGGCGCAGGTGAAAATCGTATAAAGGCTATTTTACATCTTTGTGTTGAAAAGAGTTGCCTGTCAGCAATTCAGCCTTGCCCATGTAACAGATTCCATCGAGCCTGATCCTTGAGGCTGGCAGAATGACCCCGAATGGATGAGATCAGCCCTACGGAATCATCCAGAGCTTCTGGCGTGCGGGGAACGGGATGAACTATTGGCTTGTACATACTTTGGATTAGTAGATGCACTCCTGCAGGGACTAGTTAGTAAGTACTCATCAGGCTTGAGTACTAGTAGTATTCGGTAGGTGGCGATACATCTTTTTGATTACCAGATAGCTTTGCTATTCTGCTGTGTTCAACACATCTCTCACTACTACTATTTACCATCATCAAAGTAACCAACTACCAAGATAAAGGGGGCCATCTGGGTATAGCTTCAGGACTTTCCCCAACAGCAGTGGGTCTGCAAGAGGGGCCAGTCGTCATCCCGTGGTCGGCTAGTCCCAGTCCAGCTGTTTAGCTCTTACTTGGATGGATCTCTTCACGGGCAGTGCTTTTATAGTGGCAGTGACGCCGTAGTGCCGTCGGCCTTCTGCTCTCCTTCTGACGCCATCCTTCTTCACCATCCTATCTATTCCTTCTCCATTTCTCCCCGATTTATTGTCCCCCCCTCTGATTATACTACTACCTACTGACTACGTAGTTGGACGTCAGCTGCTTTACAAAGATGGGGGTAAGTGCCCAACATGGCCCCTCTCTCCTTTTGCTTCTCTGTTTTTCTTCTCTGCCCCGCGTACCTGCCCCGCTTCACCTCAGTGTTTCTACTTTTTTCTTGAGGCCATACATACTATAACATACCATTCCAAGACAATTTAGCCTCGAGCAGGCTGCATCGAATACCACCCAACTAACCGCTGCATCCTGCACGTCCTTTTTAGTTTGCATCCAAGATCGCCGCCAGCCAGAACCCACCACCCAACATGAGCGCAAACAGGCCCGGCGTCTATGGAGGCGCACCTCCGACAGGCTATGCTGGAGGACCTCCAGCTGCACTGCAGCCTGGCAATAATCCTTCGAATGTGAGTCCCCGCCCTACCGGGCAAAACTAAACCTTTAGTGAACTCCTCCGCCCCTCCTCACCCGTCTTTCTTTGAACCGTTCAATTTTATCCACGGTGTCTTTACCCAGTTCGTGTTCAATTTATCACACTCCACAAAAAGCTGACGCATCTCTTCGCGACCAGCAGCAGCAGCAGCAACAACCGCAGTATCAGGCTTATCAAGGCTCCCCTGCGCCCTCTGGCGGTCCGGTAAGCTAGAACTTGTTTTTCTTTCTTTCTCGTGCCTTCTTTCTTTTCGCCCTTTTTTCCCCGATTTTTCATTCGGTTGGCGCTGCCCCTCCTCACTGCTGGGTCACCCTCGCCCTCCATCGTGAGTCACTCTCATCGAATGAAAGAGAGCCAGGGTTCACTTTCCTCTCCACTGTGGCCCCCTTTTGCCCCTCCAACCTTCTCTTCGCGCCCGTGTCACACTTCTGCTTTTCTATTTCTTGCCCTCCCCGCTCCTTTGCTGGAAAACCTGGACGCCATCTTCAACTATGTCGCGACCTTATTATAACCAACACGGCTATCCGCCTCAGCTACGTCCGGGTTCGGCCCAGCAATCCCCATATCCGACTTCGTCGCCCCCGCAGCAGCAGCAGCAGCAGCAGCCACAGTATCAAGCCTACGCGCCTCCATCGGCCCCTCCAAACAAGCCAGTTCCCTCACCATCGCCGGGTCCGCACCCAGCTTATTCGGGTCCTCAATCGCCTTATCCAGGCTCTCAACCGTCCTACTCTGCGCACACTTATCCGTCGGCATCTCCGGTTCCTCAGGCTTACTCCCCCTCGCCCTATGGATCTCCGGCACCGCCGTCGCAGGGCTATTCGCAACCATCTCCATATGTTACCAGAGAGGCTCCATCCGGGCAATATGGACAACCACAGCAAGGCTATAGCCGACCCCCGCCTCCCCCGCCACAAACTCAGCCATATGGAGCTCCTGGGCCACAGTATCCTCCGCAGCAAGCCTCTCAAGTACATACCATTACCCAGACACCCGCATTTGTTTGCCAAAGATCTACAGTCGCGTTTCTTACGTATTATCTTAGAAGTGGTGTGACTGACATGCTGATTCGATTCAATGGTTTAGGGCCCCTCATACCCCCCGCAGAATGCACCTTACCCCGGCGGACCCGGCGGACCGGGAGCACCATATGGTGCCCCTGGAGGCGCTCCTCCCGCCGCCCGTGCATCTGACCAGCAGATCGCCGCCTACAGACAGCTCTTGATCGGGACTATCCAGGAGAAACACCTGCAGAGCTTCTGGCCCCCAGAGAGACTGGACAGATTGGTTCAGGCGCTGGCCAACGAGGCGCCAGGAAAGGTCAACAAGCTGATGCACGAACTCCGTGTGCCACAGGAAGTGGCTATGGACATTATGAAACTGTCTCTATTCGACGTCATCCTTTATGTGGATGACAGCGGCTCCATCGAGTTCGAAGAGCGTGGCGTTAGAAAAGAGCAGCTTGTGCAGATCATTGAGATTGTTGCCGCTGCTGCGTCCACTTTCGATGACGATGGCATTTCGGTACGGTTCATGAACAATGTGGAGCAAGGAGATGGAATCCGCAACGCAGAAGACGTCGGTCGTCTTGTCTCGCGTGTCCGCTTCCAGGGCCTTACCCCCTTGGGAACAAGCTTGCGCAACAAGGTCCTCGACCCCATGGTTGTGGGCCCGGCCAGAGCAGGTCGACTGCAAAAGCCAGTTCTTGTCATTACCATCACGGATGGACAGCCCGCCGGAGAGCCTCTTGACAGCGTCTCCAGCTCCATCGGTTACGCTGTGAGCGAGGTCTCCCGGACTCAATATGGACAGGGTGCCGTTTCTTTCCAATTCTCGCAGGTGGGCAATGACACCAAGGCGCGGGATTTCCTCGCTTCGCTGGATGAAGACCCGAGAATTGGCTCATTGATTGATTGTACTTCCAGTAAGTTCACTATGCTAGAATGGTCCTCAGCACAACTGGTTAACTGATGTTATCACCAGACTTCGAGGTCGAACAGGATGAAATGTCACGCGCCGTGCCACCAGTGTACTTGACTCGTGAACTCTGGGTATGTTACAATTCACACATCAAACTGCAATTTACTAACGTTTGTAGTGCGCTAAATTGATGCTTGGGGCTATTGATTCCTCGTACGACACCAAAGACGAAAAGGCTGCCGGCAGAGCTAGTGGTTCGGGTGCTCCCCCATCTGGACCTCCCTCCGGACCCCCCTCCGGGCCTCCTGGAGGAGCTCCCCGGGGTGGACAGTACGGTGGCTACAGCCAACCCGGATATCCCCCTGCTCCCAGCTACGGCCAACCTCAGCAGGGCTACGGCGGTGGCCCGGGCTATGGCCAGGGATACGGTCAAGCCCCATACCAGGGTCAGGGCCAGGCGCCAGCACCAGGATATGGCCAGCAATACGGTGGTGGATATGGTGCACCCTCTCCTCACCCCAACCAGCCTGGATACGGACAGTCCTCCGGAGCCCCGCGGGGTTACTCTCCCTATCAGGCACCCCAGCCACCTAGGTACTGATAGATCACGTTCGCTTGTCCTATGTGATGGGATTGCAAGACTGGGGCGCAAATGTGAAGTCTCTTATTCTTAATGATTGTTTTCTTCGGACTTTAGCAAGCAGATTTTCGTAGGCGGGAGGACAATGGCTCGCATGGCAGGCTAGGTGAAGGGCACGGATAGACCCAGTTACGTGATCAGCTTATTTGTAAAGCAAAATTGAACAATGGAGTCATGATACTTTCCTCAACTGACCACTTCCATCTAACTCTCACCGATGATTGATCGACATGAAGTTGACGCCGATCTTCACATTCTTCCCTACCATCGACGTCATCTCTCAGCGAGCCCCACAGTAATCCCGAGCAATCACCAATCACAGTACGCGCTGAGTAAATGTCCAAACCCACCCATTCAGGCATCCAACATCACCAGGCCTTCCATCTGACCATCAATGCCGGATACGAAAAAACGAACTACATCTCTTAAAGCCCCCCACCCGAGCAACATATTCTCTCCGAGATGCACGATACGCAACTGCCTAATAGAAGTATCTAGGTTTCTCCATCACGTCCCCATCCATTCAAACGGCAGTCTATAATATACTTTTCATAGATCCACCATCATCCCATCAGGCGGCCATATTTCTTTCCCCCTGGTCTACTCGTAATGTACTATAAGCAAACAAGGAAATGTATGACAAGCGGATACTTAGGCAGCTGTCAAAGAAAGTTTCTCTTATTCCCATAAAATAGCGTCGTAATGACGGGGCCATATGTAGGGACGTTCCCACGGACAAGGAAGGGTTAACCTCCGCTGGCTGGATGCCGAACTGTGGGTGCAAGTGGCGTAGAAACCCAGGGGAAAGAATGAACCCGCAGAACAGTTAGTTCTTGGGTTGATATGGGTTGGGTTTGGAAGGACAGGAACAGAACAGAACGGAACGAAATAGAGTTTCGACTTAGTTGCCCTGCTGGGGGATCGACTTTTTGTGGTGTAGATGTAGGTAGTACTAGTGGTTGGTTATGGGGTAGAGTAGTAGGTCTACGTATGTCTGGGGTTGCTTGGGACTGTGGTTGGGTTGAATTTGGTTTGCTGATGGCTTTCTTCTTCGGCTTGTATGGAGTGAGGATCTTAAGAGTTTATGATGGTTGTGGATGGAGTGGGAAGATTGTATTAGGAAGACAATCTGACAGCAACTAATCTAGACGAAACAGTTTGAACGAAAGCAACAGATGAAGAGTGAATAAATCATGCTTCTACAAGATACCTATATCCCTTGGGTGCAGCTAAGAAAAAAGCTGCGCATTTGCATATCATCATCAAACATCCCTTCACGAGTCGACATCCTTACTGAAAGGAAAATCGCGGAAAAACACAGCCGTGGCAAGTCGCAGTTCCATGCGGGATAGATGAATACCAAGACAACCTATGCATGGTTAGCTTCAATATATTAGTATATCGTGTGAGATGATAAATACTTACTGCGAGATCCCGCCCCCAGAGGGTAACGATGCGTCTTCCATCTACTTGCTAGGCGAGGCCCATCGTTCCGGGTCAGGAATTGAGCGGGTGAGGAAAGACTCTCGGGTCCGGTGCATACTATATGCCTGTGTGGATACCGTTGCCCCTCCAGGGAGGCTGAATCCGGCCAGGTGAGTGGCTCTCTTCAGGGACAGTCCTCAGCAGTGCGTCCGGAACAGCTGTGTATAGTCGCAATGTCTCCTTGATGACCGGATTCAAGTAGGGTAAGCTGCGGGTATCTCGATCAGTGAAGGTTTCCGGAAGTTGATTCAGTCATGGATTCAGGACAGTATCTTTCTTGATTTTGATGAAAGCGCTCTGTCTAAATATAAGTAGTGCTGTCCTAAAATGTACTTTCAAAATTAGGGACTGCATTCGCAACTTCCACCAAAGGTGACGTGCACTGTCAATTGCGCTCAAGGTGAAAAATGCTCGTCAACAATTTCCAGATGTTTGCAGCCGTTCCATCAATGACATCAGCCCCGAAGCTGTCGAGAGTGGTTGTCTCATTGGAGTCCATAGTAATTCGCCTCATATTCTCAACTTCGCCTTGATCCATAGGCTTCGAATCCCGGCAAGGCACCAATGAATTCCATGAAGTTTTTCAACAATGCCAGCATACTCTCTCCAGCGTGGTATCTATGACAAGCCAGTGAGAAGATACGCCTTTGAACCAAGCAAGATGGCATAAAGCAGGAAATGAATTGACCTTGGGAAAACATCAACTTCTAACAAAACGGTATCAATACCTTCTCCGGCAAGCACGGAAGCAGCATATGACCTCCTTGGACCATCGCCTACAACTAGAACTGTGCATTCTGCTAGTATAGCCATAGTATTGGCTGGCAGATCAAGTATTGCAAAGATGCAAGCAAAGGTGAAGATACTAGAGCACCACAAACTGTAGTGGGAAACAACCAAGAACTATATTCGAGAAGATATATGGCGGGGTCCTATCTTGTTGCGGAATGTGCTTGATTATGCATGAATTATGATTGAATTGCATTACCAAAAAGAAGATCCTGCAAAGTCTCTCCTGCAAGGTAGATAGATGTAAGGAGTAATATCCTTATAGCCCTTGCAATAATCATATGACATGTTTCGATATTGATGTTATACAAAGCCACTTGTGAAGAAGCTGAGTAGTAACCGGTATAATTATAATACTAACAAAAGCTATGATACTGGTATTATAGAATACAAAAAGGGCTATTGATGTAGCTTATATTAGAATAAAGCTTATAAGTGCTAGTAAGTACTTTAATACCATGTTATTCTCTGTTCATAGGATGATGATTTGCTAGATTTAAATCCATGGACTGTAACTATAACAATTACTGATATGACTCATAGTCCAAATCCGAGGCGGACGGGACAGTGGAGGTGGAATTCGCTCGAAGGTAGCGAGGTTATTATATATTTCTCTGGATGAGTGGAAGCGGGAAGGTTGCTCAAAGACTATGGCAATGACAGCGTGATTGCGGCAGAGCTGCGGAGCTGGCTGTTTTCTACTTTGGAGTATCAGATCAAGACATTGAATTTGCTTGGGGGGGGAAGATGACGATTAGCAGGTTGGGAGAGGAAGCGAGTAAGGCGGGAGCATGAGTCTGATAATGACTGTGTAATAGTAATTATTGCGTACTATTTATTACTGTTGATCGAAAACCAGTCTTCCCACGTCGGGATGCGATTCGGCTATTCAAGCTTCTACTAGAGCATGATACTAGCAGTAAATTGTCAGTTCATAACTTCCTTGTTCTGCAATGATTGATATAGCCTTATACCCGCACTAATCCCCGAGTAACCAGTAGTAGTTAGTGAACTGTAGACCACTTGATAGTAAACAATAACTGTAGCCTGGCAGGCAGCCAAATAAATACAAGTGGTGAGAGATACGGAGTAGATGGATAAGAATAGATGGGCTACGAAGAATAAGAAAGTCAAAAGAAAGTGCCAGGCAATAAGGTAAGCTGTGAGTGGCAGGCGGTCAGTAATGGCAGACCGGGACCCTGTCAAAAGTAAGTGCTTATCCATGGTTGACTGAATGTCGAATGGTTAAGGATTGTAACTGTGGCAAATCTGACTGCTTGGACGTTTGAACCCACCACACACTTACGTACACTGGAGTTAGTACCGGTGGCGTGATAAGTAGGGAAAGCAATCAGATCAAAGTCCTGTCAATAGCGGGGGGGTTAGTTAAGTAGTACTTATTGACAGGGGTTATTCCGCCACTGAGAGGTCATTCCGAGGACACAGACAGTGCAGTGCATCTGTCATGGAGACGCGTATTACTACAGTAGTAGTGCTACAATCATATACTGTTCGACAAGGACATATTGTACAGATCCGATCGCAACGTTACTTCAGTCGGAGTTGAACCCTGGAAACTGACGAGGGGCAGTGCAGCCAAAAAGTCAAACCGAACGAGATGGTTTGCGTGGCCCCCAAGCCACGTTCAAAGCCGACGGCGACCGATGAGTGGCCCGCCGCCAATTAAGGTGCCTCCGCAAATTCCCCATCAGGTTCCAGTTTTGGGTTCAGGCCTTCCTTTCGAGACTCCCTTTTTGCCTTCTGGCTCGCCTTCTCGACGGCCTTTTTCTTCTGGTTCTGGTTCTTGTTCCTCTCCTCCCACTTGGAGTTAGTCCGGTTCCAAAAGAAGCTTACCCTTCTTTTTCTTCCAACTCTTCTCTCCTCTGCTCTCTACTCTTTGCATTTGCAGTCATTCCTTTTCCCTGCTTGCATCCATCAGTGGGAAAAAAGCAGACGGGCTAGGCTGGCTGTCTTTAAATAAAATTAAAATCCGGCTGCAGTCAAGTGGCGGCGGCTCTATTGTTCTTTCGGCCGTCTTACCGCTTCCGGCTGCCTCATTTCGTATTCGCTCCAGCTGAACAAAACAGATTCAGGGAAGCTGAACTTACTTGGTTGGTCTCTCTTTCTCTCTCTTTATCTCTCGCCGCCTGCGGAAAAAGAGGTTGTTCCTCTTGACTTCTTCCCGTATCCTTGTCTCTTCTCTTCTCTCCGCGTGGCCTTTTCCCTCCCCCTCTTTACCCCCCCCGTCTCCCTCTCCACGCTTTATACAGTCTTGTTCCTAACTCACAGTGGAACTCGCCTCCCCACAGTCGTTTCCGCCTGTTTCACTTCTACCCATCGGCCATCGTCGTCTTGGCTCTCGCCCCGGTTCACCTCCCCTATCGCTGCGACGAACTTTCCCCTGTTTCAGTCTATCTCTGCGCGAGTCGCTTGTACAGTTCCATCGCTAGTCGCTTTCGGGGGTGCTCACATGTGCTGGCATAAACGAGTCCGCTGTCTCTGACTGTTTTTTCCGGACACAAAGAATGAGTCAGGCCTTTCGTCATACGCAAGATACGACTACGACCGATACGCCATTTGATTATTTACCTTCTGCCTCGAGATCCGAAGTGAATTGATAAGGAACGCAAGGAGACGGATATTGTGGCACCCACATCACTGTGGACATTTGCAATCCCGCCATGTCCCAACATGATGATGTACCCGAGTCCAATCACGGTCCGCAGGAAACCACGTCGGCGGAACAGCATACAACCAGAGGAAATGGCAGCCCGACTCCAGTACCACCGCTGCCACGGAGTCAATCCTTGGATATAAACCGTGCTCGAGGTGGTGCTGTGCCCAGCCGACCGTCTCTTTCTCCATCTCGAACCGTCTCGGATGCTGGCCGAAGATCGTCGCAACATCATGTCCGATTTTCGACCGACTTGGAGCGTCCGTCCCCGGAGGAAGTGCGAGGTCCTGACACTGACCGACGGCCTGGATCGAGGGGGTTAACAATCAATACGAATATCGCTCAATTGCAGGTGCCTTCGTCGGGCAGGTCCCCAGGCCATAGCGCAACCTCGCCTTTGTCGCCCAATTCGACATTGTCCCCTCCCTCCCCGCAGAGTCCGGAATCCGGTGGTCGGTCGAGGTCGCGTCATCGTGGGTATTCGCTGCGACGGACGATCTTCGCAAAGAATATCGAGTCGGCTGTTACATCTCCGGGTGCGATTGAGCTGGGTCCAGCTCAGGCGGTTAGCCCACAGGAAGGAGCTTCTGCTGATGTTTCCGAGCGGAAATCGGAGGAGGTACCGCGTCAGTCCACCGAAGACGAGAAGCAAGACGTTCTAGTAACGCAAAAGTCCGCATCGGATCCAAATTTGGATTTGTCGACGACATATTACTCGGAGTCTTCGGATAACCTCAAAAACAGCAGGCACCTCTCCACAAGTGTGTCCTATGAGAAATGGCTCAAGCGGAAGGCTGTCGTTGCCACGCTGATGCTTCGTCTGGAGGATATGCTCGAGACCGCACGTAAAACCATCCTTCGTATCAAAGACATCCCTCCCAGCAAAGACGGTCGGCACATTGACCTTGACGCGACCCGCACCGAAGCTCTCATCGATGAGAGGACCGGAAACCCGTATGTCGGAAACTCCATCCGCTCTAGTCGTTACAGCTTCTGGAGTTTCTTTCCCCGCCAGCTGTTCGCGCAGTTTACGAAGCTGGCCAACTTTTACTTCCTTATTGTTGCAATCTTACAGATGATTCCTGGCCTGAGTACGACTGGTTCATTCACCACCCTTGTCCCGCTGTTGATCTTTGTGGCAATTTCAATGGGCAAAGAAGGATTCGACGATTGGCGTCGTTATCGTCTAGACAAGGAGGAAAATAACCGATATGCGTTTGTCCTTCGTCCTGGTGCCGGTATTCCCCCTCAGATGTGCGCTAGCGACAGCGTGTCTATTTCAAGCGAGTCTCAGGACTGGGTCCCAGTGAAGTGGAGGGATATCAAAGTTGGAGACGTCATCCGAATGGAGCGTGATCAGCCTGTACCGGCAGATATGGTCCTGCTCCATGCAGACGGACCAAATGGTGTCGCTTATATCGAAACCATGGCTCTGGACGGTGAGACCAATCTAAAAAACAAACAGCCTGCTCAGCCTATCGCAAAAGTCTGTGGGACAGTTGAGGGAATCTGTAGCAGCGCTCTGCATTTTGCCGTGGAGGACCCCAACATGGACCTTTACAAGTTTGACGGGAATGTGACCATTGCCGCGGAAGAGAAACTTCCGTTGACCAACAATGAGATCGTGTACCGCGGTAGTATCCTGCGCAATACCGAATGTGCTTATGGCATGGTCATCTATACCGGCGAGGAGTGTAAGATTCGGATGAACGCAAACAAGAACCCTCGCATCAAGTCACCCTCTCTCCAGGCCAAGGTCAACCGGGTTGTTATGTTGATCGTGCTCCTTGTCGTCAGCTTGGCGGTAGGATGCACTCTCGCTTATAAGTTTTGGTTCCATCAGCAAGTCGAGCCCAAGGCATGGTATCTCACCCAGGCGAGTGTAGCCATTGGGCCTATCTTCACCTCCTTTTTGATCATGTTCAATACGATGATTCCTATCTCACTATATGTGAGTATGGAAATCGTCAAGGTCGCCCAGATGCTCCTACTGAACTCCGACATCGACATGTATGACCCTGAGACTGACACTCCGATCGAAGCTCGCACTTCCACCATCAACGAGGAGCTAGGCCAAGTTAGCTATGTGTTTTCGGACAAGACAGGTACTTTGACCAACAATTCGATGCGCTTCCGCAAGATGAGTGTCGCTGGCACTGCATGGTACCATGACTTTGATCTTGTCGAAGAGGCGGCCAAGGCCGGTGATCATACGAAGTTGATCCACAAGAAACGCAGCGCAAAAGGAAAGAAGGCGCTCAGCCGCAAGTCGAACGTCTCGGAAGCGCGCAGAGAGCCTCCCCGAACCTCAATGTCCATGACAAACGGCCTGGACGGACGTGGCGTCTCTATGCGCAACAACCGTACGACCGATATGATCAAGTACATCCAGCGCAAGCCTTACACCGTCTTCGCTCGCAAGGCCAAAATGTTCATCCTGGCGATGGCGTTGTGTCACACTTGTATCCCAGAAGACGACGAACATGGTAATGTCTCGTTCCAGGCAGCATCACCCGATGAGTTGGCCTTGGTTATGGCTGCTCAGGAGCTTGGGTACCTCGTTCGCGACCGGCAGCCGAACACGCTTACCATCCGGACCTATCCCAACGGATCGGACGACAAGCCTTGTGATGAGGTCTATCAGATCATGGATGTCATCGAATTCTCCAGCGCTCGTAAACGGATGTCGGTTGTGGTGCGGATGCCTGATCAACGCATTTGCGTCTTCTGCAAGGGCGCTGATAGCATTCTGATGCGCCTGCTAAAACGTGCCGAGCTCGCGCAGGAGAAGGCTGTGGAGATTGAGAGGCGCGCCAGCAAACGCAAGGCCGCTGAGGCTGCCCAGGTAGTGCGGCGCAATAGCGAGTATCACAGTCGTAAGGATAGCGGGCTTCGGACCAGCTTTGGCCGGCCTAGCATGGCTCGTCGGCGATCAAGTATTACCGGTGATCACGTATCGGCTCTAAGAGAAAGCATCGACGTTTGGCTGCGCGACCGAGAGACGGATGGAGGTATATTGACACGAGGGGACGATCCTGAATATTACAGTCCTCGCCCCTCAGCCCAACTGGGACGCGCTTCAAGCACATGGTCGGACTCTGGCAGCTCGATCCATGAAACCGAGGAGGAAGAACTTGTGGAGGAGGCCTTGGTTGTAAACGAAGCTGCCGTCTTCGAGCGCTGCTTCCAGCATCTTAACGACTTTGCAACGGAGGGGTTACGTACGCTCCTATATGGACACCGCTTCCTTGACGAAGCCACCTACAACAACTGGAAGGCCGCCTATCACGAGGCCTCCACTAGCCTTGTCGATAGACAGGAGAAGATCGAACAGGTCGGTGAGCAGATTGAGCAACAGCTAGAGTTGACTGGCGCAACGGCCATCGAAGACAAGCTGCAAAAGGGTGTTCCCGAGGCGATCGATAAGCTGCGACGTGCAAACATCAAGATGTGGATGTTGACTGGCGACAAGCGAGAGACCGCCATTAACATTGGTCACTCCTGCCGTTTGGTGAAGGACTACTCAACCCTTGTCATTCTGGATCATGAGACTGGAGACGTCGAGCAGTCGATTGTCAAGTTGACAGCCGACATCACCAAGGGCAGCGTCGCTCATTCAGTTGTTGTAGTTGATGGGCAGACACTATCGATAATTGAATCAGACCAAATACTGGCGGCACAATTCTTCAGGCTGGCCGTGTTAGTTGACTCAGTTATCTGCTGCCGTGCCAGTCCTAAGCAGAAAGCATTCCTGGTCAAGTCGATCCGTCAACAAGTCAAGGGTAGCGTGACACTGGCGATTGGTGATGGTGCGAACGATATTGCCATGATTCAGGAAGCTCACGTTGGCATCGGCATCACTGGTAAGGAAGGATTGCAGGCGGCCCGAATCTCGGACTATTCAATTGCCCAGTTCAGGTTCTTACTGAAGTTGCTCCTTGTCCACGGCCGGTGGAACTATATCCGGGCGTGCAAGTACACGCTCGGGACCTTCTGGAAGGAAATGCTGTTCTACCTAACGCAGGCTCTGTACCAGCGTTGGAACGGGTACACTGGCACTAGTATTTATGAGTCGTGGAGTTTGAGTATGTTCAACACTCTTTTCACGTCTTTGGCTGTTATCTTCCTCGGCATCTTCACCAAAGACCTCTCTGCCTCTACCCTCCTAGCTGTCCCGGAATTGTATACCAAAGGCCAGCGCAACGGCGGGTTTAACATTCGGCTGTATCTGGGCTGGACGTTCATGGCTGCGTGTGAAGCGATGATGATTTACTTCTGCATGTTTGGGCTGTTCGAAAACGTCATGTTCACGCACACGGGCAGCGACATCTTTTCAGCCGGTCTGCTCTCGTTCACAGCATGTGTCATCGTCATCAACACCAAGCTACAGGCCCTCGAGGTGCACAACAAGACGTATCTGTGTTTGATTGTGTGGGTGATTTCTGTGGGTGGGTGGTTCTGTTGGAACTTGATCCTCGACCGCCGGTACAACCCCAGCTCTGGTGATGGAATCTACCATGTCCTGGGCAACTTTGTCTATGCATCGGGTCACGACCTCGCTTTTTGGGCAGCTTTGCTCGTCACCGTCATCGCAGTGATCGTGTTCGAAATGACCGTGAGTTCCGTCCGGGCGCTCTTCTTCCCCACGGACGTGGACGTCTTCCAGGAATATGAGCAGGACTTGGATATTCGGAAACGGTTCGAGGAAGCCGCAGCATCTGAGCTGCAACAAGGCTGGGATCACGGTAAGAAAAAACCCAGCTTTGAGCTGGCCCGCGAGGAAGAGATGGAAGCGCGTGAGCAACAAGTTCGGGAACTTCTTTCTCGGCCCCGAGTGATGGTGGCTGGCACCAAGACAGGCTCTGGCCCTGTTGAGATGGAAGACGTCGAGCTGGGCGGATATGGGACCAGCACTTCTCCGGAAGAGGGCGAAGAGGTACCCAAAACACCGCGCCGGTCAGTCGAGGTTCATGAGTTGTTTACGAAGGGATTTGGAGCCATCCGAAAGGGGCACTTGAAGTGAACGATGATAAAAGAAAAACAAAAAGCTATTCTTTGTGTCTGTGGTTGTATGAGTGTCTTCACTCCTTTGATTTGTGAGCGTTCAGGCGTTTAGAGTGGATACCCCGGATAAGTTCTAGTCACTCCTTCTCTCTTATTTTCTCATCAGTGTGTATACCGGATGTATATATGCATGGAAAGCAAATAGATTATGAACGTGGACAAACGCGCAACGTTTTACATTATTGAAGTCGAGCAGTGGAGTAGATGAAAAGAAAGAAAGAGCATTGTTAGAAAGAAGTAGACTAAGCTTGACAGCTCCGGAGCACCCGGAAGCGAAGATGAGGGGCGCTCCAGTTCCCCCTGAGTGGAACCCCAAATTTCCCCGGGTATATCGGATTTAGTACCCCGGAGGGAGTGCATAGGTTGGAATAATAATGCAGTGGACGTGGTTCATAAGCTGCATGATTAGTTAATTGATCCTCATGACTTACTAGTGGTTGGTTAACTAGTAGTTATGTCTAAGTGACTGACTTGCTGTAATAAGGCGTGCTGGTTTGTAAGTATAGTCTTTACTATTCAATATTCAGGTAGATAGGGAAGTGTGCATTCAATAATCAATGGCCGGCTTCTTCGGCTGTCTTAAGCCAATACTATCCATTATTTGGAGAGGAAAGTATAAGAATTTTTAACAATGTATGCGGACGCTTTTCACTTAGATAGGAGTTTGCCGTTGGTTGGTGATACCTACATACTAGGGAATCTATAGTCCACCCATGAATAGTTCAAGGTAACATGGCAATTCACTATCCAAATACTCTGGACTTTCCCATTACTCCAATATCTCAAGCTAGGAATATACCATACATTCAACAAAGAGCCATGTACTACTATTTAACCAAGATAAAGTATCATCCCTACTTACCCTACTACCTCTACTTCTCTATGCTATACAACCCTCATCCTCACCATCACACAATTAACCAACCCCATATAGTTACTTCTCCCCATCCCCATTCCCAAGACATATATTCTACAATGGAATATTCCACCCCCTACCCCAAAAAATCCCTCTACGCCCCTCCCATCCGCATCCTCGTCGACACCCGCATCCACCTCCTCCCCGGAGACACCAACGAAGACCGCAACTCCTACCTCATCAACCACATCTGCCAACTGCACTGGCACACCAGATCCACTCCCACCAAGTACCGCCGCTACGCCTTCAGCACAGAGCGGTACCCTACGGAGTCGACGCGCTGCCTGTTTCTCGTTGATTATGGCCATACTGCAAGCAAGGAGGAGGATGAGGATGTACCGGTGGTGTATTATAGCTGGACCGGGGAGAATTTGTAAGACACATACCCTATTATAAGTAGACTCTCTGTTATATTTGTGGACCAATGCTGATCATAAATGTATAAGAACTCCATTACCCATCCTCTCCTACGAACCCTGGATCATGAATAATCTCAAATACGTGTATCCGTTTACGCCGACACAGTGGAGGGACTTGAATAATCGTGATCGCGAGCGAGAGATGCTTTTGTCCAAGGTAGTGTGGGCTAGTAGTAGTGGGGGCGCGAGTGATGATGATTTGAGGTATTTGAGGGATAATGAGGAGGATTGGGTGTGGTTAAGGGCCAGTATGGATCCGGATGTTTTCGGGGGGTTTTTGTATGAGGCGAGGGGGAGAATTTACTGAAGTGCTCGTTGGTGGTGGGTGGTTTGATTGATAGATTATTGTGTTAATTGGTTGGTTGAATGGATTCGGGGGCGTTTTCTGGTGGACGATTGCTGATATGATTATTTGGGGGGATTTGTGAGTGTTGGATGTGGTTAGTATTTGTGTTCTGCCAGGTACTGGGGGCGCTCTTGAGTATCTGAATTCTATGGCAGGAGGAGATAAATGGAGTCAGTGAATTATCGGGGATCACTTCGGAGAGTATTTGCCAGGTAGAGTCATCAAAGAAGATATGGTCATATCAGTTGTCATCACATTGTAAAGCGCGTCATATCAGTTAGAAAGGAAAGAGTACATACAGCGTTTCTATATTACACTATATATGTAATGGTATCTTGAAGACAGTTTCTGCCATCTCATCCTATCTCGCCAAGCACGGGCCTGGGCTCCTGCCTCTTCCGTCCCTACCACCCCTCCTCTTCCACTGACTCCAGCAACTACTTAGTACATCCCTCGAATATTAGGCAAACAAAATGACTGGGTATCATATATACTTTACAGACTCCCTTCAATGTGTCCTTCCAGCTTACATATAGTTATGTCATCTAGTGGTCAGACTCACAGTCACGACTACCATCTCGTTCCAACATTAATCTCTCGACCGTATCCCAGCTGATGCCTGGGTCACCCTTGCAGCTCATACGCAGGAGGCCGCTTCTCCGTGGCTGGTAGCTCCACTGGAGGACGTTGTTGGACAGGGCCGAAACTCTGTGGTGGGATCTGAGCCTTTCTACGTCGCCGCGAGAGATAGTATGCGCCTAGGAGGATGCCTGCTAGAGCTGCGACTCCGACTCCGACTCCAACGCCGATGCCAACAGTGTTTATATTCGATTTTTGACTCTGGGTTTCCGAAGAAGACGAAGCTGATGCGGAGGTGGAAGCAGATGACAAGGACGTGGTCGACGTTTCACTTGCCGTGCTTGTTTCAGTACCTGTTGCTGTGCTTGTTGCCGTGCTGGTTGAATCTGCCGTCGAAGTAGTACTCGCAGGACGGACATAGAAGTCTGGGCTCCAGGCTTGCCAGCCGAACAAAGCATTCCCATCCGCACCAAGAAGGACAGATGCGTTGAAAATCCCGATTTGATACTCTGGATTGGTCGTGTTGAAGTCTGTCGGAATCGCCCAGCTGTATTCTTCCAGTGTACAGTTCGCAGTCTCATTGACGACAAGTTGATAGAGGGCACTCGTCTCGGTGAATTGGGCGCCAACTAAATGATTGCAGGGGTCAGTTTCTGTTAACTGGACTTGCAAATCCCGAGCTACACACCAATGATCGGATCAACAATGTATCCTCCAGCCCGCCCTAGGGTGATGTTGAGCGGAGTTTCCCCGTCGTCGATCGCTCCCCACTGCAGGTTGAGCGTGTCTCCAGGGTTAAATTCGGTTTTCGTGAAACCGTAGAATGTCCCAGAGACACAATTCTCATAGCCATAGGTGGACATTGTGAAAGCCCACAGCGGGAGTTTGATCGGGTCAGACGCTGGATTAGGGCTCAGTGAGCAGGGGAAGGGAAAGCGGGAGGGTACTCTGCTCATAAGACCAGAAGATCAACCCCCGTGCGGGCGGAGTCGGACACTACTTCGAACCATCGCTATCGAGCCTGGCGCCGTGTATAGGCCGGTGCTGGACTAATGCAGACTTTAAAGTGGTTATTCTCATCAGCGAATCAGACGCTCGAGCTTGAGTAATAATCCCTGGCCTGCGTGACGTGGACTTCATATGAAAATCAGCCTTGCACACCCAGGAGAGGGATTGCTGGCTCAACCGCACGGCCAGTCGCTGCCGTTCTCTACACGCCGTGGGTCCTTTAAATTACTCTTGTGGATAGAAATCACTTTAGCTTCATGTTTAGGACGATCTTTGCCGTGTCAAATGAATGTGATACGCTCTTCTTGCTACGCTGTCCGGTCCAATTTGGAGTCCGTTCTGCGACGGTCCGTTGCGTTAAGCGCCGGTTGGTTTAGGGTGCGGAACTTGGAGCGTTAGTGCCACGCAGCTAATATGTATCCTTTACCACCCAATCATCAAATATATTTAGCGCCAGGATCCTCGAGCTGCCGCTTTTACTTATTATGGGCATAGCTCAGCCGCTGGTAACTGGGCTGGCCGAATTCACCTCCGCACTGCGACACAGCTTTATCATCAACACTGTGCCGTACCACCTACCATCTCACAACGCGAGACTCTCCCACATATTGTTTTGCAGCCGAGACATGACTTATAGAGATAATTAGTGACCCAAAGATATGGCCGCGTTCCGAGCCCAACTCCGGCGACGGAGCATGTTAATCACCTTTGGGCTGGTAACCATCTTCATTTGGACGCTCGCATCCTGTCGGTCGCAGAACACCACGACGTCTACCAGCCACGAACAGTTCTGGGCTAAGTTTCATCCCATGCTGGTAGCCTCAGAACCCTATTCCAACTCCCCTACGAGAATCAGAAATGCCGAGTCTGTGGGCTTCGACCCAAAAAACACAGATCCGCTGCCTGACTTATCTCGCCTTTCCAAAGAAGATGTCTCCGCGATGAGAATCGCGCACAGCAAATTCCTCGATATGGTTAAGCAAACCCCACCAAAACTACACTACCAAGCGCACACTCGCGGCCTCGTCTCGACAGCTGGCGGCTCTTACCTTCCCGTCCTCGTTATCTCCCTGCGGATGCTTCGCCAGAGTGGCTCAACCCTTCCGATGGAAGTTTTCCTCGCCAGTTGGGATGAGTACGATGGCTATGTCTGTCAGGTCGTTCTTCCCTCCCTCAATGCGCAATGTGTTGTTCTGTCTGAGATCCTTGATGCCGTTACCGACAGCAAGTCTTCCATTGAGAAATACCAATACAAAGTCTTTGCCATGATGTTCTCCTCGTTCGAGGAGATTCTCTTCCTAGACGCAGATGCATTCGCTCTTCAGGACCCGGAGCTGTTATTTAGATCTGAACCCTTTGTTTCAAAAGGCCTAGTCACCTGGCCGGATTTCTGGCGGCCGACAACGTCGCCGCTATACTACGAGATTGTGACTCAAGATAAAACGGCCGGGAAGAACAAAGAGCAACAAAATCAACAACAGCAAAATCCGGCTACGATTCGCCAATCCACCGAATCCGGAGAATTGCTCCTCTCCAAGCGAACGCATACGCGGACACTCCTGCTCGCAGCATACTACAACTTCTACGGTCCAAGCCACTATTACCCTCTTCTTTCGCAAGGCGCCGCCGGCGAAGGAGACAAGGAGACCTTCATCGCAGCAGCAACAGCCCTCAACGAGCCCTTCTACCAAGTCAGTGAGCCCATCCGCGCTGTGGGTAGAGGAACGCCCGATGGCTTTGCAGGGTCCACCATGGTCCAGTACAATCCGATAGAAGACTATGCCTTGACTCAAAAAGGCGAGTGGCGCATCCGGGGCGCATCCGTACCACCCCCACATCCATTCTTTGTCCATGTCAACTTTCCCAAGTTCAATCCAGCTACGGTGTTCAATGACAACGGGCCTGTCGTTGATGAGCGGGGGAGGTATACGCGGGCATGGACGGCACCGGATGATGTGGTGGAGGCTTTTGGAGGAATAAAGACGGAGAAAGCATACTGGAAAGAGATCCTTTGGACAGCGTGTGCTCTGGAAGGTAAGAGTATTAGTTGGAAGGGGAGGGATGACATATGTTCCAAGACAACAGATTACTGGACTACGATCTTTGAGAAGTCAGAGGGGTTAGACCTTGCTTAGGCCTTTTGTGGGACTTATTGTTTATAGGATGCTTGTCCATGGAATCTTGTGCTGGTTGCAAGACGACGGAAGTGTAGAATATGGCATGAGAAAATGTGCAGATTTTTATATTTGATGAGTTATAGCGTCATTATTGTGGACATGTCTCGAGAACAGTCTTGATTTACCAACTTTTAGCGTATATCTTTTACTAGATGAGCTATCGTAGACAGTGATACCTGATACTACTGGCACTTTTCTCCAACGTCTAATATAATAGGTATATAAGAAGATCACACTATCAGTTAGTCTCGTCAAAGAATTGGAGTCCGATATCAGTCCGCTACCATCAATCTAATCTACTAACTATACATCTTGTGCGCTGGCTTCTTAAGGCTAAATAAGCTTGAAGGATGATGCACTGACTCTATCCAATTTCTAACAGACGGCACTATATGCTACGACAGAGTACTTTCCATCTTTATCTATGTAGTATAATTAGTACTTCCATTGAATATACACTGCTACCAGCTACTACTCTGATACGGTCGAACAAACGAAACAATAAGAAGAAGTACTTAGTACATATATATAGTACTCAGTGCCTTACCTGTCTAGTAGTTATATATATTAAAGAGTAGTCAGAACATAATCATATTGAACCTACAACACTCAACCATAACCGCTGTCAACTGAGCTATTCTGGTCTAGTTGGCAGTTGCTCTTTGGACAGCAAAAGGAGCGTAATGGCCCAGATTGTTAAGTCAGAATAATTATAATACACTGTTGCCCGACCAGGAGAGCTATAGTAGCTTGGATAGAACTATGTTGTGTGATTCATTTACGATAATATTGCAAACTAGAATATATATGGTTTAGCATTGGTTACTATGTAGATCATTCTTCTCCAATGATCAATCAAGGCAGCTCCTAACTACTACTGATCAGTAGGCTTCTACGGGACTCCAATTGCTATGGGAATCTATGAACTATTAAAGAGTGGTTATACCAAGTATCTGCGGAATTGGACAATATAATTGATCGAAATTAAGAGGTCGATTAATGATCCGGTCTCGTTGGCATATACTTACGTGTATCTGGCAGCTGACATTCCTTAGTCTATTTAACCAACTATCCTGTCATCCTAGAAATATATAATGAAATTAAATACCTGAATATTCCAATCTCAACCGATCCTTAGCCATTACAAGAGACGGTGCTTATTCCAATTCCGTATAGACCACTCATAGCTATGGACTCCTTCACATCCTTCAATTTCAGTACTATTCAGTAGTCGAAATTAGCCCGCGCGTACGTCATACCAGCCATGCACGTCCGGAATGGGCATGTCAGTAGTAGAAGCTATGAGTAGAGTAGATCTAAGCTTCAACATTCCTCCGCCGTTACAGAATCCCATCAAACATCGAATGATCGACTCTATACCTACCTGACTCATCACCTTAAAATTGTCTGGCTGACATACCAGCGCAGAGAATTATCCGCGCCAATCAATGGCGAGAAATTATCAGATGGCCGGATTAGTGCTTAGTGGACGTCGTCGCATGCGGACATGAAACACTCAATGGGAGGGGGGACAATTCCACTCCCCTTCTCCCCGTTTCCCCCATCATATACGGGAGGAATGCGGGCTGGCCGTTAACGGAAAAGGGGAGAAAGGGAGGAAGGGAGGGCCCGAACCGAGGAGAATTCGGTCAGCTAGTCAGTTCATCAACTAGACAACTGACTAGTTAGTCAGGTATGTTAGTGGTTATGAAGATGCCCGTGCGTGACGGGATGGTTAGCAAGCAGGTAATTTTAAGCCTCTTTTTCTGCCTCTTCGGAGAGGGGCAGACCACCGGGTTAGGTATGGGTCGGCGATTGTTGGACTAACATGTCGCTTACTGGATTGGTAAGGGTAGAGTTACTAATGTAGAATTATGTGTGTATGCTCTGCGGGGCTCGGGGACTGAACGCTGAATGCTATCTAGATTAGGAAGACAGAGAGGATAGTCCCCGAGACATCCATGGGAAGGTAACCACCACGCACACTTGCTCCGTGCTCTTTAGGCAACGGATCCCGGGAAGCGAAAAGCAACACTAGGGGAACTCGGGAGGGGGGAAGTGGGATGCGCGCTCACGGCGCACCGGATCCGACGAGGCCGGTTAGATAGGTAGACTGGATGCTATTCACGGGTGTACTTAGGTAGACACTATTGGAAACCAAATGGGGCAGATCTAGTCGGAGATCGTTGTAGGCTGACTGAGCGACGGAGTATTCCGTTGCCGCAGGAAGGAAAAATAAAAAAGAGGAGTCAGAAGAGTCATGATCCTGCAGTGGAATCCGGTGCGAGGCTTTTTGGTCGTACGATGGATCCGAAAGTGATAAGCAAATGTGATGACCATAGCGCATGCGCTGGGGGAGTTATTCGGTCGGAAATGTATCAAGAACCCCCGGGAAATCTGATGCAGCAACAGACATAAACTACATACTGTGTTGTGATGCAGGTCAATGACTTGGCTGGCTACCCCTATCAGTGGCTCTGGGAGGTGCTTTAGTGCACGCTGGATGCTTGTTTAGCGTCGGCGGTAAGTCTCGACTCAGTCGGATACTTGCCTAGTTGGGCAAGGCGTGGGCGTGCCTGGCCCTCGGACGGTCGGAAAACGGCACTCCATCGCCATTCGGCCTATCATTGCTGTGGCTGAGTTGGGTTGGGCCAATGGCAATGATGATGTGCACGGATCATCTGCGGGTCTGTCCTGGTCTTTTCCCGGTTGGGTCTAGACGAAGTTGCACAACTGGCAGTAAGTAGTCTAGCACAAGCAGGTACTTCGCCCATTCTGAAGCAGGAGTCAGGTACGAGGGCAAGTACGCTGTGTGTACCTGCATATACGGTATCCAGTCGATCAGTGTGGTAAGATGAAGAAAAAAGAAAATATATTCAACCTCCAGATGCATGCTTGTCTCTCCTCTCTCTCCGACACTCTCTTGGCTTTCACTATCCCCAGATTTAACTTGCCCTACCGTATTAATAGCACCTGTTCATGTGTTCGTAGGGAGGTGCCAGCGATTAATTAATTTATAAATTAATAGATTCGGCGATAGAATCCAGATGGAAGACTAGCCCCCGACTAACCGCCTCAGTAGTCTGTACAAGTCAGCACGAGTGCCGAACAACGCTTCTCCACCGCCCCCCTAGCGCTGTCATCCGCTGCGGTCCAATCAGGGCTTATGTGATGGCGAGAGGGGCGGGTACCTGGACCGAATCACCAGGAAAAATGGTGGAAGTGGTCGGCACGGGCGGAGTGCAGCGCCAACGATCAGTGAGTGATTTGCGCTCGACAGAAATATGGGTAGAAAAGCGAGGGGGATCAGAGTAAAAATACGGAAGAAAATATAGGCCAAATGATATTAATAGAAACCCAGCACGTCGACAGCTCCGGGATTACGGTTGTACCTGAAAGGGCGCAAGAGTGGGAGACCACTCATACGGCTGGCCAAAAAGACAAAATGAGGTCAGTCACCTGCTGGAAGCGGTAAAGTCCCTGATCCCGTTCTGTGGACAATGGCCGGAGAGGCCCGAACTGCCTTCACCCAAGTTCTCCCACTTTTCCAGGGCCAACCTCTTCCCAGTCGCGCCCTGAATTCTACGGTTCACTATCCATGGTTCCGAATCCTGAAGCTGTTATAGGTAAAGTAATCGGTTAGTCAGAAGTGTCCCCTTTCCCACCCATGGTGATGCGGTGCCTGGTGACGGAACCACGGCCCTGGTTCTGCGGTTCGATTCAGGAACCGGGTCGAGTGGCAGGTCGCTTCTTGGGGTAGGTTTCTTGGCTCCGCCTCTTTTTTGTCCTCTTTTCTTTTTTCCCCTCGTCCCTTCTCTTGATTTTTTCCTTCTTTCGCTTTGCTTTCCGGTCCTGATTCGGCAAAATTATGAGGTCACTCCACCACCTGAAACCCTTTTTGTAGCTTGTCAATCGTCGGGCGCTTATGCGATCCCGCCCGGGCTTTGGAACGGTCCAGGTCACGTTGTGTCTGGTTCGCTACCCCTGGTTGTGTCCGTAGTCCGATCCCTCGGTGGGTTCGCCTGCACGATGTTTCTGGAGGCATGGAGGTAGACAATACATGAATTAGTTGCCGGTCCCTACATAATTGCATCCAAAGTGACTGGGATCGAGAGCATGGTGGCTATTTATGGCTATAGATGATGGAAGGGGATGGTACTCCGATTCGGTTGGGTCGGTCGTTGCCTTGCTTAGGCACACGGGTTCCGAGTTTCCTATGCTGGGTATCATCTGCTGGAGCGACGCAGAGTGACTGACTGGGAAGGGGAGGGGAAAAGTACGAGCATAACCTAAACCATCCTGAGGTCGCAGTCTTCAACGTCCACATCCATGCAGAAAGGCGCGAATGAGAATGCTTATTGGATGGCTGGGATCCCAAACAACAACGTCGGGCAGCAGGTGCAGATGCCGCGACTGGATGCAGGGGCTAAAACAAGGCGGTGGGTGTGGGTGAGTGGAGGGCGGTGGTGGTCTTGTAACATTCTGGTCCTGCTTCAAGCCATGTGAAATTCTGTAACAACCCAGATGTTTTACCCCCTCCGGATGGAGTAGTAGCAGCAGCATATCATCACCATCACAATCTCATTTGGATCAACAATGTCTAGATCGTGGAAGAATAAATACTCAAAGGATTTGGACGATCCTGAGAGATGTGAATAGAAGATAGGGAAAGAAAAAGGATAGACTTTCAATGCTCCGAGTGAACTGCGCTACGGTGACTACTTACTCCTTGACTCACAACAACAACAACTACTACTACTACTTGGGAGCTGCCTCGCCAAAAAGGAATATACCAGGAAAATAAAACGACAAATAATAATAAAGGAAACAAATAATCCAAAAAGGAAATAAAAGGGAAAAGGAAAAAGGAAGAAAAGGGCAGAAAAAAAATAAAAAGGAAAAAAAGAGAGGCGGCCAGCCCCACGGAGAAAGTCAGGAACAGCCGGTGCCAAAACAGTCCAGCGCCAACTACTGAACCCGCTAACCACTTTGGGCCCTCCCCCATCCCATCTCCTGACCGTCGCGCTCGCTCGCTTTCTCCTCTGCCTCCTCCACCCGTTTGTCTCTTCTTCTTCCCTTCTTCTTCTTCCTCCCTTTCCCTTCTCTCCCACCGACCATCTTCGCATCTTTCTTTCCTTTCCCATTCACTCTTTTTTGTGTTTTTCTCCCCTTCCATTCTTTCTTTCAACTACATTCGCTCGCTTCAGTCGATCGTTTCACTCTTTCACGATCCAATTTCCCAATCTAGCTGTATCTTCGCTTACCTCAGGGCCGCCCATTGACGCAGACCTTCGCCATTACCAAACACCGGCCCCCCCGAATCTGTACCGATCTACTTTGATATCTCAATCTCACGTACAGCCTCCCCCATTACGGTTGCGAAGAGCAAGGATCATATTTCCCTTCCAAGCTGCCTAGGTCAGCTGTTTATATTATTCCCACGACATTTGATTACCATCTCATCCCGACGCTTCTGCGACGCGCTCATCTTCTCTCTTTGCGCTTTGCTTCCCTGGAACTCTCGACTTCCGACGTGCTTCCAGCCAAGCGCTTCCATTCTTTTGATATTATCCGTCCTCTCTGGCGCTTGACGCTGCTTCAGAGATCCGGACACTCTCATCCCCCATCTTTGACTGTCGGCCGGATCGTCACACCCATCATACTCCTTTTCCTACCGCGGGATTTCACATTCCCACGAACTTGGTCGTATCGCATTTCCTACATTTCAACTTCACTCAATCCCTGCAAACATGTCTTCGACAGACACTCCTGACCCCTCGACCACGTCGAACGCTTCCTCCAACACTGCTTCCACCATGACCTCGTCTTCGTCGACTACCTCAAGCCCGTCTCCGGCCATGTCCAACTCTACTACGGCCGCCTCAGCTTCGGCACGTCGACCTCAGCGGAAGAGCACGCTGACCCAGCAGCAGAAGAACAACAAGCGGCAACGGGCGACCCAGGATCAACTGGTCACCCTCGAACTGGAATTCAACAAGAACCCGACTCCCACGGCAGCCACGCGCGAAAGAATTGCCCAAGAAATCAACATGACCGAGCGGTCCGTTCAGATCTGGTTCCAAAATAGGTTTGTGGTCGTACTATCATTCTTGACCTGCGGCTAATCGTATCTATAGACGCGCAAAGATAAAGATGCTTGCTAAGAAGAGCATCGAAACGGGTGAGGGCTGTGATTCCATCCCCGAGTCGATGCGCCAGTACCTGGCCATGCAATTTGACCCCACCAAGCCTGGTGCAAGGGACCCCTTTGGGCGCACGGGAGGATACGGAACCGGTAGTGTTTATCCCCATGAGTCGGCTCCTTCTGGCAAAGTTGGTATGTTTGAGTCCGCCACTGCTACTGTGTAATGAATACTGACAATCACAGTTATCCATCACTTCACCTGTCGCTCCTTGACTATCGGTAGCTGGCGACGTATCGGACAAAACGCCATGGATCTGGTGGTATTCTATTCCCCTGAGAAGGCCTGCATGACGTACTACATCAACAACGATTCTGCTGGATACAAGATCGAGTATCCGTTTGCCTACATCAAGAACATCACACTGGAGTCGGGCGACCAGACTCCTCAGGCAAACGGTGCTCCCCCGCGACCTGGCGGTCTTGTTGTCGAGCTGAACCGGCCCCCGCTGTTCTACATGGACTCCTCCAACTCGGGCGGATTCTACCAGTGTGGTGACTTCACCGAGGATCAGCAGGCAAGCCAAATCCTGGTCCACCATCTTGGGGGACATCCCAAGGTTCTCAGCGTGCAACTTGCCAAGCTAGTGTCTCTGGAGTCCTTCCAGAACCGCCTAGCGTACAACAACTTTGCCATGAACCCGCCCATGTCCCCTCCGTTTATTCAGCGTCCTGCATCACAGCCCAATCAATTCGCTCCGGCTTTCTTGAACGTGTTCCCCGAGAGCCATACTCACCTCAACATTCCGGCGATGCGCGGACACAAGCGTCAGAGGAGTCGCTCAGTTCCGGTAGCTGTCGACTTCACTGCCATGCAGGCTCCTCTCGCCCACTACAACATGCCCCAGACTCCGGCTCAGTTCAACCATGCCGATACGGGTATCTTTGCTCCCGTTCCCCAGTCGACTCATCCCTTGGCTGTCAACCTTCGGATAGATACCTCTGCCGCCTATGGGTTCGACCCGCGGACTCACCCCATGTCGGCTACCACGACAGCTTCCCCATCTGACTTTGCCAGCCCCGGACTTTTCAGCACTGGAGCCGGTGGTGACTCAACTCCTGTTGCTACCAACATGGGTACCCCCTTCAACCTTCCCTTCGTCTCGCCCGCTGTTGACTCAACTGTGGCGCCCCAAGCATCTTATTCTAACGTCAGTCATGCCGATCCTATGATTGCGAACCATTCTCCTCCATTGTCGAACATCTCGCACGCTCCCCAAGATATGTACGGCCTGGGTAACGAGCATCAGCCCAACTACACGGACGATAGCATGTCCATGAATGGGATCTATCCCAAGCATAACATGAACTTCGCTGTTCCGGCTTCTATGGGTCTTGAAACTAACACATATGATCTCCCCATGCAGCCCATGTCCGGCCATACATCCCCGGGGGTCCATGGCGATTTCCAGAGCCTGAGCCTGGAGAACGTTGATCCCAGCGGTATGGCCCCTGGCTCCTGAGGCAGCCGGAACATGCTATGAGCCGCATCGACGTGGGCCGTCTTCGGCCATCGGCTTAGCCGTATTTCTATCTACCCTTGGGTAGCGCCGCACATTGGCGCGGATCTTCAAATCTCCGCAACTTCAGTGTTTCGAATTCTTTTCCTGGCCACTGGTCTCGAGTACCTCCACTCGGACTGATGAGATACCCAGACATCGCTTGATGTATGGCCAATCGACGATGACGGGAGGATGTATCCTTTCTTGATTATGTTCTCAGCGTCTTCTGTATTAATAACCTTCTACGGGGCTGGTCCTGAGCGTTTATTCGCATTTTTTCGTATCTCAGCAGGCTAGCTGGGCTTTTCATCTTCTTCTCTGCCCTTGACCATTTTTCTTTTCATTTTGTTTATACCTGGTCAGGGTTTAACGTGGTTATGCCAGAAAGTCAGACAGATGGCGACATTCGGTTATTTTCTTGGATTCTTCTGGGTTGGCGGGTTAGGAATTGTTTGCTCATTTCCCTTTGTGATGGTTATTTATCGTCCTGAGATCGGCGTCTGCATATTCTGCCAGATCTGGCAATCCTGTCATGTAGCACATTGATAATGGTGCCACTATCGAGGCGGAGCTGAGACAATCTCCGTCCAGATTGTGCGCACGGCTGATATGGAGACATTTCTCAGGTCCAACCTGAACCATGAAACACTACGGATCTGCCCCACGCGCTGCTCGTAGCGATAATATTATGGAACCAGTCGAGTATCAGATCTATCGCGACTCGCAACACATAACAGTAGTATACAGGGGTATCGTATCTAAATAAATATCAAAATCCAACTAAAAACTACCGACCCTCCCACTCCTTCGGCACCGGCGCCTTCAACCCCCTCGACTCCCTCAAATACTTCTCAACCCAAACCTCCATCTTCTCCAACAAATTCATCTCCCTGCCCCCCTCAGTCACACCATCCCGACACCAAACACTCCACGACCCCATCTGCACCGCCATCAACACATCCGTCCCCAACCGATCCCCCACCACCGCAATCTCATCTGCACGACTCACCACCCCCCTCTCGCGGAACCACTCCAGCACCTCCTTCCCACAGAACGGCTTCTTCTCACTCCCCTCTGGCAGCCGAAACACTGGGATTTGCAACTCGCCGAGCTCCTTTTCCAGCTCGCGCACCTCCGCGTCATACCGCGGGTGACTCCCCGCGCGGTTCGAGACGATCAGGATCGAGTTATCTTTCGTGAAGGGTGACGTTGGGGATGTGCGCAATGCATGCAGCTTCGATAGGATCTCGGATGGGAAGGAGGTCGTTTTTGGGTGGCAGAGCGTGTTGTCTTTGTCGAGGACGAGGGCGCGGATGGTCGGGGGCTTTGAGGCGCTGGGGAGGATTGCTGGGCCGAGATTTTCGGGTAGGTGGGTGATTGTTGGGATGGTTAGGTGGGGGAGGAATTGGGAGGGGGTTTTGAGGAGAGTGGTTACGGCCAGGTTGAAGGCGCGGAGGTTGCTGTTGGGGGGTTGCATTGTGTTTTTGGGTGGTTGTAGATGTTGTAGATGATGCTGTGTAGTGGGGAAGAACTTGATTAAAGTGGTGTTAGATCTCAATGCATAGTCGATCTAGATCTAATGTTTGAGGATTGAAGGTGAGAAGAAAAATTGTGTACAAAGTGTATCAGATAAATTGGATGGATGAGAAGAGATAGTCTGCAAGTAAAAAGGATGGAAGAAGACTAGTCTTGGCCGAGAAGTCTCCCGCACCGCAGAGCCGCAAAACTCTCCGCCGGCGGATCGCACGCGCCAGACAGACAGACATCCTCGAACGAACTTCCTTTTCGCGCTGCCATTCTGTCTTCGTTGCTTGTTTTATCACCGCTTTGAATAACGAGTCAAGCTTTTTCAGCTTGCTTCATATCTCCTGTATCTTCGACTTTGATCCCTTCGCTAGATTTTCTCACATTCCGCAATGGGCAAGTTGACCAGCACGATCGGTATTCCGATCAAGCTTCTTAATGAGGCGCAGGTTAGTCTATCCTTCATCCTAAGCTATTGCTTATATCTATGTATTGCGATTAAGCTAACGCGGGATTCCACATAGGGCCACGTCGTCACACTCGAGATCACGTCCGGGGTTGTCTACCGTGGAAAACTCCTAGAGGGTGCGTTGCTTCACCCCTCCTCAACACCTATCCATCCTCTCCAATACAACAATGTCAAATATACTCGTCACTAACATCCTCTGCTATAGCTGAGGACAACATGAACGTCCAACTGAAGGATATCACGGTCACCGCGCGCGACGGCCGCGTGTCACATCTCGACCAGGTGTACATTCGGGGAAGCCATGTGAAGTTTTTCATTGTGCCGGATATGCTTAGGTCGGTTGCCACCCATCTTATATTCTACATATTTATCAGGGATATGGGGCAATGCTAACTAGTATGGTTATAGAAACGCTCCCATGTTCCGCTCACGAGGCCAGCGCGGTCGCGGTGTCGGTCTTGCTCGTGGTAAGGCCACGGTGCAGAGGGCGAGGGGACAGAGACGGGGTTAAATCGGATGGAATACTAGTGGATAAGTGGATGGATGCTTCGGTGCGGCGTTTTGTTTTATTTGAGTTCTTTCTATGTCTCCTTTTCGTATCTATAAACTTGTCTCGTATTGGCTGTCTGGGTCGTCGGGTCTGATATCATATCAAATAAATCGAGTTGATTGGGTTAAATTGGGTTTCTTGAGGGCATTGATGGGGGTAATGTGATTGTGGCAGTGCTGCTTGGGTTCCGTATGGTGTTTCCTTGGGAGGATTCTCAAAATGTAGTGATGAGACCAAGCTGTGCAGCAGATGCACAGACAGCTAAGCTGATAGGCTAAATTGAACCCCACGACACGAAGAATATGGAATATATCATTACCACATTGTGAATAACCTAAAGCATAATTCTTATGATAAGAGGATATGAAACATGGTAGGGAATGTCAACACGAGATCACCAGTTAAATCAATCACTACTAACCACCTCCGAGCTCTCTCCGCCGTCCCCGCACCTGACCAACTTTCTCTCCTCAACTCTATCCCTTCACGATAAATACACAGCAACCCTACATTCATCTACACCACTTACTTTGTCTCAAACACTCCCACATCAACATCCGAAAATGCCACCCACGACGACATCAACAACATCCAACCCAACCCCCATCACCAACCCCCGCCGCCTCCTCATCCTCACACCAACCACCCACTCCCAATCCATCGTCCCTCCCCTCCTCCACTCCCTAACAGGCACCCCAGTCACCACTCCCCCAACAGCACCAGCATCCTCCTCGCCAACACCAACTCCGACCCTCTCCTCCGCCACAACCCTCGCCGCCTCCTCCACCACCTCCATCGCATCCAGCACCACCATCACCACCTTCGCCGGCTACACCACGCACCCGCCCCTCCACCTCTCAAACAAATACTACACAGCCGACGTCCCGATCTGGGTCGACGAGATCCCTCTCCTAACCCCCGATTCCTCTGAACCGACCCCCTCAGTGTCCGGGAGTACCATCTCCCCCGCGCAATGGAAGACCGAGTTCTCCAGCCCCGAAGCGCAAGTCGTCCGGGACGCGATCGGCGCCGTGATGATCTGTTTCCGCAATCCGGTACAGATGGATCCGGTACCTGGGCAGGAGCAGCAGGATGTGGAAGACAGGGCTGATGTGCGCGGGCTGAAGGAGTTTGTCAAGGCTGTTGGGGAGGTGAGGGCGTTGATTGAGGAGGAGAGGGGTGGGGTAGGGGAGGTGCCGGGGTTGGTTGTTTTGGTGGGGGAGAAGAAGACGGGGTCTGGGAAAGTGGGTTCTGGGGGTGGTGGTGAGGAGGATGAGGATGGGCTGGGGTTGGAGATTGATGAGGTGTTTTCGGAGGGGTGGTGGGAGGATCAGGTTTGTGAGATGGGGTTGATGGGGATGGAGGTGGTGAGGTGGGGTGGGAAGGAGGGAGAAGAGGAGGAGGAGGGGAGGAATCGGTACGGTGGTATGTTCATTCTTTTCTTATATTTGGGTATATTTATCGGTGATATGCTAACAGGTTGTAGAATTACAGGGCATGCGCCGGATTAAAGAGGTACTGGAGACGCATGATTGGGCCGCGACGGAGGATGCAGAGACAGGGTTACTGCATGATGGGGTTGACGATGACCTTGAGCGCGAGCTTTTGGGCTTGGATGATGCGGACAATGGGTTCGATTTGGAGGTGGATGAACTGCAGCGCGAGATGGTCGGGTTGCGCATGGCGATTGAGCGGGGAGGAGGGGATGGGTTTGACGATGACGATGAAGGGGACGAGGAGTTGCGCGTCGATGCGGTCGAGGCGCTGTTGCTCCGGATGAGAGCCATCAAGGGTAGTGATGATTCCTTCTGTCTGCAATGATCCCAGGTGTTTGCTAACATGGTAATAGATATCAGCGACGAGTTGCCCGAAGCGGAGAGGAAACGGTTTGCAGCAAAGGCCGTGCGTGATATCATGAGGGAGATGTAGTTGATAAGTATATAGGTTGTACATTATGTTGTGTATTATCTGTGCTCGTATTCGAGCTTATATGCCATCTATACCACTATGTCCATCGCGCACATCTACTACCCTCTCTTCTACCCTTCACATCGCCCTTTATCTTCACTCAACCAACCAAACAACGCACGCACTTATTTCTTCTTCATTGCCTTGCGCCTCTGTGCAATCATATGCGTATACAAAATATACGATCCTAAACAATTAGCACACACCCTTATACAGCAATAAACCTCAAACATCTCCCAAGGAAGAAGAAGATAAACTCACCAGGAACATAAATCCCCAACACCGCGACCAAAAACCACTTATAAAGCGGACTCACCAACTCCCCCGCCGGGCCCAACGCCTTAAACACCATAACGCACTCACTCGTAATACCCAGCGGATAGAGCACATAGAACGTATTATACCTTCACACCCACACACACATTAGCATCCACCCATCAAACACATAAATGAAACAGAAACATACCTCAACCAAGCCCACCACCCCGGCACACCCACTCCGGACAACTGCAACGCAAAGAACCCATAGCGAATACACTCGGTAACACCCCACGCGCTCAAACAACCCAGGAATGCATAGTCACCAAGCCCCGCCTCCTCACTTCCACCCACGATAACGCCCTGGAACGGATACATGATCCCCCAAACGAGAAGTATGCGACTGGCGACCTGCATAGCGGTAGTGAGGACCGGGGCGCGGACGAGACGGAGCAGACTGTGGAGGATCTCGAGGAGGGCGAGGGATTGGGTTGTTAGGAGGGTGGGGTAGACATCATTAAATATCTTGGAGATGCTGGTGGATGGGAGGAGGGAGAGGCCGCGGATGGTGCATGTTGCCCAGAGGGTGAGGGAGAGGGCGTTGTAGAGGAGGAGGTAGGGGCGGGTTAGTCCCATTGTGTTGATGTTTCTCCCTTTGGTAGGGGGAAGGGAGGGATCTGGGTGTGTGTTGTGGTGGGAGGGTGTGGTGAAGTGAAAGGGTTGTAGATAAATAATAGCTTAAGTAGAAAGAAGAGTCCGTAGGGCGGTGGTGGATTGGTTGGGGACGCGTCGATCAGTGGTGAGAATGGATGGGTGGGTTATGTAATCTCCCCGGATTTTGGGCCGAGGATGTTATGAAGTAACAGAGGTTGTTGTGTGTTGACTGGATTTTTGGGTTAGTGTGGTGGGATTGTGATGTGGTGGGTATGTGTGGTCAATGCTTTTGACTATTTTAACTAAATGTGTAGTAATGTTATACTGTTAGGTTGGCAGGGGTTCAATGGTATGCTGCAAGATGCGGACATACTCGGGTAACTACACATACTGGCATTTCGACTACACATACTGGCACATCGGCTACACTGGCATACTTTTTAATCATGATTCATCCTATAAACACGCTAATCAAGGACACAAATGCAAACACGCAGCTTCATGAAGCGAGAACTAGCCTCCAGCATGAGTCGGCAACGCAGTTGCCCTCGTCATCCGCTGCCAATCAGGTCGTGACCGTACAATATCATGACATTCGTGATCCTCATCATCGCTATTGTAAATACTGTGCGAGAAAGGTATACCACTGAGAAGGTAAAAGGTTGCTAAATCGGACAGATGCTTCAGGCTAGAGCGGCCCTCCAGGGTTCCCACTCCCAGAGAGCCTCATAAAACAAAGGAATGAAAAGCTTCGTGATGACAAGGCGAAAGTACGAAAGCAAGGCGCTCGCTGATGCGGGGCTGGTGTCATAATCATAATGCCGTCATCTTAAAGCTCGTTACACGTCGTTTAGTTTGCGCGAATCACAAGTCGGGAAACAAATTTGTTGGATAAACAGTCGAAGTCATTGCGGTTGAACTTGGAACCAGAGCGGCCCCGAAGATAGCTCTCTACACAGGGTTAGCTTTCATTGCACTAATACACGAGGCTTAAGGATCGCTGCTTACCAAATTGCGTAACATGTTGGCGGACCTCGGTCATTGTGTTGCAGACATCGGGATTCGAGTGCAGCAGGTGGTGGTGTTTGGTCGTCTCCCAGTCCGTAAACGCAGGCAGCTTTTGTGAAATCGCCTGGAACAGACCGACGATGACTCCCACCGGCGTGGTCTCCATATCGTTGCAGAACTTCTCAACAGCGGCAGCATCCTGCGACACGTCAGCATCACGGCTTGCACACACGTTCATTCCACATACCGGAGTCCGATAATGGCAGTCAAACTGCATCTCCTCCCACACGGCCAAAAGTATCGAAGCCAGAATGAAAATTGTCGGCCAGTTCTTGAGCTTCTCTCCACTGTAGACACTAGAGTAGAGGCTAGAGAGCTCTTCCAGCACATCTTTCTGCAACTCTCGCCACATGTTCGCCATGGCACACTTGACCTGGAAGTTGACCATCACAGGCGCTATCGTCTTGCCACTGAACTTGGACGACTTGTCGTTGATCTTTCCCTTGAACTGCTCCTCCTCGCCAATACCCTCCACCATGGTAACGTGAAACGTCAGGTTGTAGGCAATGATGAGCTTCAACGCCTTGCGAATCACGGGCAACTTCGTGCGGTAGTAATACCGGAAGGCCGTCTTCAGCATCTGCGTCAGGAAAGGTGTGCCTTCGAAGTAGTCATCCACAAACTTCTCAAACGTTCCGTTGCCGTCAATGTGGCGATCCAGATAATCCGAGAGCATAGCGTGCGAAATGCCTTCCATTCCAGCGGAGAGCCTGGCCGTTTCCACCTCGTATGGCGTCGGTTCCCGGTGCATAGACTCGACCCAGTCGACCTTGAAGCACTGATCGTCGTGTACGTAGACCTCGCGGGCATTGATGGGAAGAATCTGACCGTAGCCATGAGTGATGAAGAGAGTCGTCTCCAGATCCGAGAACCCCTTGATGTTTCCGACCGTGAAATCATAGTTGACGTGACGATCGTAGTCCGCCTTCCAGTCCTTCATGAAATAGCCGATCTCCTTGATGTCAATGCGCGTGCAGGGAACCTGCCACAACCGCGCATGCGAGGGTTGACAGCCCGCGCAGGGTTCTCCTTTATCGCACTATTCACTCAATCAGTATGTCGCATCGATAAGGGGGGAGGGGGGTCTATCTTACAGTCTTCTTCAGGAACTTGCAACGCAGGCACGCGCGCAGCTTGCGGATCTCGCTGGCTTGTTTCCGTTGGTCCGGCTTGAGCGGGCCCTTTCGCTTGCCAACACGCTTCTCGGTCTCTGGCTTTCCGTTTTGCGACTGCTTACGGACCTTGGTCTCGGCTGTCTTGGCAGCAATCGGGCTCTTACGGGACGGCTTCCGGCTAGGAGGGGAAGCCGATGAAGTTGATGCTGCAGACCGAGTAGGCGGGGTCGACGCCTTCTTGGAAGGCACCGGAATGGGTCGTACAATGGCCACGGGGCTAACCGCAGTCGGGGACTGCGAACCATGCGAGGTATGGTCATAAGAGACCCGACGAGTCATGCTGTGGTTGAAAGCAGTGTCGAAGTTGGTGTCAGAGCTGGGCGAATTGATGGGATTCGTAATCTCCACGAAGCTGCCGTATGAGGTGGAATAGGACGACTCGGACAGAGACCGGTCGTGGAGGGTCTGGGTGGGATTGATAAAGATGTCCTGGTCCGGGTAGGAGAATTCATGGGAGCGGCGGGGCTCAATGGTGCTCCAGCCGTTGTCGCTACTGGACAGAGAACGGACCTCCAGGTAGGTGTCGGTGGGTGAGCTGCTCTCCAGAACATTCTGCGGTGCGCTGTAGGCGGACAGATCTGGTAAGCCATCGGCGGCTGGAGGGAAAGCCATGAGGTCGGCCTGGAGGTCATGGTAAGGGAATGGAACCATGTCGACCGGCGCAGAGAGGGGCAGATAAGAGCCATCGAGCAGGCTCGTGCTCATGTGGCCGTGGGCTCCAGACATGAGATCCACGGGGGAAGAGTGGATAGACATGCCATAGCTAGCGGCGGTGGTGAACTGCTGGGGAGCGGAGGAGGCCTCCTCATGGGAGTACTGAAGGTGGGGTTGCAAGTGCTGGAAGTGCCAGTCGACCATCAGATTAGGATCCTGAGCTACCGATTGATCGTAAGCGTGACCGCTGGTTTGCAAGGGCGAGATGTCTCGCGCTCCATCCGATCGCTGAGAGGCCTGGTGGTCCACCGCCACGGGCCATGAGTGAGCTTGGAGGTAATTCCTCGAGTCGTAGTCCAGGCCAATGAAGCCGTCGCTTGATAAATCGACATTCGACATGATGCTGACAACAGGAAACTATTTACCAACGGTGAAGAAGAGGAAAAGGAAAGGATTGCATGAACTTTGCTGGACACTGAAGAGGAAAATAAAAGAGGAAAATAAAAAGAAATGAATAAGAGGAGGGAGTAATGAAAAAAAAAGGAATAAAAAACTCAAGCGATAGACAGACAGGCAAGCCAGCAGGACAGACAGATAGACAAATAGACAAATAGACAGACAGACAGACAGACAGTTAGACAGACAGACACTGGGTGGTACAAAAAACAAATAAGGGCGTGATGAATATGGGTGGGTGTAGTAGGGAAATGGGGATTGGGGATTGGGGAGGGGGGTGGGATAGGAAGGAAGACGTGGGAATACTGATTGATTGATGAAGCCTGAGGACCAGAAGAGGGCTTCGGATGAGCAGAAAGCCCAGAATCCGGGGGTGCAAAGCGAGAAGAAGAGGACGAAGCCGGGCGATAGGATGAGGCCATGGCGGGCAAAAGCCAGGCTAGCGGTGGGGAGCAAAGCAGCGGTGAGGCGGGAGTTGCGTCGGCCGGAGATACGCTAGGGGATCCTGGGAAGGAGTTATCACCATCCGAGTGGGGAATCGTGAACGAAGTCAAAAGACTGTCCCGGGAAAATTGAAAAGAGAGGCTGGGTTGGATCTTCCCCCCGGTGGGCTTAATGCCACGACCCTTTTTGACTACTTACTTGGAGAGTGGCGTTGCTCCATCCAGAGCTGATGAACTACTTACTTTTACTATACTTACTTACTATCAGTCCTGACTATCTACTACTGTATCCTAGGTTAGCACGTACAGTAGTCTGCTTTTCTTCCCCGGGCGCCAAAATGGAGAACGAGATGAAAAAAAAAAAAAAAAAAAAAAAAAAAAAGAAAAGAAACAAACATACAAAAAAAAAAAAAAAGGCAGACAACCATAGTGCCACTCCAACGAGACAGGACAAAAGAGCCAACATGGTCTTCACACTAGTCCTATCTGAGTTCGATCCGTAGGACCCTACATCTCACAATATGCTAGAGACCGGTTAACCCAGTATGGCACCAGGATCGAACTACTGCTAACTGTTCAATTGACAAGTCTCATGATTATCAGCCCTTTCTCGATCTTGGACAAATTGGAAGCCTGCCAACTGAGAGAAAGCGAAAGCAAAAGAGAAAGGGTAAAAAAAAAAAGACTAGACTAGCCCGAGTGGACTAACTAGTTAGTAGCTGCTGACCATGGGATGCGCGCGACGGCAGTACTAGCCCCATACGCCCATGCATCGGATTAGCCTGCTCTCGTTGGCGTCCCACGTCCGAGCCACGTACCGGCCATGTACCAGTGACTCCCTCAACTGCCCTCCAGCGTAGCACTGCCCTACGTCAGTAGTACCTCGCTCAAGAAAGATTCTCATCAGGCAGATGATTTGTTGTCAGTCAACTAGTAGTCATAGTGGCATAGTAGCATAGTAACCATAGTCGCACCTTCGAGCTGTAGTGCTACTCAGCCTTGGAACTGGGAAACCAACAAAAGCCTGCTTGGGCTACCGCGGTACCGGACGGAATTTTCCGTTGTCGAGACACGGGATCACATTCGGGAAAGGGAGATCAGTGGAAACCGTCAAGATCGGTTGAGACTGGATTCGATGGAGCATTATTGACTAAGGCGCCACGGTTATTGGCAATTGTCTCCGATCGAAAGGTCGGCCGTGGCAATATTTTCTTTTTCTGCTTCGTCGCTTTGCCCCGAGGGCCGTTAGTGTTAAAACTCAAACTATCTCTCTTTGAGTTACTAGTCAAGGACTGAGCGACCTCGGAAAAGGACCCTCGCTGACTCAACGCCTCCCGTAACACCGAATCAAAGGACATAAACTGTATTGTACGTGAGTCCTCGCCAGTGACAGGCAAACTTCAGGTTCAACGAGGTGGACAGGAGGACTATTGTTGATGTACGTCCGGGCTTACCTACATACATCTAACAGCCTCTGGCCTGGCTGCCATTCGTCCCCTTCCCCCGTCCCCTCGACCGGGATGGCCTGTTAGTTCACGGTAGGTGATAATCATCTCGGCCCAATAACGCCCATCCTCCCAATCAGTAAGCAATCACTGGCGCACACATGTTGATTTCGTGCCAACAAGGTGGCTGACGGTGCAGTAGCTCCAAGGTTCATCAGCATGCCACAGGCCTTGCCCCTCGAGGCCAACTAGGTACGACTACTACTGTACGATTCCCCTCCCCGGAATCCCCAAGAGCACATCATCCCTCCTTATCTGCAACCCTCTTCTCTTGACGATGATGAAATGATGAGATGATGAGGAGTCGATAAGGGTCGAGGCAACTTCACGTCCCCCTCGTTTTACCTTTCTGGGTAAGTCATCATCATGAAGATAGGCATATGCAATCCCGCGGCGCGTTGGCATGTACATGCTGCGGATGTCTGTCTCTTCCTCCGTAGTGGTTACAGGGTCCTTTCTGCTCTTCCTCTTACTTGGCCTTCCCACTTTTTTCCTTGTGACTTCCGTGACCCCACCCGTTTAGATAATTTTAGCAAGGGTCGACAAAGACATTTCCCATAACCGCCAGCTCGGCTCGTAAAATGGGAGGAGAAACGTGACAGATCCAAAATTGGTTCTCAACAAACATGCAGGCGCAGGGCTATGTCAGCGCCATTGGGGTGGTCACCTCCTCCACGGGGCCGTGCAAAGAAAGTAAAAAAGAAACACAAACGGTCTTGGCCGCGGAGCTCCCTCGAAGGGGAAAAGGGAAACAGACACACCTCCCTAAAGCAGGCAACGAGCCAGCCCAGGCGTAAGGAAACGTTCTGCATATGAAATCCAAGCCCGTGAACTCCACTCCGATGGGGCTCGACAACTCGATTCGCTGGCTATGAAACATATCAGCACCACGGACTTCTGACTCGCAGCTCGCCACGCCAGCGGCCGCAAGCCATACATACTATCTCCAGCGCGTCGCTTTAATGTCTCCAGAGCCAACAATGTCCAGACGGTTGCGCCGGCTGACGACGTTGGCGCTTAAGTCGCAGCAGCCATGGAAATCTTATTATTAGCGCGGTCGCGATGTTTGTGAGGTCACAGAGGAGACGACACACGGGAAGCGGATCTGCAGTAGTAGTGTCGATGGTCAGTGCCCGAAATCTTTAGTCAAAGACAACGTAGCGTAGTCTAGGTAGTAGACTTTGTGTTGTAGTAGACTACTAAAATCCAGCGTCAATAACTTTAAATCCTGCCTGGTTTGCTGCGCGCGCTCAATCCCGTCGCTTGAGTCGGCTAGGACAGGGTTGGAAGGGTCGGGAAACCACTTGAGTTTCTTCCGGTCGATTCAACGTCCAGACAAAGAGACAGGATAGGGAGGAGGAAAGAGGTTGGAAGGAGAGGAGAAGGTCCCCTGAGACCCTTTGACCCCTCATGGTCGAGTCATGGAGTCTGAAGGAGCTGCATCTTAACTACAAGGATTAAGACTTCCGGCCGCCGACCGGAATGCCCACTAGCCTGAGTGGGAGAGTGAAAGCGGCGATCCATTCCTCATCGGCCATGGGCTGGCTGCCTGCGAAAAAAGGAAGAAAGGGGGTCACGGGATCCATCCGTCACGAAGAAAAAGGAAAACAAAGAGCAGCAGACGAAGATGCCTCGGGAACGTGCTGGCAACACAGTGTGGGTTGATTTGACACCACACCACCATGTAAGAATCTGACAGATGTTTGGGGAATGAATGAGGATAAAGAAATCATTCCCATCCATCATCCATAATAGCCACATCCACTAAATTCCACAGCCTTATCTTCGCGGAACCGCGGTTCTCTATCTTGCGCACTTGGTTTGTTCGCCCAACTCGACTGGGGCTTCTGGCCTGAGGAGTCGACGAGGGGCCCACCTGACTTGCAACTGCGGCGGGGAGAAAGAACAATGGATTCTGCGGGCGGCCATGGCAGCTGTCATCTCCATTCATGAAAGAGGAGAACAATCGGACCCAGGCTCATCTCGATCATTCTCGATCGCGCCAATAAACAGTAGACCCGAAATCATATATTCAAACTCCAGGTCGTTCCATGCCGATCGTTATCGCCGCCGCAGGGAAGCCGCGTCGCAAAGTTCGTTTTTCATCCAACCAAACATCCAGGCCAACAGACGCTCAGGGTAGAGACACAAAATCTACTAGTTCGTCAATAGGACGCCGTCAGCCCTCGGCGCCTACACCCAGGAAGCACACTTCGCTAGACCAACGCAGCAACAGCAGCGGCGGCATGTATGAGCCCCAAGCACATCCCGGAGTTCCGGCGTTGTTTCAAGAGCTGCCCTCGCTGCTAGATGCCCTGTGCACCGAGACCTCTGAGGTCCAAAGTGAGACCGTCAACAAATGTCTGCCCTTTTTGAAAGGCATTCACAACAGCCAGGCAGGTCCATTCAACCGATTCGGAGTACCATCTCTGAACCAGAATGACCACCTCATCTACTTATACGATTCTTTGGAGGACTATCCAGAGGGCTTCGCTGGCATGGATGCAAGCCGACCTTGGATGGTCTACTGGGTGCTGGCCGGATTAAGCCTCCTGGGGGAAGATGTCACCAAATACCGTGAACGGTAAGCAATCATTGAGCTGTGCGTTTGACAACGTGCAGATTGATCATAGCTGCGCTGCTGCGATTCTGGCTCTCAATTACCACATTTCTATCCAACGACCATGTCTAAATCCTCTCTCTAGTGTCATTTCCACGTTTACGCCAATGCAAAATCCTACAGGTGGTATGGGAGGAGGTCACGGGCAACTGTCCCACTGCGCCTCTAGCTATGCCACAGTGCTCGCTTTAGCCATGGTCGGAGGCGAAGAGGCATTCGAACTAATCGATCGGGAGGCGATGTGAGTAGTTATGGTACCTGACTTGAGCATCAATGCATGCTGACCTGGGCCTAGGTGGAGATGGCTAGGCAGCTTGAAGCAGCCTGATGGCGGCTTTAGGGTCTGCGTGGGCGGGGAAGAAGACGTGCGGTATTTTCTCCCGTTGCTTGCTTCGCATCCACCTTTTGCTTTTTGCTAAAATTTGGTCAGAGGCGCCTATTGCGCCATGGTGGTCCATTCGCTACTGAATTTGCCACTGGAATTACCCCCTGATGCCGAAGCTCGGCAGCACGGTCTCGAGACATTCACCAGTGGCCTCTCGGAGTACCTGTCGAGGTGTAAGAGCTTCGCATCCCTAAACCGCCGGACTAGACTGATCTGGACTGCAGGCCAAACATACGAAGGCGGCATTTCCGGAAGCCCCGGTTCTGAGGCGCATGGTGCCTATACTTTCTGTGCTTTGGCATGTCTGTGCCTCATGGGCCCACCAGAAGTTATGGTGTCGAGGTAAGAGGTGCATTCTCATGTTGTTCTCCCCGCTTCCGCTGATAACATCAGGTGCATGGATGTTCCTTTACTCCTGAGCTGGCTTTCTGCTCGACAGTACGCACCCGAAGGAGGGTTTTCGGGAAGGACCAATAAATTGGTGGATGGCTGCTACAGCCACTGGGTTGGCACCTGCTGGCCATTAGTTCAGTCTGCCCTCAACGGGGTCCAGTCAGCTACAGGCCCGGAGCGGGTCCCTGCCAATCTCTACAGCCGTGAAGGGTTAACCAGATATATCCTTGGCTGTTGCCAGTCCAAGTTCGGGGGGCTCCGTGATAAGCCTGGGAAGTACGTAACTCCCTTCCTCTTCCGAGTCCTTTCACAGTGTGGTCAGGCTAACGATGGCTACTAGGCATCCGGATTCGTACCACACCTGCTACACGCTGACAGGCTTGAGCTCAACCCAGTATTATCATTACCACACCACTTCCAGCGTCAGCTCTGATGAGGGCTTTGGTTCGGCGTATTCCTGGAAATGCACACCCATCCCTGCTTCGGATGATTCATCCTCCGACCAGAATGTATTCGATGAGAAGGACCGGTTGAAAGCCTTTCACCCGATCTTCGTGGTACCCCATGCGGCCGCAGAGAACCTGCGGGTATGGTGCGAGCACCGTCCGCTCAAGCCCGAATGGTGATGGGACAGGGTCAAGCTATCGAGCAGGGGAACTATATCAAATGAAAAGTATAATTTGTACAGTACGACGCATGTAAGAATCAATTGTTCATAAGCTTGTTACACGCATGTAAGATAGTTTGGCTGGCCTCCGCACTGAGGGGAAGCAGGGAAAGCCAGGAAGCAGCCAGCATGAAGATGAGATGATCAAACCAATGGTTTCTTGCTGGCTTGCGACAAGATCCGGGGTTAAACTCTTTGGTACGACATCAGCTGCTCAAAGTTTGGCCACTTGATGTCCCTCTCCAGTAGTCCTTTTGAAACTACAAGACCCCGCTGAAACGGTCCTGGCAGTTAGTCAAGACTAGGGGACAGTATTGACTGGGCATTCGATCTGTAGTTCTCCCATGTTTAACCCCATCCCCTGGCGCCTCAAGAATGAAGACCACGATAAGTAGAAAAAGGACAAGGCGGCTAAGAAGGCAGAGGGGAAAGAAAGGCATGGCCCGCCCTCGCTTCCACAAACATCCAAGCGGTACATGTCACCATCGCGACGCGAGGGCCACAAAAAAAGGACGGACTTACACCATGCACAGACACACTGAGCAAATATGCTGCAACCCGTCAATCAGCCAGAGGGAAGAAGAAGCAGTGGCCCAACGGGTGTCGAGTTGGAGCCAAAGGCCACCAAATTCCCCGGGGTCGTGCTGAATAAGTGGGAGAAAAGCCTCTCAGGTTACTCTGCAAGGTTAACTAACCTCCTCCTTTCTCCTCATCCTTTGCTCACTTCGTGTCGAAGTGGCATGGATTCCCCGCCGCACGAAGCGAAATTGCCAACTCATCATTGCATCCGCGATGCCTGCTTGTCAACAACATCCAACGCCTCGACCAATCTGAGCCTGATCCACTCCGGCCAGTCTGGAGCCTATCCGGATTTTTCACGCGGCAACCGATACATTCCAGGATGCTTTTGTGAATTAGTAGGTTCCGATAGCAAGAGACCTCTAGAGCGAATTTTTAAATGGTTGTTTCTACATCTGGATCTTTTGTTCGACTCCCGAAGGATTCTGTTCATTTAACATGAGGATTACTCAGGAGGCACCCGAGGAAGCGGTCTGCTAAAACTAAGGGAAGCGGATTCGGATGGCTTACCGAGTCGTCGAGGGTCATGATCGTCTCAGCATTGACCCGGCCAGAGGGAAAAAAAAGTTACGGTCGAGTCCAACGGGACTTTCTTCCATCATTGGTGGCATCCTGCTTCCCCTCCAGAAGGGACGATCGGCTCATGGTACAAAGAAGCCCGCCAGCACCAATTCTCTCTGGTGGTTCCATGCCAGGATTCATCTGCGCGACATCAACCCCTTGTTATGTATCGTCAATGTGCATTAGCGGGATTCCACGACGCCTCCTTCCTTGAGTCTTTCTCCCGTGCTTCCATTACGTTCGTTGCGACTTGCTTGACAGGGCGACAGTCGTTGTTCCCTCTACACTGCGGGGTTTATGGATCCATTTCAGACCGAAGGATCGGGAGGGGAGGGGACGCGCAAGGAAGAATGGAAGAAAATAAAATTCACAAAAAGGCCGCGCTGACTACGGACTGGCACCTTCTAAGGCATGCCTAGACAGCCGGCCCACGTTCTGCAGCAAGAATGGTAGACCGAATCGACCGATTTGCCCGGAAAGCTCTTATCCTGAACAACATGTCAACATGTTAGCCGCCTGGATCGGCGGCGAATTACACGGTGGCCGATGGGCCAGGACGTCCTGGATCTTTTTTGCGCGGGACCACTGGTGAAAAGCCATGCCAGCGCATCAGGGTTTGGACCGCGCTTGTCATGTTCCTTTCTCCAAGCAGAAAGGCGACAAGACGAACAAAGCTAGTGAGGTTTAGGACCGTTTTTGAGAGGAGGGCATTCGTCTATTGCCTTTCTCCTCGGCCAATCCGTGGAGAGTTTGAAAGAGCCGGTGGAGAGCCGTTCTTTTGATTGAAATGATAATTTTATTTTTAATTTTCCTTCTGCTTTTTTGTAATTAGTTTTGCCCCTACGGTGTCTCTGTTGTCACTCTCTCTTTACCCTTTTCTTCCCCTTTGACTGGAATAATTATCAATGACCAGCCCCACCCTGTTTATTTGAGCGGACTATACCTGAGCCAGCATGATATTCTTCGCCTCTCTTTTCTTTTTTTTTTCCCTCCTGCCCTCCGCCAGTGTAAGGCATGCTGCTTGACTCTTCTCGGCCGCTAGTTCCTTCCCTCACGGTCCTTCGTGCCCTTTGTTTGCATTGATCTATACTAGGCGTCGTCGACTGTCTCGGCCCGCTTGTGGTGAACAGGGCTCTTTGGCTATTGTAAAAAATAACGGAACCACAAAAATAGCACATCCATTGCCCGTCATATGAGGCAGTGAGTGAGTGATCATTGGGCACCAACCATCGCTATCAACATAGACTCGTGCCGGTACCTTTTTGGTGTGACTGCCCAGGATCTGGTGCAGTCTCGATCTGAGCTGGGGCAACGAATACTGGGCCGATACCATCCAGGGCTATACCTTCCATTGGCCATTCACTGGTCTTCACGATGTACTATATTCTCTACCTCGCAAGTATGTAGATGATTTCGTTTGCCATTCGTCCGACCTTTGCTTCTCTTCCCCTTCGTTTATGCCATTGGGTCAGACCAACGCCTCCGAGTGGCCATGCTCTGTTTTTCCCACTTCATGTTAGACACCATGCATGTATGCATGTGGTGGGAAAACAACAATGGCCGGGATCAAGCCGACTGCGGTGGTGGTTGTTATTGACTCAAGGCGATGCGATTTCTTATCTACACTCTCTATGATTTGTCGATCGCTCGGGGAATTTGCATCCATCGGAGCGACCGAGCGTTGACACACGATCCGATCGCCATCCATCCTTTAACAGCCATCCATTAACATTTCATGTACAGGTCTCTGCCGACGCCGGCACTGGGCAGAACCTGCCTACGAATCCTATGCAGTCGGAGGCGGTTACACGTGCATTGTCCGGGTCAACAACCGGGAATACCAGACGGAGGACGTTTGCGAATCGAAGACTCTAGCTGAGGAGAATGCAGCGATGCGCGCGTACCTGATTTGCCGCAACTTCTCTGTCAACGACGGCATGTACCCTGCTGGTCATGAACACCGGGGGGGCCCCATTCAGGGAATTCCGGTCGCCATTGGCACGGGAAGAAAGGGACGCTATGGAGATGAGACGGATATGTCGACTAGCGGCGAGAGCAGAAGTGGTGGGAGCAGTCCGGAGAGTTGTGAAGGGAGACTGGATCGACGGGGCGTTGGACCGACGAGGGCGCTTGCTTTTGGGCAGTAAGTAGCGGATGATTGATTTTCTTCGAAAAGGAGGAAGGGAGTGAAGCAGAAGGAATACTGGGATACTTGATGATGCTACGATTTACGACATGACTTGAATACCAGATAGATCGAAATGATTTTCTTTGTGCTTGTTGGCTGTCGCCTTTAGCGGTGAAGGGTACTATGGGTGATGGGTGATGGATGATGGATGATGGAATTGGTCTATGGCAGGAACACAGGGATTGATTCCAGACTGATGATCGGGCTAGTTTGTTTGATTGATTGCATGGGTGGCCAGCGATCACAATCTTGGGTGGTGAATTGATGTATGAGCGCTTAATTGAACTTGTGTATATACTATGCAGGTTGAAATCACTGACTACTACCGCTGCTGCTAAGGTATATATATACGTAGCGGTCTAGACCACCACCCAACTGAACAACCTCCAGCCATCATGATGAAACAGACACCACCGCCATTCCTCCTGAACCTGACCTCAGGAACAACAACTGAAACCCCAATGACGCCAACACCAGCATCATAGTTATCATCATCACCCCTTAACATCGCAAATTAACCTCTGCTTCGCCTCCCTCAACCGAACAAACCGACATGACACGCGTCTCCACACAAGCATCATCACAGCTGACTCATCATGACGTACATCACCCAACGAACTACATTATGAAGTTTATCCTTCCAAGGCAACTCGGGAAAATCCCTACGCCAGCAAGGAAAAGAACAATTAAATTCATAGATTCATAATCCTAATTCAGATCTACCGGCTTATACCAGTACTTTTACCCCTGATCCTGGTGCAGCTTTCATCGCCCTATCTGGTGGATACTATATATCTTTCTTGCGCCTGGAGGATAAAAGTGCATATATGAACTTCCATCTACAATAGCCGATGACGTGACCGCAATGCGGTCAATTCTGGGTCGAGTTCCTCGAGTCGGGCATGTCCTCCCACAAGTTCCGCGTGCACGATGGAACACCTGCAGTATCGCTCCTGCTATATTAGGCGCCGCGACGACGAGAGGAGGGTACAATGGGAGTGCGCATATGCTGCCTCATGGTAGTGGAGGAAGCTACACGCCACTAGACCGGAGGTGGTTCCGTGCAGGAATCCCTGGTGGTAGTGGGATGGGAAACACCCGGACGAAAGAGCAATTGGAGAGATTGAGGCTGAGGGATCGAACGGGGGGTGTGCAGGAGGAGCAGAAGGGAGGAGACTCAGGGGCCAAGTTGGAAGATGCGATGACGAAGGGTATATCTCTATCTTGTCTTGTTCTTCAAAACCAGGGCATGTGTTAATACTGTACAGGCAAGCTATTAACGACACCGTCGAGGTTATTCAAGCTGTTGATACCGCTGTCGACAGGCTATCAGGGGGAGCATAAAGGTATACCTCACTGAAATTCATGGCATTGTGGAAGAGATTATACTGACGACACAGACATCGAACCAATAGCTATTCTCGTCCACCCCCAACAACCACTCTCCCACCTGGAACGACTAATCCAGTCCGAAGTCCCAGCCATCAAAAAGGAAGACGGCCAAACCCGCCCCCCAACCGTCTCCTTCATCGCCCTACAAATCGAAGACCACCCAATTCGGCCCCGAAAAGCCGTATACGAAGGCACCGGCGCAGAAGTCCACCAGCTCGACGAAATGGGTCGCATCGACGACGGCGAAGGCAAGCGGATCCCCACAGAAGACGATACATACACGTACCTGCGCCGCACGGAGCCCAGCAAGAAGGGAGAAGAATCAGAAGGCGGTGGCAGGAGGGAGCAGCGCTTCGTACGCTGGTCACAATCCACCGAGATTGGAGACTTCATCCGCGACGCAGCACGGGCCCGGGAATTCATCGTCTCCGTGGAAGGCGCACCAGCAGGGGTGCATCAGATCCGAGTAGCGGTGCCATCATTCGACGAGCGGACGTACTTCCTGCGAATGAGACTGCGGAAGATCTCCGGACGGATCAAGGGCATTGCGGAGATCAAGCACGAGTGTGATGCGCTAGCGCACCGGGGAGCACAGCGGGTGGCGATGGGAGGGCTGGGAATCCTGGCGATGTGGTGGTACCTGGTGTACAGGTTGACGTTTGAGACGGATCTGGGCTGGGATACGATGGAGCCGGTGACGTATCTGGTGAGTTTGTCGACGCTGATGGGGGGATATCTCTGGTTTCTGTACCATAACCGGGAGATATCGTACCGGTCAGCGCTGGATTTTACGATCAATGCGCGGCAGAAGAAGCTGTATCAGGAGAAGGGGATTGATTTGCAGTTGTGGGAGTCATTGATTGATGAGGGGAACACGTTGCGCAAGGAGATCAAGAATATCGCGGCGGAGTATGATGTGGAGTGGGATGAGAGGAAGGATGAAAGGGATCAGAGAGTCACGGAGGCGTTGAAGCAGGAGAGGACACAGAAGAATGGAAATAAGAGGAGAGGTGATGAGGAGGAGGATGGAGATTAGTCTATACACGCCCATGCCCATTGCATTGCATTGCATTGCACTCAACCATTCCTAACAGGATCATAATACTCCTTCTTTCCACTGTTCGCAGCACCACTACCACCAGCAGAACCAGCAGAAGCACCACCATCATATCTCAACACCATCTGCGGAGGACTCGCCCGACCTATACATACAGCCAGCATAGCAGCATAGTTAGTTAGATGTACATACCAATCGAACCACACATAAAAGGAAAAAGAGACAGAGATACATACCTTCCCCACTCCCACCAGAAATACCACCATTCCCATTCTTATCCTTCAACAACCTCCTATTCCTATTATTCCTCACATCCCTACTCCTAAAAACACTATACAGCAACCAACCCGCGACCCAATTCGGCCCATACTCGCCACTAGTCATCCCGCGAGCAAACAGCGGTCTTGTAAGCGGACTCGCGTTCCTCGCTATCTCATTTATCCCCCATCGCTGGCGCTCGGGCCGGATGTGGTGCCAGAAGTATGGAGGTTTGGTGGTTCGGTAGATGTCGAGAAGGTTGGAGGGGTCTTCGTTCAGGTGGTTGTAGGTTGAGATTGCCTCATCCTTTTGTGGTATTTTGTTAGTAGGGTTGGGGTATGGGGGATGGGGGATTTACTCTCATGGCGCGGTAGTATTGCTCGTGTTGGGGGTCTTGGGTGGAGAGGCCCAATGCGGCCATGAATTCTTCTTTGCTGGCGCGGGGGGAGACGGACATCTTTCTTTCTTACTTTCGTCTCTTGTATTTGTTTTGTGGGGGGTGGTTTGGGGTTGGGGGTTGGTGATGGTGGAGGGTGTGGTGGTGGTAGGGATTGATGTAAGATTTAAGTAGTAATATCTCACGCCACTGTTCACTCCGTTCGAGTAAGGATGTATCAAGCAGGGATAACGATTCCGGTTTCGTCTGCTGTCGCACGGGTTCCCGAGAAATAGTTCTTGGTTGAGTGATTGCTTGCTTGCTTGCTTCTTGGGTGGTTGATGGTTGATTGTAGTAAAAGGGTGTGTTCTTGTCCCGTTGGATCAGCACATGTTATGATTGATAAACGGAGAAGAATGATAATCAAGGGAAAGACAAAGATGGGATTTCAGAAGCAAAGAGGGTGCTATTGTTGTCTATTGTATCTGCAGCACAGCCGTTGCTGCTAGTCACGGAATCAATTTGTGATACTAAGAATATGAACAATGTCTCCCATATGACCACACTAACCCTCTTTTCTTTCAAATATCCTCACCATAATTGTCATCAGATACCACAGCTGCACTTCCAGGGACAAGAAAGATACCCGTCGTCCCACTCAGCTAGTGAATAGGTAGCATGTAGCTATCCGTTTGTTGGGACAATTCCCATATGTCATGCTCTCGTCCTTGGACAACCAGTTCGGTTGTCGGATCATCCCACCACTGGCCGACTGACGGGAATAAGACGTAGTTTGTCTGACCGCAGTCTCGTGAGTAATGGGTGTATCCCCCTCTGAGTCATGACATCCAATATAGAAACGAACAGACACACGCACAGAATGCCGGTAGGCAAGCAGGACAGGCTGTCAATGTAACGTGCGCTTTTCTCATCCAGCTTGGGAAGTTGGTATGGATGGATGGTGACACACAGGCACCCACAGTACGGGAGTCGAGGAAAGAAACTGGATGGAACAGTTCCTCTGGCTGCTCCTGCTTGCCTTCTCACATCCATGAATGGCATACGGTAGGGGCTATCAGCACAACCCCATGATCATCATCACCTCCCAACCATCTGCAGTGCCACGGACCCTGTCCCATCCCGTCAGAATCCAAGTCATGTCTGCGTTGTCTTTTCCGGGCCATAAGCTAGACAGCTAGTTAGCTAGCTACTGTAGCTTCCGGAGGCAGTGGTGGTGGCTAACCCTACCATCCCTGGCTGGCAGACGCCCCCGCTAACGGACGGACAAACGCCCCAGTCTGGTTTAAAAGGGTCCTGTCTTCGACCGAAATGACAACCCGCCCCTTCTTCCTTTTGCCCAGAGGAGAAATATATATTAAGACGAACCCGTTGACCGTTTGTCGATTCCATCAATTACTTCCTCGAGGGAAGGAAATCTGTTGTTTGCAGACATCCATCCGGATGCTGCCGTGACCCGGGGCGGAGGTCGACGCTGGGAGAGTCCCAAGGATACGACAGGCACCTCCAGCTCATCTCCCGAACGTTGCTCAGCCTGGTCCTTGTGTAAAGGTGCATGTGAGGCAACGGTTGTACATACTCAAGTATGTCCGACAATCCACGGCAAAACTCCCGTCTGGCAGCTCACGAACTTTGCTACCGGACCCGATAAAGTCGACTCAACTACCACCTACTTGTATCTATGATCTAGGGAGGGTCGGATGAGAGTGATTGCTGTCACCACCTCCTCCCATTTCATCTGTCGTTCCTGAAGCTCAAGCTCCCAGGGGTATTTGCTCAAAAGCAACGGTCGTCCAAGCATTCCCAGCCCCCCTGGCAAGCAACGACTACCCGATCATGCCACAAGGCAATGTGCATGCGACATCCGCCCCCCAAGGGCCATCTTGCAACTAGGCTAACCAAGGCAGGACGACAAGTATCAATCATCTACCTTTTCTTTTTTTTTTTTTGTTTTTCTTTTCCTTTTGTTCTGGTTCTTCATATTCCCTTTAGTTCATGGTTCATACAGTTCTAGGAACAAACAGCCCCGGCCAAGACAAGGGGCAAAAATAGAAATGAAATCATCTTTTTTCCGCGGCAAGATGGATGTCTTGTCTTCCTGCATGTTTCCGCAGTCTTAGAAATAGCTGTGTGGTGATGGTGCTGTCACTTGGTGATCTCGATTGCATTGATCTTGGGCGGAGCGTGTGGCCTCGCTCTCGCGCGTATATTCAGTTAACTGACACAGAATTCTCGCCTGATTCTACCCTGTCCTTCTGTTTCTGTTCGTCCTAAGTTTAAGAGGATTCCTCCTCTTCGCCATAATACTTGCGCAGGAAGGCCTCTACTTCCTTGTAATCCTTTTTCACCTGGGTCAGGGTCTTCTCAATGCGCGAAAGGGAGGTCTTCTTGTCCGGCTCGTCCGTCGTACCGGTCTCATCCTTGCCGGCGCCGTAGTGTTGAATCTTCTCGCATGCATCCTTGACCTTGGTGAGTCCGAGCGTGGCTGATGAACCTTTCAGGTAGTGTCCCAGAGAAGACAAATCATTCAGATCTTCCGCCTTCCTATAGGCTTGATTAGCGCGATTTACCAAACCGCAAGCGGCGCGAACACTTACAAAGCATCCTCCATCTTGATGAATGTGCTCTCAGCCTGGTCGAAGAACCCAAACACGATACCCTTGCTGAAATCTCTATCACTGTCGTCGTCATCCATCTCCAAAATCTGCTCGAATGTGCTCTGGTCGATACTCCCACTCATCTCCGCCAATGTGGAGGGGATCTCCTTAGTCTCCTTGGGCTTGGGGAGGTCAGCTTCAACCTTGGCTTCAGTGTGCGGCTTCGCGACACCTACAGGCTCCTCCACGGTCTTTGTAGTAGTGGTGGGCGCCATGATGATGTGATGATACGAGACTGGTCCTCGTGCTTTGGGTTAAGGTTCAATGTCGTTCGACGTAGAGCAAACGCCTTGAGACCACCAGGAGTCAATGGTCTTTTGACAAGCTGCGTGTCCGGACTCTGTGGGTCAATCTAGCCGGCTGTTCTCCGGGCCCAAGCTGGCAAGCAGCAAACACGGAAATACTGAGAATTACACGGAAAGAATCTGCAGGCTAATTCCATGTCAGCGGTGGAACACGAATCGAACGGCGACGTTACAGCTGCTCGGATCGATCGTGATGATGTTGCCCTACGCAATAGGGGTATTACGGGTCAGGCAAGCCAGCCCAGGGACAAAGAATAAAACAGGAGATATACAACGAAAGGAAGGGGGGGGATGAACACGCAGACACACACAGAACACAGAACTGGAGAGGCCAACAGTTCGTCTTTGGTATGATTGCCTCGTGAATAAAGAAAAAAGATTGAGTCAAGAGGGGTCGATGAGGGGAATGAAGAAAGAAAAAGAGTTCAAGAGCAACACACAAGGTAATCTAGCTATGTGAGGCTGAAGGAATGTTTAAACAAGGATGTTCCTGCCACCAGGGAATGGGGAGGGGTATCGTATGGAGTGGAAATAAGTGAGGCTGGGAGGGGAGAGGAGAAGAAGAAAGTGATTGTGGAAAGAGAGGCAGCGGGTAGAAGGGAAGCACAGATATCAATCCACCAGATGGGATGGATCCACCTTGGGATGAGCAAGGGAACAGCTGTCTGGATCAGGAGGGACGAGGGGGAGGGGCAGTGATTGTCCGAGGGGGAGGATGAGCAGCCGAGCACTTATTATGATGGGCTGGGAGGCGCTAAGCAGAGCAGCAGAAGGGGGGTTTTGCCCACCTGGAACCAGTTCCGTCCACCGCAGTTTTAGAAGCTGAGGTTGCCTTTGGGTATATATGGATTCAATAGAAGTATGGCAGCAACAGCGGAGGTGGCAATGGTCAGATTAAACTTAGATTAACGGGGAACCCGACGATAAGGCGAGTTAAGGTGAGGCAGAAGTGGGAAAGATGAATATTCCCGATTAGGACAAGTGGATAAGATTAAAGAGGATGAAGCAGAAGAAGATGATGAGAAGGGGGAAAGCGATGCTTGAAAGTGGGAGGGAGGGAAAAAGAGGAGAGGAAGAGAGGAGGAGAGGAGGAGAGAGAGGGAGGATGAGGTAAAAGGAAATGACGATGCTGATGGTTGGTTGCACTCTGTGTGTGTGTGAACCTCTTCTCTCCTTTCCTTTTTGGCGCGCCTTTTTTTTTCTTCTCTTACTATTTTTTTTCCCTATTAAATTTATTTAATTCAGAAAATCTTTCCTTATTATTATTTGTTTTTCCTTTTTGAATTTTTTTTTTTTTCGCTGCACTTAGGTTTTTTCTGGTTAGGCGCGCGCCGTCAAAAGGAACCAGAAAGTGGAGGGGAAACGAAAAAGAGGAGGGGAGCAAGTGGGCTGGGCTGGCAGCCGATAGAAACAGAACAGACACAAGAGACAGCAGATAGGGAGAGGAGGGAGGAGGAGGAGGAAGATTACCGATGGGAGGAAAGAAACAAAAAGAATCACAACAAGACCCGAACTAGAGGTAAGGTACAGCCTGATCAGACTGTATTATCAGGAGTCAAAAGTAAGTTGTGTCCCGACAATACCCTTAAGGGAGTCCCATGCCCGTAACCTCCAAAAGTGAAGGTTGATGATGTGACCTCTTCACTCAAGTTACCCTCAGGCTAGAATTATGATTAGGATTTTAGGCGCTATTGCGGGAATGAATAATACGGTGGGCCAGCCCTTGATGGGACAAACCGAGGGGAACACCGATGCTTCAGACCTTCTTCCTCAACTGACAGGCCCCGATCCGATGTTCATCCAGAGCGGTCAATTCATTGGACACCGGCACGGTGGGCTGCAGCAGTCATACAGAAGAAGGCACCTAATGAACGGAAAGAACAATAAAGGGAGCCAACTGAAAAAAACAATGAGTGGTCTCGGAAAGCTTACAAACCGTCGTGGTGGTGGGGAAGAAAAACAATATTGCAGAGTAACGACGATGATCAACCGACGAGCAGAAAACGCGTGAACAGAGAAATTTCGGGAGGGGGACAAAAAAAAGGAGAGCGGGACTCTGGCAGCGTTTTAAGCAACCGATGACGAGATCCTCTGGCGTCATCTTCTCTTGTCGCGCGTTCTTCGATGGTTAATCCCTTTCAACAAAATTGTCTCCTATTTAAACCGCGTGGTGTACAGCGATCCCTATCACAGTGAAGGGAAAGGATTCTCCCCTTTTTTTTTTCCCGCTTTCACCATCCAAAGGAAAGTCTACTTCTCCCAAGTCGGAGCCGAACGCGATCCCACGTCTCGAGACTAGAATTTGCCGGGAGAAAAAGCCTCAAAATATCCAGGTCAAACATCCCACATAAGTGAGGACCGCTGATTGGCCCGGCCTATGTGGGGAAGGCGAGACCAGAGGGAAAAAAGGGTTAAGAAAGAAGCGGGCAAACACCAAACCCATGCACAATGCCATCTTCCCTTCATCCAGATTTGTTGAACATTGCAATGCCTGTGCTTGTTAACAGTCCAGCCAGTCGTGAGCTCCTCTTCCCGAGATAACCAGACCCCTCTTACATCCCCTCTTACCTTTGCGAAAGGATTTGTACCGACGGCCCTACTCTCGGGCCAAAAAGGGAGCCAATCCTTACCTCCACTCTGAATGATGCACGCTGAGATCATAGGACCACAATTGACGTAGGGTGTCCGCCCTCCGATTTTTATCAGTCGGCCATGGGCGTCGATCCCCACCACCGCACCACCTCCAGTCTCTGAACGGTCAACAGGCATCATCACATCACGATCACAAACCGCACGTGGATGGCACCTCATTCCTTCGTCTTGTCTTTCATGGTCGACAGAATTATCTAGAATGCCGACGTGCCTTGGAATGGCAAACGAGGGGTGATGGTGCGTCTGGTGGGCTGAGACGGGACGACATCACAGTAAGATCGTGCTTGCAGGATTGTCCTCTGCCTGGAGGCAGTCATGCACGGTGCAGTCCACCAATCCCACCGGAGACGTTGCGTATTCGGTTGACAAATCGACCGTAAACCCAGTCACCAGGTTTGTCGCGTTGGAGCCGAATCTGGACCCTGTTCATTCACCTGCTACGACCTCCCGGGAAAAAGAGAGGGTTCTGGGCCCCTTCAGGGGTCAACCAAATTAGCTTGTACCGGACGTACACAACCTGCAAGACCAAACATAGGCAATCGGCGACCAGAACAAAAAGCGAGGCGACAAGGAAATCCTTTCAACGCCTTGATCCGTGATCCGTTTTCCGTTGCGGGGTGTTTGTAAGCTAGGACGAGAAGGGAGAGAGCGTAGAGCAGAAGAACCCCCTCGAGATCTGATCCATAAGTACCGTAGAAATTGGTGCCGGCGGAGGGAGAGTGGAAGAAGGCCCATTGGGCATTCGACATTTGCAAATCGCCGAAAGAAAACAAAAAAAAGTAAAAATCGGCCAAAATTCGAGAGAACAACAATACTTGCCAACTCTGTTGATTCTATATAAGTAGTCCATGCTGGGGAATGGATCTATATTCTATATTCTAATTACAGACACATCGTCATCGCAGATTCTCATTCTTTGGTTTTACGAGGCGAGGCGGATTCAACGAACAGTTGAGGAAAGGTTCTTTCTGGGTCTGGCTGGGAAGGGCGAGCCTATCAGATAGCGAGATACCTGGACAGTGACATCATGGAGGGGCAGAACTGCTGCCAATCAAAAGCGCCGCTGACGTTGGCGGGGTCATTGCCAAGCGAACCAAACTAAGCTTGGACCGCCTTCCAGACACTTCGGCCGCAAGTCGCTCCTTCCCTATTTTGCTACTTTTTATTCCTGTCCTGATCATTGTCACTGGACAGCATCGTGTAACTCTGCCCTTTTGTACGATTGTAATCTACTAGTAGCTTTAATCTTTCTCACCCCCGTCGGTGCTCATCTCCAGAATGGACTGTCCGCGGAGTTCTCCAGCAAGAGTGACACTACTAGGGGGACCCTTGGTATAGTAGAATAACTCTCACCCACGCGATCGATAGGGCGAGTCATGCCTGGGAAGCGATTGTTCCCCTGTCTCAGGCTCTCTCAACGCCTATCCATGTTCCGGGCAATCCTCGCCGTCTGCCTCCCGCTGGTCGATCCACTGCCACCTCAATTAGGAACTTCTGGGGCTCCAATCTGAGCAGCCTATCATGCTCCCGACCACCCTTGTACGATGTACCGTGTGTGAAAACCGACGTTGCTTCTCGAAGGATCCTTCTCGGAGTGGGCCGGTCGTCCGTCTTGCTCATCATCTTCACTTGTGGTCATGAATTTTGTATCAGGCATTAAAGCCATTTTTCAAGATTGATAAATAATACCTTGACCCCTCATCACAGCATCACTTGGCGCAGATACCAGCAATTTGCTTCCACTTCAACTGAATCCTTAACATCAGACATACAGTTCATCATCTGCCCTCTTTAAATTAGATGGAATCTCACCCGCGTGTGATCAGTATACATCCCATCATACAGCATGCACTAGCCGGGGGGTTGTCGCGCGAGCCATGACATCAGCCTGCAGGAGGGGAGAAATTCTGTTGTCCCATCATCCTTCCGTTCAGCCTGTCCTCGATTGGGACCCCTCCCTCCACTGCAGCCCGCATGGAGTACCTGCCACAGTAGTGTCCTACTTTAGTCTGACAGTACTCCGTACAAAGTCCTCATCGGGCAAGGGGAAGGCTAGAGCCATCCACTTATCAGCCACCAGCCCATATGGACTAGGTGACAATATATTGTGACCCGAGCTAGGTAGGTATAACCTCGACCAATCACCATACTAGTATTATAGTTCACCGACTACTACTAAGTAGTAGTAGCGTTTGTGGTGGTGGTATACCACGTCTCGATGCCACCCCAGTCTATGGGCATCTACGGTTGCGCTTATGGTCTGATCTCAATCCTTACTTTGACACCTGACAAATATTCAAAATCTCACAGAAAGTCACCTGAGCACAAATTCCACAACTTATGGGCCCAGAGCACTTACTATACCTCCCTTACCTACTCGTCAAAGTAAAGACCATACTAAACGGAAAATCCCACACCAACACCCACTACCATTCGCTGGAAAGTTTCTCCGGGCAAACTAAACCAGATATTTACTAGTTAGATAGAACATCTCGGGACTGCTGCATCTAAGAAAACTAAGTAAATAGCCACAACGTTGATCTTGTTTCATTCGACCTGCGTCTCAGATCTACCTCGCCTAACTGCGGGCGGCCGTGGCGAATCTACCTACGTGGTTTTTGATCCTATTACCTGCCGGTTAAGGCTTGGTTGGAGATGAAAGCAGCCTGTGCGGCGCTTGGCTTGCGTAAGTAGCCTCGTTACATGTACTGTGTGCCTTGATTCGAACTATAAGTGCTGGAGTTATATGTGACGGCCAATTGGATGGAAGGGACTGTGGTGATATTGAAATGCTTGATATCCACTGTCAAAGCCCGAGAGAAGTAAATCCCGATGATAATCAAGAATTATATAGCGGCGGTGATAGTGATGAGATGATGCTAATTACTAATACTAACGTGCTCATAACACGAATAACTTATAAAACAGAGAATTGTGTATGTACACATGGATCTTCTTATTGAAATCTTCTCTATCAGTTCTGGCTATGTAGGGTATTAAATCGCTTAGATCTTGTTATCATTAAGTAGTGTGTATATCCCTGCTGGTGCTTGCTATGACACAGCAGCCGCGTAGATAAACCGACGGATGTATTTTGCATTTCAGCTTTGATATACTAGTAGCGTAGCCACACTAGCTAGAAATTATCATTAAGACAAAACCATTTGAACGTAATGTCAATAGATTAGATTCATAACCCGAGACACTGACAAACAGTATTATTCGCAATTAAGAATGAGCTCGATAGACCAGAGCTAAAGTCTAGAAGGGTTTCTACTACTTCAACAATGAAACAATGTTCTCACATATTATCCTCCTCTTCCTCTTCTTGGAAGAAGCAAGCCGCCATGCAATACTATGTACTAGATAGAAAGTAACCGTCCTAGGTAATAACCCTTTCGACCAAGACCAGTTCGACCCTCATGATGATCTTCGATCTACTACAGATCCATACTTTGACTATCTTCTTGTATGCCATTTCATTGCACAAGTCCCATGAACTTTTCTAACATGTTATGATGACACGCTATTCCTACATCCAGGTACCCGTTGACTTATGCCTACATACCGCAAGTATAATCAACCACCAAGTCAGAATCAATTACTTGAAAACTATTTTGTTTTACTACTATCTACACAATCATTGGCCATAAATTAGTATATAGAACCTTCTACATTGCTATTTGTCATCTACATCAGAAAAATATGATGCTGCTAAACAATCCCACGCAATATTTTCAGATCAATACTACTAATACTTCTCACCAACCACTTTCGGGACCAGTCATCGTCATCATCGTTACATTTCACGCGATTCTACGTCTTCTATATCACTAGATGTTAATTAGTTGACGTTAAGTTTCATTATATAGTTCAGTATGATTTCTATGTAGTATGTAAGGTTTAGTTGACGGTTGGGGAAATTTACCCTTATCTAGTAGAATTACTCATATGCTTGCCTATCTCTACTGAGGAAGTTGAGTACTGGGGTTATATCAGTTAGATTTTCTGTTTTCCCGAAGATGTGGTTATTCGTTTGTTTGCTATGGTGTCAGTGTTGAAGATTTGGATACCTACTGGCTTGAATGCATCAGGTTGTGGTGTTTAGTATGCCCCAGGGAATAGGGTGGAACAAATGAGGAGGGTTCTTACGACCGATGATCAATGTTTATACCTCTCTTTCATACTCCTCTTGTTAGGACTGGGGAGGTTTCCTTGCCTTACAAAGTACAGTAGTGCCTGAGTGGCAAGTCACATAGTATATGAGATGGCTTTGATGTGTGAGTTGGGATGGGCTTTGTGTATTTGAACTCTCGACTGTGCTTGTGTTTAATTTTTCTTTATTTTACTGCTTAACGAGGGTGGTGCTAGTATTGAAGTGCATTATGGTCTTGGATTTGCTGTCTGCTGGCCTACTCAAGTGTATGACACTGCTTGAGAACATCCGTGGCCGTTGTCTACTGGAAGCGAACAGACCTAGTTGTAAACACGTTCTTTCATTCTGAGATACTAACTACTAACTAGGGGATTAAAAAAAAAAATAAAAGCAACAAGCATTACATCATGAATAAATCACAAAGTATTGATCAGAGTATTGTTGCAATTCAGGATACTAATGCTCGGGCGAATTTTTTGCATGAGACCGTATTAGCCGCCAGCGGTGAGGAATAGAATATCAGACCAGATTCAATACACAGAGATAGATAGACGTCAGACAGTGGCCTCAATGAAGCAGTCTTGTAGCGAGATTGCGCCATATGCTCTGGTAGCTGGCTCATGACAGCGTCCGAAATCAGCCTGTGGAATACCGACACTTACATTTCAGGCCCGTACGAGCAGACATCAGATTTGAATCCAGCGATGAGCTTTCTGAGTGGCAGTATCGTGTTGTGCTTTTTCAGAATGCAATAGCTCTCTGGTCACGGAACACATTCTGAACCTGCCGCTGTACCTTCTCGAATCGCACAAAGGCGCAAGATTCGCTTTCCAGGTGATTAAACAGAGCAGCTATAGTAACAAACTGCTTCCTACACTTCGCGTTTGGACAATGATATAGCTTCTGCTTGTGCACGGGCGAATTGAGATGTTGATTAAGTGCGGTCAAGCTGTTGAATTCCCGATGACACAAGTAGCACTCCCAGTAGGCGCCGTTGTATGCACGGGAATTAGCCTTGTATTGAATGTTGTCATCCTCATTCCATTCAAGCAGCTTCCTTGTAATGACGCCCTGGGTGTCACGGCTGCGAACGAATTTGTAGATAGTCTCGCGATTGAGGCCTGTAGCACGTTTGCAGGAGCCGGTTTCAAGGTGGTGAGCGACGCCAGTGGCCGTAGTAAAAGCAGCGTTGCAAAAAGGACAGAAGATCTCTTGACCGCGGTGAATCTTCGAATTCAAGTGCTACAAGCGAAGTCTGAGTTTATTCACGATGTTTGAGGAAATAGAAGGCCTTACCATCTTGAGGTTATTCTCGGTATCGAAACGCCGGTTACAGGGGTGGCAGTAGTTCTTGTAATGGGATTTGGCCTGCATATGCTGTTCTGCAGCACCTTCCGTATGGAACATCTGCGTGCAAGTCTCACATGGTCATGTTGGAGCCCAATGGTCCATTGCATTCATGTGCTGATCCGCTGACGTTTGATTGTAGAACTTCCTCCCGCATGTCTCGCAAGGAATCTTGGGTGCGTGGTGTCTGTAGTCATCCATATGTTCCTCCACTTCCCATTGAGTCAAAAACTGATCATCGCAGGTTTCACATTCGTACCGCACGCCCCAATGGCCCGTGTCGTTCATGTGCTGGCGACAGGCATACCAGCTGTTGAAGTAGCGAGGGCAGGTTTCACAGGCGTACATTGTGGGTACTAGAGGGGTGTCTGGAAAGCAATGATGCTGCTTGGACGGAAATATTCTGGGCTTACTGTGGTGTGTCGAACAAAGATGAGGCCAGAAGACTTATGTTGTCTCTAGCGGTGGAGGGGCAGGGACCAAGAACCACTATTGCACGAAGTAATTACTCGACTGAACCCAGCCAGGAAACTATAAGCACCTTATTTGCAACCTTATCAGAGGGTGCAACGAGAGCAGTCGAAACAGAGGTTTGGACTAGAATTGAAATAATGATGAGTGAAAGATGGAGGGTGATGTGAGTGAGTTCCGCTACGATCGATCTATCTTCAGCCTGCGGCTGAGCACCAAGCTACTCCTTGCAGTGATGCTGGATGTCCGCTTTCACTGGGCAACATGAGCAACAGTAATGCAAAGGATACATTCACCGCGCATGTATGTCTCTATAGTAAGCAAACTTAAGTGTGAGGAATGCTCTCACAGTCTACTCACCCATACCGCATCGGAAATGTAAACAAAGCACCGGGCATCTGTCGCTAAGACCCACTCATCAGCTGGCAGCTGCCATTCTTCGGAGAAGGGCAAACTACTGTCCATAAGACATTATTTTGAAGCTCCCGGCTAAATCGGTCCGTTGGCTCATTGGATGAGTTTGGAAAACCGGAGGTTGTGGGTTCGAGTCCCATGTAGATCGTTTCCATTGGTCTATTGGCTCAATGGTAGAGCGCCGGTCTCCTATGACGGTTCGGTTTTTTGCTTCGGATACGTACTCTTCTATCCACCCCCATTGACATGAATGAGTGCTTGAAGGCTTTGACGTCTGTCAGACATCTTCTGTGAAGTTTGGATAGAAGTGATGTTTCTTCAACTTCAGTGTGGATGCGAGAGTCCCACTGTCGCACCAAGTTTAGTGTGCAATTGCTGTGTATATGTTTGATCCATGTCACCACCGTGCTGGTTGAACTGAGTATTGAACTCAGGATCTCTGTTGCTACAGCCCTCAAATATGTATCATCTTGGCGACCTTGTTAGTCAACTCTTTAAGTCTACAACGTGTATGGGTTAAGGCCACAACAAGCCCATTATGCCTAGCTGTTGGGTGGGGACGGTAATCACACCGACAGCAGCTTGCCCGCATGCGCCTTGCCGGCAGCCGTAGTTTATGATAGGCTTGTTGATTGAGAGCGGATCACTCAACGGGAATTGAGAATGGTACCACCTTTCTTTGTTTATCTAGAGTCACCCTCTTCAAGCAGAAGAAAGTTCCGAACCGACGTAACCATAAGTGGAAGGTCATTCCGTCCTACGACCCAGAGAGTTGGACGCGATAGTGGTAGTCTCGTTGGGTTATCATGCCTTCAAAACAGAAGAAACACTAGTTCGTATTTAGGGAAACTTTCTTACAGCCGCCCAATGCAATAGCCTGTATGGCACATACGCACATTCAACCACGACAGATGACGCAGCCAAGAGACAGTTATCAAGAGAGATAATTGATACATGACTGGTGAGTAAATAGTAAATAGTGATGATGCAAACGATGAGCTGGTATATGACACTGGAATGCATGCAGTCATGGATACGATTCAGTGGTGCCCGGCCAAAGCGGGGCATTCCGGATGCGACGATCACCTGACCCATCTCCAGCCGCTAGCGATGGCCTAAGGCCACTTCCCGAGGCCGCGCCGTCGAGATAACAGCTGGAGAGGATCCCCTTCCCCCATCTTCCGATAAGGGATGCCCCCAACTCACACGTCATCGCCGTTGCTGCCGCCGCAAGGCCAGTTGTCGCATTACTCCCTGATCACCACCAGTTTGCCTGGTGAGAGAATACCAACAATAATGAGCAATTCTTCGGAGTAGCAACGAGTATTTTCACCGGGAGTTTCAACGGGTTCTATTTCAGGAACACGGCTGCGGTCTGGATTGGGTCGGGCTGAGATACCGACTGGTGGCGTCAGTGGCGGGTACGGACGGAGTCGTCCTGGCCGCTCGTAGACACTCCCCCGGACTGATATCAGGCCCCGGCAACTGGCTTCGTCTCACTCCAGGGCATCAGGAGTGCCTACCACATGGGTTCAGGCTTTGCCCCGTCGTCTAAGTTTGCAGGACAAAATTTTCGTATGCGTTACCACTCTTTCCTTTCAGCAACCATTCCGTAGTGAAAACCCAATAATAGGTGGCTGCCGTGGGAGCCTGAGTCAACCCAACCAGAACCTTTCTAGTAGATTCTCCCCCAAGCGCTTCAGCAACGAAGCGTATTGGAGAACCAAATGACGCAGACCAAGCGGATTCCGGTGCAATAGCCGGATGGCAAGGGAATCCCCCAGGAGGTGCCAGAAGCGTCGCCCGAAAGGTACTTCGTCTGACAGGCTAACACCGCTCGGGCTAAGGTCCCTGCTGCTCTTTTCCTTTTATTGCGACTTAACCTCTAAGCCATTCCCTTGCATCACGTTATCTCACTGACCGACCTCTGACTAAGGCGCTTCGCCTCCGCCGCCTCCCCTCATTCACCTCCTCTCCTGACTACTTAAGCCTTCTCTTCCTTCCTCTCACTACCAACCCTCCTTCATCCCTCATACCTCTCATCCTACCACTCACCTTTCGCGCATCGCCATCTGCGATCCTCTCCACAACACTCCACCTAAATACATACACCGTTAACTGCGCTTCCACAACATGCAGATCTTCGTTAAGACCCGTGAGTATCCCTAACTACCTCTCAAGCTTAGCATTAGGAATCCATCATCTGACTGCTTGTTTCCATCTAGTCACCGGTAAGACCATCACCCTCGAGGTCGAGTCGAGCGATACCATCGACAACGTCAAGACCAAGATCCAGGATAAGGAGGGTATCCCTCCCGACCAGCAGCGTCTGATCTTCGCCGGAAAGCAGCTGGAGGATGGCCGCACGCTTAGTGACTACAACATCCAGAAGGAGTCTACTCTCCACCTCGTCCTCCGCCTGCGTGGTGGTATGCAGATTTGTAAGTTGTCCCGAACTCTATTTGCCACCCTGTTGGCCACCCTCACTTGGACCGTATACTGACCTCAAATTTAGTCGTCAAGACCCTGACCGGAAAGACCATCACCCTTGAGGTGGAGTCTTCTGACACCATCGACAATGTGAAGACCAAGATTCAGGACAAGGAGGGCATTCCCCCGGACCAGCAGCGTCTGATCTTCGCTGGAAAGCAGCTGGAGGATGGCCGTACCCTGTCTGACTACAACATTCAAAAGGAATCCACCCTTCACCTCGTCCTTCGTCTGCGTGGTGGTATGCAGATCTTCGTCAAGACTCTCACGGGAAAGACGATCACATTGGAAGTTGAATCTTCCGACACAATTGACAACGTTAAGACCAAGATTCAAGACAAGGAAGGCATCCCCCCGGACCAGCAGCGTTTGATCTTCGCTGGTAAGCAGTTGGAGGATGGCCGTACCTTGTCCGACTACAACATCCAGAAAGAATCCACTCTTCACCTTGTCCTTCGTCTCCGTGGTGGTATGCAGATCTTCGTGAAGACTCTTACCGGCAAGACGATTACGCTGGAGGTGGAGAGCTCGGATACCATTGATAACGTCAAGACTAAGATTCAAGATAAGGAGGGCATTCCCCCGGACCAGCAGCGTCTCATCTTCGCTGGTAAGCAGTTGGAAGATGGACGTACGCTCTCTGATTACAACATCCAGAAGGAGAGCACTCTGCACCTGGTGCTCCGTCTCCGTGGCGGAAACTAATGCCTTATTTTGATCTTTCTTCTTTAGCACGGCTCATCTACGGTTGAGTGGCCTGCATGGCGTTGGGACGGTTGTTTTCATCGGTTTTTATGATACGGATAAATTGGGCATACCTTAGGGTCACCATCTTCCATGGTGCCTTGCGTCATTCTTTTACCTAGGAATCAATTCAATAATCATATTCCACCTGATATCTACCGCTTTTTTTGTAGATTTAGTAGGAACTTGAGGTAGACCGTTACACGCTTTCAGAGACGCCGTCAACGTGCAGTTCAAGTCGCTATCAACCACCTTACATAACAACCTGAGACGATATCAAATAGGAACTGAATATCTTCAACTTCATCTACCTGTAAGTTATCGAACAGTAACAGACATCGAGCGTGAGTCACCGTCTTCGCCACCCGTATCTCGGCACGTGACTGATACCGTCCCAAGGCGGCGTGGGACAGGAAAGTAGCTTCCATTCATGAAGCTGACCCAGGAGAGCAGTTGCAGGCCTGTAGCACGCTGGAGATGTGAGCATCAGTCGTGATGCCCTCCTACTTCTACCACATTGCGATCGAATTATTTGCTCGCCCGCACTCTGACCTCCAAGGCACATACCCAGGCGTGGACAAGCACTCGACGTCGCTATCTTTCGACTCCGCATGCGAAGCTCTACTCCCGTTCCAGAAGCGCCGGCACTCACCGTGGGCACATCGATCTTCTCGTCATCAAGCGCATGGGAAACACCCACGCCCCTCACCCAACACTTTCGCCGAAACCCACGGCTCAGACTCTACAACCAGCGTTGCAGACCTCCGTACCCCTCACCTCTACGCAACTTCGCCGACAAGCGCATCCGACTTCGAGCGCGACCTCAGGCTTGATAAAGTATCCATCGAGTGCATTGACATGATTCCATCGGAGCAGGACACAACTGCTGCGAAGCGGACGGGCTGGAAGAATGCAAAGGAGAATCCCATCGCGACCGGGATCGGCACGGATATCTTGGGAGGACTACGCACGAAAGGCAAATACATACCGCTGGACCAGAGTACGTCGGAGAGTGTTTGGGGAATCGTGCATCTTTACCGAGATGCTCAGGAGACGCCGTTCTTGACAGAAGAGGACTACCCCTCGTACTTGAAAGGTTCGGCAGCTGCGGCGAGGACACCGTACGATGAAGTGGCCGGCAGCAGTAGGCCCCCGCGCGCAGAAGAGCATATGCCCGATGAGGATTGCACGACGCTATGCATCCTAGCCGTGCCTTCCTATATGTCGCCGTCCGACTTTCTGGGGTTCGTGGGCGAATCGACTATGAACGATGTCAATCATTTCCGCATGATCAAGACCGCTCGAGCGAACCGGTATATGGTTTTGATGAAGTTCCGCAACGGGAAGAAGGCCAAGGAGTGGCAGAAAGACTGGAATGGAAAGGTGTTTAACAGCATGGAGGTAAGTGCATCATGCATTGCTTGGTGCAGATCCACAGCTGCGATGCTAACGCGCCCTTGCTTCAGCCCGAAACGTGTCATGTCGTCTTCGTGAAAACCGTCGAGATACAAGCCGTTGAGCCGGGCGCGCTGTCTACTGGATCACAGACTGGCCTTCTCTCTCCACACGCTGCAACGAGCCCTGTGCGGACGACACCCATTTCAACTACGCAGTCAAGCTCCATACCCTCCGCTACCCTCTCTACCAGGCCACTGGCGCCTCCTACCCCTGCGCTTATTGAACTGCCAACATGTCCAGTGTGTCTAGAGCGCATGGATGAGACCACCGGCTTGCTGACCATCATATGCCAGCACGTCTTTCACTGCACTTGTTTACAGAAGTGGAAGGGAAGTGGCTGCCCAGTATGTCGATACACACAAGACGACATCCGGCGGAACAGCCAAGCCGCATTATATGATGATGAACCAGCCGAGTGCAGCGTGTGCCACTCGGACATCAACCTCTGGATATGCCTTATTTGCGGAAACGTCGGCTGTGGACGCTATGACGGGGCACATGCATTTGCGCATTACAAGGAAACGGCGCATGCCTTTGCTATGGATCTCTCTACGCAGCGCGTCTGGGACTACGTCGGCGATGCCTACGTGCACCGCATCATCCAAAGCAAAACCGACGGCAAGCTCGTGGAACTCCCAGCAGCCGACAACAGTGCGCTTGACCCTCCAGACTGGACGGACGCCGTTCCGCGGGAGAAGCTAGAAAACATGAGCGTGGAATATACCCACTTACTTACTAGTCAACTGGAAAGCCAACGGGCCTATTTCGAAGAGGTAGTTGAGCGCGCCGTGGACAAAGCGTCTCAGGCCAGTGCTGCCGCCTCTTCCGCGCAGGACGCAGTCGAGAAAGCCACCGCCAGCTTGAAGAGCCTACAGGCGCAATATGACACCCTGACTAGCGAGATCATCCCAGGACTGGAGCGCGATAAGGCGCGGGCCGAAAAGCGCGCGGAGAAGTTCGAGACCATGACGCGCAAGATGGAGAAGGAGTGGCGGGAAGAGAAGACGATGAATGAGAATCTGATAGAACGGGTTGAGCTTTTGAAGTCCGAGGTGGAGAGTCTGAAACTTGCGAATGCCGACTTGACGGAACAGAACCGGGATCTCACGTTCTTTATTAGCGGGTCGGCGCGACTGCAGAATCAGGGCGATGATGTGGTGCAGGGGACGGTCAGTGTGCCTGAACCGGAGAAGCCGAAGAAGAAGGGGAAGGGGAGGAAGAAGTAATCCGAAGGAGACTTTCGTCTTACTTAGTAGGCTCGCCGGTTCGAGTCGATTGATCAACCATACCACTATGCAGGAGGTGTACTTTTACAACACAGTCCACTTATATCACTATATCACTATATCACTATGAATGCGGACCAGCATCAATGCAAGAAAATAAGCCTAATGCAATGAAACACCTATCTAATGCTATGACAGTAAACGAATCACTGCATCTATAGATACATATCATACATCACCCATCCATCTAATAATATACATACAACCCATAACCCCCGCGCCCCCCAATTACAATCCCTTCCTCACAGCCCAGAAATAATTCCCCCAACTCTCCGACCCCTTGACCAACTTCCACCCCAACCCCGGAAAATACACCACCCCCTCACACCTCCATTTCGCCCCCTCCAACGCCTCACTCCCGCCCCGAGCAGCCCTCCCATCCAACCCCCTCATCAACCCCTCCTGCACCCACCCCTCCAGCTCCCCCGGATTCACAAACTTCTTCCACTCATGCGTCCCCTTCGGCACAACCCCAATCGGCCACGGCGCCTCCGCAACAACCTGATTAACCAACCACGACGGGAACGTCCTCGCAATCGTAGACCCGATCAGCCATCCACCGGGCTTCACCATAGACAAACAATTCGACAGGAAGCTCTGCGGAGTGATAGACCCGGGGATATTATCGATATGCTCGAGCACTTCGAAGAGGGTCACGATATCGAATCTTCTCTCTTCTGCCTGTAGAGTAGGGATGAACTCCTCCAACGACGCATTCACATACTTGAACCGCCCACTATCCAGATGCGCCTGCACGGAGGGGTCGAGGCGCGCGTGGTCCCGCGCGATCTTTATCAGCGTGGGGCTGGGGTCCAGCGCTGTTATTGAGGCGGCGCGCGTGCGGGTCAGGGTTCCCTCCGAGGATGAGGCTGGGATCGTGCGCGCTAATGACTCCGCGAAGATGCCCCCTCCGCAGCCGATGTCAAGGTACCGGAGGTTGTTTTTGTTGTAAGTGTTGGAGGCGTCCATGGGCGAGGACGGCGTCGTGCTGCTTATCGGGGTCGATTCGGCCAGGCATGAGGCGATGAAGTCGTGGCGAACGGGGTTCATGAGGTGGAGGACGCGCGAGGGCCCTTGGGGATCCCACCAGGATGTGGCGAGGGAGGAGAAGTGAGAGAGTTCATTGGCGGAGACGGAGGAGTGGTGTCGTTTTGTGGTGGCGATGGTGGTTGTGAGGGTGCGGAGGGTGCGGAGGAGGGTGGTGGTGGTTGAGGTTGAGGTTGGGCGGAGCATTTTGGGGGGATGTATTTGGTGTGTTGTTTGTATGTGTAGATTGGGTTGGATTGGAGGTTTGTGGTTTGGGGTGAGGAAGGATGGACTGGGTGGATGGTGTTAGTTGTTGGGTTTGGTAGATATAGATTGGGATTGGTGGTATGTACCTAGAGGAAGTGATTGGATGCGACGCGCATCGTCAATGGCAGAGATAATATAGCGAACTAGCTGCAGCGCTGGTCTGGCAGAATTGAAGCCGAAGTTGCGATATTGCGGATGCGGATGTCGGGGGAACAAACATGCCAAGGCTGTGTTTGTTTGGTCTGCCTGCCAGCCAGGTACGTACTTTACTTAACTCTCAAGAGTTCTGAGTGTTTGTTTGCTCGCAATGAATGATCGCATCCGATGTGATAGATCAACTCTCTTGGATCAGATACGAGGTCTATGTGTAGAACACAGCCTCGGCTGCTCTCCATGCATCGTGGCGTGTACATTGCCCCATTCCCCTCCCTTCCACATCGCCTACAATTCAGGCGATCAGGCTACCACTACTAAACTAATCTCCTACTGTTTGCCTACGATGGGCTTACTTATGGTACCATAATACAATAACTGTACCTCCCACAAGGTACCCAGTACACATCCACCGCGTACTGCTTCACTCAAAGGGAAAAGAAAAGGAAAGGAAAGAAATGTGGCACCTCAATATACACACTTACACAGCAACTTATTGCTAATAGAATATTCCCTCATATTCTTCCTTATCCCCCCGTCACGAACAAGGAATCCACATCTCCAAACACAGAATAAAACTCCGTCGGTGAACCATGATCCAGCCAACTCTTCCCCACTTAAGGGAGTGTTCTACGTGTCTTCTGGAAGCATACTCTATCCATACCGTCGACGTTTACGGAGTCTACCTAGTTTTGTTAGTTAGTTAATGTTCTAGTCAGGGTTATGGGGCCGGCCTGGCCATTTTCCTTTCTGTGCCGTTAGTCTAGCTTGATGGATTTTCGGTGTTCGGAGGAGGGACCCAGATGGTTAGTTGGTTTTGTTTTTGGTCCATCTTTTTATTCTGGTCTCATTTTCTCTCTCTCCCTTATTTTTCTCCTGTTTTTGATTCTCCCTGACTCTGCCGTGTGAAACTGATAGCTGAATAATCGATGACAATTCATGGGATAGATAGATAGTAGGTCTTCATTACGAAAGAGAAAATAATCGGCCGTCCTTAACACGGCTCTCGACTTACCCGGTGCGGTTTAAGCTATAGTATCTTAGTATAGTTTGAGTATGTTATTCCTTCTCAAGCAGACTAGTCAGGTAGTCTCGGGTCGGGTCTCGTTTTCATGATGCCGGTGAAGATCATGAGGGCGTGCACTATCTGCGTAGAGTAAGACTGATTGTCTGTCTTGCTCTGGGCAGGCTTGATTCTTGGGGTTGTCGATCAGGAATGGACCGGCCAGAGGAGAAGGGGAGGGGGCGGAAGGTGGAAGATGGGTCATGGTCTTGCCACTATGACTGCTATGGTATGGAGAAATCTCCTAGTTTGTATGGAGTAGCTCCATATAGGTGTCGCGTAGTGTCGGGGAAAATAAGGATACGAAGAAAGCGGTGATATTGATGCGGTGTACAGCAATGAGGGAGCAGTAATGTGTGTGTATGTGTGACTGACGGAGTAAAGTAATACGCGCTATATACCAAGTTGGGATGAATATTTAGTGCTAGGGAGATGAAAGTGGTGGTGGTGGTCGGTAATCGGATGCTCTCCGTAGTTCTTCTGTCTGCCTTCTCTCTCTCTCTCCCTTCCCCTATCCGATGGAAGACGGAAGAGGTCGCATTCGGCTGTGACGACAATGGTCGTACTGCAGCTGCAGCTCCTCAACTACACTAGTAGGGTAAAAGGAAAACAGTGGCGACCAGAGACAATGCGATTCAGGAACTTAACTTAAATCCTCCATGCATCTGCGCGTTGACCTGGGGCTGACGATGTGATTGTCCTGCATAGGCAAGCTTCCAGAAAGAGGCAAATCTGGCGCTAGAGCATCTGCTACTGCATCATCCGATGGCGATGCATCCATCGTCCCTCGTCAATCTGACGGCTTAGTCGACCGTCTCTCAATTCATGCGCCGTGAACCAGACCACACCACCTGTGGAACTCTCTCCTATTCTGCTTTGGGCAACGTAGCTCTCGCAGGGCCCGTCCTCTCCAACAACTGAAACTCCAAGCGGCCACTCGCAATTAAGCCTAGCCCGTCGGTCCAATCGTATGTCCCGCATATGATGGTCGGCCGCCGTGTCCCTCTTCTTATTAAGTATTACTCAGTGAGGGTGATGCAGGCGGCAGTTGGTAGGACGTCATCATCGTCCGCTCTAGCCACACTTCTCCTCGGACCCCGAGCGCCCCTGAATTTACGTGGGCCAAGTCAAGCCATTCCCAAGGCCTACTGTACATATTTGTCTCGAAGAACGAGTCAATCTAATTCGCACTGCCTAGTCCCAAGGCCAACGTTCGGGACAGAAAACCAGCCGTGGGGCCGAGAGAATCATTCAACACGGATCCGCGACCAACACGGACACCTGCAGGGATTCCGGGTGACGATGACGATGCCGATGGTCAGATAGGACGGGCGCATAGCTGTCCTAATCATTAGAAATTCACACTGACCACCAGAAAGTTAATTCCGGGGTTCGCTAAGTAGTCTGCAGCTATCGTGTATCTTTTGGCTTTTATTTTTATTTATTTATTTATTTATTTATTTTTTTTTCCCTTTTGTACTGTATTCCTGTTGGCTGTCGGAGCACCGGTTATGAACAAAGCCGCTGTGCGTTGTCGTGGGATCTTCCACTCAGGGATGTGACACGAGCGCCAGAAGGGAGAGACAAGGGCCACCATCGGCCCAAGGTGGGTGACGCAGCCGCAATGGCACATGGGGGGTGGAAGGGGAGAGGAGAGGGGAAAAAGACGCTTTAGAAGCCTTCCATTGCCCTTCCGAGCTCTTTCTAGAAGGTCGCCGGAAGCCCGAAGTGGGCTTGGCAGTCAACATGACTGGTTCAGATGGAGGTTCCCATACGATGTACGACTCCGTTAGTGTGTGTAGCAGTGGAGTCAGTCTTCTGCAAGGGAGACCAACAAGGTCACAACCGAAAAGGAAAAAGCAAGCAGGGGAAATACAAAAATCGACAGAGAAAAAATGGCAAGAGGGGTGGGAAAAGAGAAAAAAGGAGGGAAGCCCTGAACTGAAGCCCAGAGCCAGCACGGGTGGACTCTCTTCGTCGCAGCCTCCTCCGTCAGGTCCGTAGACTAGCAAGACTAGGCGACTAGTCGCAGGACTAGGGCATTTCTTGTAGGAACCGGGCGGGAAAAGACTCCACGGCCCATTACCGCCCTCCGTATCATCAAACCCTGCTTTTTTGCGCTTCAGAATTAGCCCCTTCTTGGTTGGTGTTTCCTTTGCTCTCTACACCTTCGCTGAACCAGTCAGCATGTGGTCCAACGTGACATGCAGATCGGTGAGTGGGATGGGAAACGAAGCATCCGACAGGACGAGGCTGGCCTGTCCCTGCAGCCGGATGGGAGGGAAGAGAAGACCAGAGGAGAGAGGGGGGGGCGCGGCGCTGCGTGGAGGGACGGGTTGAAGCACTATGTAATAGTGCGTTCAAAGCTCCTCCAGGAGGTCCTGGGCCACGCCCGATTCCCCATCATTGGAACCTTTCTAGAAGGAAATTAGCTTTCCCACCGTTGTTCTTTCGGTAATCACAGGCCATGCTGAGACCCTCTTCCAAAAGGGGCAAATCACATCTTCCGTTGAACAGCCGAATCGCCTGGGGTTAGTCCGTGATGCCTCTTCGCGGCTGGTCAATCTGATTTTAGTCTTCTGTAGTAAGGTGAAGTAGTCACTCTAAAGCGAGATTAGCGATCGCGTCGCCCTGAAATTTCGTCCAAGAAAATAGGCTGACAACAAATAAGAGTCATCCATTTTCGCTTTCTTCCCGAACAAGGCATCCTGTTGGCGAGCTTGTGTAAAGAAGCTAAAGGATTTTCTTGCCCTCTCCGGGAGGTTTGGAGGGCGAAAATGGAGCAAAGCCACGCCATAGGGTGATGGTTGATGCCTGATCGGAGCCGGCGCTGGAGAGTTTTTTTTTTATTTTCGCATTGTGTCGCACGATACTTTTGAAGCATGCAGCCAGTCCGATCTGATCACCTGGTTTCCATTTTTCCTCTCCTGCTTTCTTTTTTTTTCCATTTGTCTTTGATCCTTCCAATGGTTTCGGCTTATCCTCCGTGCCCTTCCTTTTCCCCTCTCGATGGGCGCACCAGGGGCAGATAGAGGCCCCTTGAGCCAGGGAAACTCCTGGGGTAGGTGCAGGAGTAGCTTCCGAACAGTGATGCAATATCCGTGGTCAAACTCCTGGCCCAGTTACCAGCCACGATCGGGGGACCTTGTTCCTCATTTCTGCCTTGTACCAGTTTACGTTATATCACACATCCCCCTCTTCCTCACATTTTAGCGCAAAATGTGTCCCGTGGGATGTTCTCTAGTCATCGCGTGTTCCTCCGAATTAAGGCGGCGAGGAACCGTTGTTATCGGCCGCAGTTTCCCTGTTCTTCCCTCACGTTTTCCTTACAGCATGTCCCGAGGAATCATGACCGGGGAGGGGGTATATGGAAGCAATGGAAGGTAATCGCCTGGCCCGCGGCACCAGAAAAAGAATAATATTGTCTGTCCTGATTCATTCAGATCGGCATCATCCCGCCGATACCCACCCAGCAGGAGCGATTCTCGCACGGCCAGGGAGAGACGGGGAAAGCCACGTTGTGGAGCCGAGCGCTGACGGTGACCTTCTGGTGCCGCCAGCTTCTTCGGGCGAGTTGAGTTCACTGGAGCCACTTGGGGCCTGTGGTGGAAACGTGCGAAGCTGTAGTGGTACTTAGAGTCGTGGTAGCCTCCGTGAACTAAAGCGTAGTCAGTACTAGTCTCGTAGCAGTAAGTAGTAGTAAGTCTGGGACTGAACTAGTCAAGAAGAAGTCGTCAGTGAAATTATTATAATAATAAGATTAATTATTATTATTATTATTATTATTTTCCCATTTTTTTTTTTTTTTCATTTCATTTCATTTTCGATTTTATTTTACCGCCACTACTGTTGGAAGGGGAAAAGGAAGGACCTCCAACTATACTAATTATAATAACATTTAATTTTAACTTACCTGCCAGACCAAGTGGTGATGGTCGGAAGGAGAGGAGCACATCCAATCCTCACTAATAAGACTACGAACGGGTGAGGCACGCACACCGTATGGACACTTGGATCACACTAGAAGGAGTAGAAGAAGTTATTTTAACTGGATCTATAAGAAAACGAACAGCCACCTGCTGTTTGGCTCTGCTTTCGCCCATTAATATTCACCTGCAGCCCCCGAATCCCCGGTTGATTGATTGATTGATTGATTGCAGGATTGATTTGAGAAGTTGATTATTATTATTATTATTATTATTCTGAATTTATTTTACCTCCTCTGAACTCTTACTCTGCCTATTACTGTTCCTGTTTTACCGACCAAAACATCCCCATCCATCCATCCATCCATCCATCAGCATCCAGAATTATCCTTCCATTAATTATTCTGTCTCCATCACCTCACCTTACAAATTCTCCCCTTCATCTTATTTTTTTCTCTTTTGGCTTGTACCAAGGAGAAGAGTCAAAACTCACTTCCTCTTTATTCGTTTTTTCATAATTTCGTTTTGACTTTTTATTTATTTTATTTCCTCATCCTTTCTCCTCTGCCTCCCTGTCAAACCTCCTTGCTTTTCCTTTTTCCCACACCCACACTTTTTCCCCGTCATCCTGCTGGTGCATTTGCTTTTCCGCCTCTTGCATCGGTTCGCCACGGCCGTGTGGTTCTCGAGGAATTTCCCTCCCCTCTCACCTTCTATTGCTTCTCCCGTCAGAATAACCCCGAGAAGCTCCGTCGAACAGGCCTCTTCTTCTTCTTTCCCCATTGCTGGCTGTTTTAACTCTTCGGAACCCCCCATTTTCTTTCCGTCGATCCCCTCCTTCCGCGCGCAACATAACAACAACATTTTGGGTCTCCCCAGACCGTGTCCATCTTGACCGCGTTTCACCTGAAAGCTGTCATTTCTTTCCTCGGTCTCTGTAAGTACCTCATTCTTGGCTCCTTTGGCGCTTCCCACACCGCAGCTCCCCCGCGGCTGCTTGGTCTCCCTCCCCCTCTCCTTCGTTTCCCCCCAGTCAATGATGACTGCCTTCCCTTGCTGCATGTGGAAGGATATGAGCGCCTGCAGGTCACGTCTCTGTGCGATCCACCGTCTTATTCGTCGCATTCCCTGGGTTCTGAACTTGCGCGCAATGCCGTCCATTGAGTGGGCTCGGACTGGGGATTTTTCTCACCACCTGTTTTGGTGGGCAAAAGGAAAAAGGAATTTGAGACACTGAACAGGCCGCGCACAAGACAGCTTTCCCTCACTTGATTCTCGTTTTGCGCGCAGTTGACTAATCTCCTACTGTGCCCCCATTCAGATCCGATCCATAAGCCACCGTTCGAGTCCGAATAATTTACGTCCTGTCCGATTACCCCTCCTCTGGAGACGCTGAGCTTTTCTCCTGGGAGAACCCGCTGAGACACTGCGACGGCGCGCACATTCACTTCCTGCGACCGCATACATACCAAAAGTGAATCCGGACCTTGTCGCAAATTTGCGTGCAAACCGTAGCGACACTTGGGTGATTACAAGTCTTGCGTGTTCCCTACGACCGATCCGAGATTCATCGAATTTACACCGGTGACTTCGAGCCGCTTCCATTCGATTACCGCTGGATAAGTCTCGCTGCAGCTATCCGTGGAGGTCAGAACTAGGATCTTGGTCTTTGCTGGGTCAGTTCCGAATCTACTCTTACAAGACAACTGCGGACGTTCCGATTCGTGAAGAAGCGCCCGTTCTCTCCAACACTGCGGATTCTGCTCCTAGAAGCCAACACTCGACAGTCAAGTGTCTGGGCATCTGGCGATACCAAGGGTCCTCATCCGCGCTGTTATTAGCCGCCCAGCCGTGAGTCTACTGCACAGTTTGGGTTGACAACTCGCCCTTGTCCTCACATTCCTGATTACGAGAAATCCGTAATCCCGGTCATCTTCGCCCACGTCACGCCTCGTCAGGACAGAAAGTCCTTGAGCTACGGGTCGCGCAAAGCAAGGTGAGTTTTACAGTTATTTTCTTCCCGTTTATCCCGGCAAATCATCTGTCCATGACGTCTGTTTGCTTTCAACCGTATTCGGTCTGAAGTCGGTGGAGCACTCGCGGTCATTCTGCCAGCGTGTTGCCTGATTGTTGGGAGTGGTTACTCCCATATGCAAGCCACGACTGCGCTGTTTGTCTGTATCACTATTGTTTTCCATTGCGCTTTGTTAGCGAAGCTAACGCATCATCTGTCTCAGCCACTCATAGCCTTCAACCAGCGCCGTGGAGTCATTCTGCGGCTACGCGTCAGACGGGCTACCGTGCAATTCTTCGACCGTCCTTGACCACCGTCCCTCAGCTCTTCGCGGGGTCGGGTCATGGACATCACAACTATTTTGAATAGAAAAGGTTCTGCCGCCATGGTTGCCGCAGACGGACATTTTGATCATCAGCATTTGGTACCGAATCCCGGGCTCGACCACACGTCATCGCCTAAGATGAAGTCGGAACCTGGTGTCTCCGATGCTGGTGATCAAGCTGTCCTTGCATACCCCCCTCATGGTCCGCTCGGCCAGGTGCCGAACATGGCCCATGATATGCGCTATGCACACCAGGCACACCCGGGGCCGGGGCTGCCCCTTTTGCAGAATCCTTTTGTTCCTGGGGCCTATGCCGGTAATGCTCAAATACCGAACGCCGGTGCCCCTCAAGGGAGGCCGGATCCTCCTCCCAAAACCTTCCACTGTGGTACTTGCGGTAAAGGATTCGCCCGCCGCAGTGATCTTGCAAGACACGGTAAGCATTTCTGACGAAATGTAGAGAGAACGGCCAGCTAACGCTACCTAGAACGCATTCACTCCGGTATCAGACCTCATGCTTGTGACTGGCCTGGCTGTGGCAAACAATTCATCCAACGTTCAGCTCTGACGGTGCACTCCCGAGTCCACACTGGAGAGAAGCCTCATATGTGCGAGAGATGTGGCAAGGTATGTACATGCTTTCTGGTTTGTATTTGAGCAGGACTAACGACTCGCAGCCTTTCAGTGATTCGTCCTCCCTAGCGCGGCACCGCAGAATCCATTCTGGGAAGCGTCCCTACAAGTGTCCTTATGCGAACTGCCAGAAGACATTTACTCGTCGCACTACCTTGACACGCCATCAGAACCACCACACGGGTACAATCGAGGAAGCCGCTGCAGAAACCGAGGCCAATCTGAGGCAAAACAAGGAGAGAGCGAGAATGCCTGGTGATATGTTCTCCGAGCATGGCTCTGTCCATTCTACCCCCTCTCCGGCACACCATCCTATCTCTCCAGCTGGCGATCTCCCTCCGTTGAATATGCCTCGCTCCGACTACTACATGCCGAATGGATCGATTCCACCCCATGTTCGCGGCGGTTTCACGCAGGCTAGTCCCCGGGCGTCCCCGACCGCCACGTCCCCATCGTTGTCTAGTTATGGTAGCGCTCCGCACCCCCGTCCATCGATGACTTCCCATCCGTCTGGGTACGGTCCTCCGCAGCCTCTAGAGCCGCCCGCCAACAACGACCACCGGCCCAATAGCGTTAGCGGAAGCCCGCACATGACCAGCCTGGGTTGGCCTTCTCCTTCGCATGCCAGCATCCCGTCGCCTGGCTCCGCAACCGACTTCTATCCTGAAACTAGCGGGCCCGCGTATCCGAGCGCCATGCCCCCTCACATGTACTTCCCCAACTCCACCATCCGGCGGCCCACGAGCACTGAACCGGATAGCTATGACCTGAAGCACAAGATGGAGAGCGCATGGTCGACTCCGGTCTAAATATGGGTAGTGGACAAAACTCTCCCAGCAGACGGCAGGGCCGCTAATCGAGAGAGTTGTCCTACTACGCATAACGTTTAGCATCCATTAGATGGTGCTAGGCGGATATAACATATTTCCTTTGTTGATTTCTTATTATTTCCTTTGTCATATTGGTCTGTTGCAGCATTATTCATCCCTTGTGTTTTACATCATGGCATACATCTTTTGGATATTCGATATACCGTCATCTTTGCATTTCCCAGTGTGGGTCACCAGCGCTGGAAGGAGTCCGGGCTAGCTGATTTGTCGCGTGCGCAGGATCCGAGTTGTCCGCTCTGTTCCATTCTTGTTATTCCTTTTGTGTGTCTAATGTGCGATACGACCACCAGGACGAAGCATAAAATATAGAGAGGTGGAAAAGGTGTCATGGCTCGGTCGGAATGGGGTTTGGGAATTCGGGGTCTTGGTCTGGTTTATGCTATTATTCCATCATCATCATCATCTGTGCATTTGTTCTATACCTATTCTCTTGTGTGTGTTGTACCCCCCCAAGCATCATCTTGTTCGTTGTTTCCTTACTTTCCTTTGTGTGACAATTTCTTGACGGCCTTTCATCCTTTTATTTACTCAGGTGTAGATGAACCTGTTCCTCGTCCTCATGTATGATAGAAATACACAACTACCATAGTATACTACTACCTTATTAGATGTACATCGATCGTTACTGTGGAAATGCACTCACTGCAGTGGAGTTTTCACCAGAAAAAAAAAGAAAAACTACTTCTTCCGGTATATCGCCCGTAAATGAATATCTATGTAGTGGTCTGCGCGTTTCTACCCAACCTTCCGAAATCTGATCGTGAGGAGAGCTCGACAGCTCATTTTACCTGAAACACCCACTAGCAAGGTTCTTCCCGGTGATGACGTACCCTCCCTGTCTGCCTCGCCTCGGCTCCGGAGGAGCTTTGACAGCTATGAGCTCATAGGTGCCTTAGGCCTTGTATTTAGGCCTAAGGCAGAAGATTAGGTGTTCTTGCCTGAGGCATTGAGTAGTATATCTCGATGCCTTAGGCAAATATGTATTAGATTCACTGTAGCGTAGATTATCTACATGATTCTTTGGTCGTGATGGCTTGGTGGATGAGACTTGATCGATTGATTAACTAGTATAAGTGTAATAGGTAACAGTGAAGGGATATATCCTGTCTTCTTTAGCTAAAATGACCTAACCTAATCACTGAAGGGAGATATCGCTTGAAGTAGACGTAGGAAATGAGTCTGTGGATTGCGTATGCTTACGGATTTGTGTGTAAAGTAAAGGAATAGAGAATGAGTGGTAGAGTTTATGATCCAGCCTGCTATTGTGAATGAAATTGGAAAGGGGGGTGGGAAAGATGAGTGAGTATTAGGTATGTATGGTATAATCAATACGGCAAGCCGGTGGTATTCAATGCTGCCATGCCTGCTGGAACTCCAGGAACAGCAGGTGCTGGACACGAGCATACGGGTGCGGGTGAAGTATGGCCGAGGGCTCGGGAGAGGATGGTAGTGATTGTTGAGGACGCGTCGTTCTCGCGGGCCGAGAGGAGGCCGAAGCGGAGGAAGACTTCGAAGGTGGTGACGAGGATGGAGATGATGATGAGGACGATGATGATCCAGGTTTGGTCTATTTATGTTAGTTTGGAGTTCTAGTTCCATGGTAGGGGATGATGGCATACGCGAGGTTCTGTTGTCGGCGATCGAATCGGAGAGGATCTCAGCCAGGTCGAGGAAGACACGGCAGCGTTCGTTGAGGACTTGGATTCGGGGCTTGATCTCGAGGTATTCGCGAACGGCGATGTAGAGCGGGTAGAGAGTGGGTTCGCTTTCCCAGAAAAAGTTGGGGACGTCGAGCATGTTGGATGCTGTATGAAGATTAGAAAGCTATCCAGCTTTATGGTTTCAGGGTGTCACTTACAGAGGTTCACTTCCACTCGGCTCTTGAACAAACTGCCCAGAATGCGGAATACTTCGTCTCGCTTCATTCCTAGGTTGCCAGTCATGGCGAGTCGGCGAGGGACGTCCTTGGCCTCGGCCATCTGGCGAGCCATGACTTCTTCGAAGAAGCAGAGCTTAGTACTCTGAGCAATGCCATGACTGATGGCTAGCTTGATCATGTGGTCGCCGCTGCGCAGAGTGATCATGTCATTGTAGACGCGCGGGCGTGAGATTTCAGTCGAATATTCGAAATGGAACTCCTCCGTTTCAAAGTCCTCTTCTTGCAATGGCATGGTAGCCAGTGGGATAGGTGACCCCGTTGCGGACGACGTCGCAAATGCCAAATCGGCCAGGAGATCCTTCTCTTGCTTTTCGGTGAAGTTCCAAAACACGACAACACCGTAGCTAAAGACAAACATCTCCGCCACATTGTATGATAGCCTCGACGACGCCGTTGCGCCAGCAGTCGGACCTGGCTGGCTGTGTCCAGTATCTTGACCAAACTGTTCCCTCGAGCCAGACTCAGCATGGTCTTCTCCACCAGCTTGATGCGGTTCATGTGGGTGCGAACCATGTTCATGACGGCCCCCAAACACCGAATGTTCCTCCGCCTCCGGCATATAGTCTTCATGATGATCTCGCAGCTCATTCCGCTCAATTTCCTCATCAAGCAGCGACTTCCCACCAGGCTTCTTCAGCACCGGACTACTCCTCAGCCTATACCCCTCATGCCCAGGCAACAACGGCAAGTGATACGCCGTATACAGACAATCATCGTAGAGCTTCGTCTTCCCCCCATGCCTCTCTTTCACAAACGACGCCAACGAGCTCATCTTATAAGCCTGCGCCGTACAGTACGCCGTCACTCTCGCCAACTTCTCCGCGCGCCGCGCCTTAGGCAACCTCTCCGCATAACTCTTCGCCTTCTCCGGAGCGACCTTCCTCCTCCTCATCAACTCCTCCTCCGCCAACAACGGGGCGATCTCATTATCGACGCCAAAATCTCCATCAAGCTTCTTCTGCGCCAGTAACGTCTGCCTCACCGCATCGGGGTTGAGATTCTTATCCTTCGCGATCCTCTGCACAAACTCCTCGTCCACCGTCTCCTCATCTTCCTCGTCCCCTTCTTCCTCTTCCTCGCGCAATTCGTCCCCGGCCTCTGGCAGAAGCACCAGCTTCTCACTGACTTTGGTTGTACGGGGAGGCAGTCGCGGCTGCGCTGCAAGTCGCTTCATGGTCGCTGCTGGGCTGACCGCACTGGATCCCCCGGTGGAGGAGCCCGCTCCGCCAGCACCGATTAAGCCGCCCGCGGCGGAAGCGAGACGGGAGCGCGGCCGCGCCCGGACGCTGCCTTGGGGCGGATGGCGCTGCTGCATGGAGGGGACGTCGGAGGTGTATTGGAGGACATTGTCGACTGTGATGAAACGGGTTGCGGGGGAGCGACGACGACGGGGTTGAGTGGTTTGTTGGTCTCGGGAGTCGGTCACCTGGATGATGATGGGCGTGGTTAGTTGGATTTCTAGTATAGATTGCGCCGGACGGAGGGAGGGGAGGTAGGGGGGTAATAGATGCTCACCAGGACATGAGGACTCCTTTGGCTTGGGCCACGCCCTCTTGCAGGGGTCATGGCTAATATACTGCTTTCTTTAGGTTGATAGGATTGTAGCGGTGGTAGTATCGACGGCAATTGATAAGCGCAAGAGAGCAAGGGTTGAATCGGACGGATTAAACGTCACCAAGCTGTGTCTGGCTTATCCGGTCGGTCGGGGAAAGATCCAGACTGGGATCGGCCGTTGGGATCACCCACACAGCGGGGTCGAGAGTAATGGATTGGGGTGTGTTATAGTAGTCGCATCACAGGGTCGTTTAAAGGAAAATGGAGGCCATGGGATTAGGATGAAAGAGAGCATGATGGAGGGAAAAAGATTCACGGTCAATTGAAGTATCCAAGCTCTGCTCTGGTCGCTGCCCACCGCCTGCGATGGGCCCGGCCGTAAACCCGATTGGGATAAACCCGATTAGGCATGGCGGGAACAGTAGACAGAATATAGAGCAGACTGGAATATGAAAAGACGGGGAGTGAATGGGATGAGCCAGGATGGATAGAATATATTAGATGAGTATGAGGGCATTAAAGAGGTGAGGTAGATGACTCTATGCTCTGAATGCCTGTATTCGACATACCAGTTTTAGTGTCTTTTGAACACTCAAGTATACTACCAACCTGACTAGTAAGTTCCAGCGAGCTCCTCTATTCAGAGAACTGGAATGTATTAAAGACAAAAGGTTCATTGATACTGTTATAATACGAAACCAATAGCTAAGTATCATTAAGACTGAAAGAAAGAAAGTCATCCCTACTATCCTCACCACTCAAATACTACATCCACCCACCCACCCACCAACCCACTTCCAGCTACAACCAAATATATACCTCATAACACATCCAAATAATCACCATCCAACCACCATAACCCCCAAATAACCAAACAACTTAAAACCCTCATCACAAAAAGTCGGGAAAATCCACACCCCAAGTAACCCGAGCATAAGTATGAACATGACATCATCCACCCACCCACTTACCCCAACCCATCGAACCGTAAAATACACACGTACCAATACATACCGACTCATACATACATACATACCTGCCTCCGTAAGGTATCCAAGTATACCTACCTACCTTAGTAGCGTATCCCTACCTATTCGGGACCAATCGGCCACTCCAGCCACGTGCCGATAGTGGGGGTGAGTACTTTACTTAGTAGTTTAGTGAGGAGGATTGGATGGAAAGGAAGGGGAGTTTTCTTTCCTCCCCCCTCATTACTCATTCAGTCCGATTGAAACTCCGATCCTGATAGGGTTTAGTGTGTATCATACCCAGCAAAAGTTTCCCTGGCAGATAATCTACTAGTATCGGTCAGCGATGATTGATGGGTGAGGGATGATCCGGGGTATAATACTGTCACTCATTGGTTCATGGTACTTGCTTCGTGCGTTGTGATTTTCATGTGTAGGATCAGTAATCAGTGATCTGACTAGATGATTGACGTGCTGATCATGTATAACATTGGTCGAGTCCATAACTGAGTAGGTGGTGGGTATTACTTTTTCCTTTCTGGTGGTTACTGCATGGGATGGATAGGAAGTAGAAGGGTTTTAGGATGCCATACAACGTAACTTGGTCAGACTTCTTTCTTTGTTGCTTCATTTAATCTTGGTTTTTGGGTATGGCGGGGTATTATCGACCAGATTGGGCTGGAATCAGCACCCGAGGATCTAATCGGGCAAAGAAAAGAAAACAGAAAGAGAGACAGCCACATGAGGGGCACGACGGACGGACGGACGGTTCGTGTTGCTGGGCCTATTTGCGGAGTATCGGAACGAACTGGAAGGAAGAAAGACAAAATGAGTGCGGGAAGTGCCTCCGTCGGGCCACTGAATTCCTGATTCCTGAATAGCCAGTCTACTATCTACTCCTGCATTCAAACTAGCTTTACTTACTGTAGGAACGGAGGCCACAGGAACGAAAATGGTGTATGAATCTTGTCTTTCATTGGTCTCTAAACTCATGTCCGTCTCCCGGTATCGAAGACTCCTTGCAGCGTCCTTGCTTCTGGCCCTCCATGACAGTCCGGCCTCTAATATGTACCCATTCCCATTACATGCATGCTCTTTGTCAGCGTGATAAGATGCAGAGATATGCCAATCAACAAAGGAAAATAATAAGGAAATTAACCAGATAGAAAAAAGAAAAAAAGAATCCAAAGAAAATCCAAGCGTCAACAGCATCCACCTGGTCCCATGAAACGCCTCGAAGCACTTTTTCTGTTATCCGGCTTCGTCATGCTAAACAAAACAGACACAATGGTAGTCGAGAAGAACAACATCGTGGAATAATAACAGGAACCCCGTTCTGTCAATGTCCGGGACCAGACACCATAATAAACAAGGGTCGAGAAATAGATAAAAAAAAATAAATGAAATAAATAAAATCATGCAAATGCCATATTCTGTCGTTAGAGCCCACCCCGGAGCTGTTGATGTTCGGCCCATATCTCTTCCTTCATCCGCCGCAGACTAATGTGCTGCCTCTGGAGCTTCTCCAAGTCGGCTCGCGACGGATTCTGCTGAGAGGCCAATGCGTCATGTAAGGCGTGGTATTTGGCGTAGAACCGCTTGAACTTCTTCGACTTGTCGTGCAACTCCTGGATGGTAACTTCGCGGCGGAGAGGGGGCGAGGCGCTCCCAGTGCTGCCACTGGACGTGCTCACGGCTCGCCGCCGTTTGTGTTCCAGATCCCCCGCAATACGCCCGGGGACTTGAGCTAACGCTGCAGGCCGCTCAAGCTCCGCCTTGCGCTTCAAGGGATTGGCTACTCCAGCCGGTTTAGATACACCATTGGTCTTGACCACTTTCCTCACGGTGGGCGCGCTCGCAACAGGTCTGGGCTTGTTGACCTGGGTTATGAGGGGCGATGATGACGAGGAACTTGAAGAATTGTTTTGGCTTGAAGAACGACTGCGATTTTGGATATCAGAGGCGTTGGTTGGGGGGGAAGACCCGAGGGGCGACGGTTTTTGAGGGGATTTCTGAGGGGACTTCTGCGCGGGAGGTCGCGAGGAAGGAGGCCTCTTTGCTGCCATAGGCCGATGAGACGCTTGGTCGATCGGCTCCGATTTAGGTGTAGCTTCTGGCTGCTCCACCTTCGGGGTAGGCGCATGAGAGGATTCCCTGGGAGGGCTGGGCTTCTGCAGTTTGGTCTGCGGTTTTGGTTCAGCCTTTGCCTTTGCAGGCTGTGGCTTCTCGGTTGACGATGCATCTGGCAGATCGGTGTCGTCCTCATCCGAGTCATGAACGAATTCCGCCGACTTGAACTTGCCCTCCGGCTGTTTCGCGGTCGTCTTCCGCTCCGCCTTCTTGGTGACGCGTCCCGTCAAGGTACTGTTACCCGCAACCTTGCTCTTTGCGGCGGTCCGTTTCGCACCGGCATCCTTGTCGCCGGGCCGTTTCTTCTGCGCGACCGTCCCAGATCTGGGAGCTGACGTCGGCTCACCCGTCCTTGGTGTTAGACCATTCCCACTAGCCTTGTCGGTCTCCTGACCCGTAGTGTAACCATCCTTGCTATTGTCATCAGATGTCTGTACCTGTATCCGAGGCGTGGCAGCTTTCTTGATGGGACCCGTCCGCAAGTCCAGGCGTGATAAGCACTTGCCCTTTCCGCGTTCTTCCTTGGGAAGAAGCATCTGCCAGAGCTTGTCGGACCGGGAGATTCGCAGGCGATCGAATGCAGAGATGGCATTCTCAATTGCCTCCTGTCGATCTTCCTGGGAGGGATAGGGAAATTTCCACACATCAAGCTCTCGATAGGTTTTATCTTTAAGATCGAACTTCTCTGGATTGATTCGGTTTTCGGTGCCGTATTTCCGGGCCAGAGTCTCGCAGTCTTCGAGGGACGCGCGAGTTTGTCGCGCGAGGAATTTGGCGGAAACTGCCCGGACGGCGAGGAGGTGAATGAAGGGGACCTTTAGAGCCTCAAGGCGAATGCGATCTTTGTTTTGAGAAAGCGGAGCGGAGGTAGGCGTAAGCGGAGGTATGGATGCAGGTGATCGAGCAACTCCCAGAGCCGGGCTCGAGGAAACGGAGCGATTGGCAGTAAGCAGTCGATCCTTTTCCAGCTCCACCTTGCTTGCCGGAGCACGACCCAGACGAGCAGTCTGTTTTCCAGTGCCGTATCGGCTGTCGCCTGCCCGCAGAGCTCTCACTTCATCAATGCTCGTGATTATGGCGGTCTTCTTCGACTCTTTCCCTCTTTCGAAGGCATTTAGACTTTGCTCCAAATTGGCCAATGCCTGGTCAGCACTCGCGGTATCTTCCTTCGCCTTCTGGACCTCCAAGCTATGGCTCAAAACACCGCTGAAATATAGGTTTTCCTTGTCCGCGGAGCTACTGCTATATAGCTCTGATCGACACGTCTCGGGGAGGGGATGAAATTGTTGGGATTTGGAGCCGTAGTAGAGAGTCGCATGTTTTCCCAGGCGAACTCGGGCTGTTTGATCGTTCCGGAGGCTCTGGATCAGCTCATCAAGAGTGCTCTGAGCTAAATTCAGCCGCATAATCTGAACAGGCTTGGTGGTAGCATCATTGCCGTGGTTGTCTCGGCAGAGAGACAACCCGGACTCGGGGACCTCGAGAGCCGGCATGAGGTAGGTTGCAGAAAGGACAATGTAGAGATAATCGAAGAGGTCGAGGCGGAGGGAGGGAGGAAGAGGGCGAGATACGTCCGAGTCGATCGGAGGAGAGGAATTGAGAGGAGGGAATGATTCGAGATCCGGAATACAGACGGTTGGCAGCGTAGAAGCTGCAGGTCAGCGGCCGAATGCACGGAAAGGCGTGTCAAGACAATACGCCATAAGATCAAGCAACGGCACTCAGGAAAGTGAGGGAGAGGAAGTCTGCATAAGAGGAAGCAAACGAAGAGTGAAAGCCAACAAGACCCATGGCAAGAAGGGTGGTCTTGAAGGTTGTCGGAAAGTGCAGAGAGAGAGTAGGTGTGAATGGATGCGTGGGAGGGAGAGAAAGAAAGAGAGACGGAGAGGGAAGAAGGAAGAGGGGAGGGTGAGGGGAAGAGAGAGAGAGGGAAGGGGAAGGGGAAGGATGAGATGAGATGATGCCAAAGGAACGGGGGGATGCGAGTGTAAGGCGGCCTTGGAGCGGAGAGTGCCAGTCGGGACAAGACCAGAGGCGTGAGTTGAGGTATTGAGGTATTGAGTGGGGAGGAGCGGTATGGTATCGTTCAGGGTACCTTGCTCGTTTTGGTTCCAGAGTCCTGTAAAGTAGGGTGTCAAAAAAGGTTAACTCACTAACCAAGTGACCCGAAAATTATAATAATAATAATAATCATCATCATAATAATTAAGCCTAGAATAATAAGGGAACAACCCGACCCTCTAAACCAGAAAGAAAAAATAAAACTAAAATAATCCAAAAGAATATTTATTTTCGCAATCATTTCTCAAGGACGCTATCACACCCTGGGTTAGTTAGGCAGGCACTAGCCCAGCCAAAACACCAGCAGAATCCCAATCCTGGCCCTCCATCATACGGATCACTAATTAAATTTACCACTTATGTTGACCTGCAGACTCTCCCAAATCCCTCCTACGACGACATCCTCACGGCTGCTAAGCTAACCTCCATCTTCCTCCCGAGCCTTTTTCTTTTTCATTTTATTTCCCCTTTCCACTGCGGTACCTGCCTGCTGCCGTAATAGCCTCTCTGCTTCCGCGGAGGGAGAGTGGAGTTGGCCACCGCCGCCGGCACCGCTATTATTACCGTAATAAAAGACCATGCACCTTGAACTCGACAAGGTATAGGGAAAAAAAGAAGAGAAAAAAAAAAAAAACTCCGTTTGATAGGCTGCAAAGACAGCAGCTCTTGGAGCGGGGAGGGGAACAAAAAAAAAGAAAAATAGAATAAACAACAAGGCGGGCAGGAAATGTGGCAAAGCCGAATGCAAGGTGTGTAGTAAGCCCGAGGCTAACACCATCTATCTACCCCATGGTAGAGAGTTAAGTACTACAATGGGTAGGTAGCGGGTGCCCTGTTCTTTGACCTGGCAACGTAGTGACCATAACTCTGGCATGACTTGTCGGAAGAATAATCAAAGGGGATACACGAATAATATTAGGAAAGGGTAAAAAAGAAGAAAGATAGTACGACCACTAGTCTGGCAGACGGCCGACAGTATGGAGTCCAACTTTACTTCTCGAGGACCAGGTGTCGGTGCTAAAGACTTTCTAAGGGAGGTAGTCTGATCCTTGACGGGGTCCTCAAGTGGATGGCATGCGATGGAACGTGTATTACGCAGACTTACGGGGGTGGGTGTGCTGAGTTGAGGTGTGGTGTATGTATCTGGATTACAACTCCCCCGGGGCGTTTGATGGATGAAAGTCGGTTTCTTCTGGAACAATTGATCCCTACCAGCGATCGATCCGAGGGAAGCCTGGGATGCATTCAAAGTGACAAGGGGAGAGAGACACCATTTGTTATCTATTCAATTCGACTATAGTCCTAAATATATTATTGTCTACATACCCTTGTATTTCTTTTTTTTGGCTTTGTTGTCTCAAGTATAATGGAATGACAGCGGGTTTCACTTTATTATAGATTTCTTTACGAACCCTTTTTTTTCTTGTCTCGCATTTTTGCCTGTGAAAGGCAACAGAAAGTCCCAACCCCGAAAGGTAGGATGATGAATGATGCCTGGGTTTGGGTCCGATTACGGGGCCGGTATTTTTTACCCGGACGTGTTGTCGTAACTCTTCTGTTCAGGTTGTACGACGGACGGACTGACTGACTGACTGACTCCATTCTGGGTGGTGGTACAAAACGGGAACTGCTTGTTCGACCACCCTTTATTGTAGCTCACTAGTCAATTAGTTAGGTAGTTAGCTGGGAGTCTAGCTACTTTCTTACGCCATGGCCATGCCTCTGCCACCCAGCGTCCCCACCACCCACTGATGACAAGAATGGGTCACATCGGCCATTCATCTGGAACCACTCCTATCGTCTCCTGCTGCCTGCCTTGATCGGGTCGTTTCTCCTGGCTAACTCACTAGCCAAATAACAATGGAGGGGCGCCTCATCATGGGGGTGGTTGCTGCAGCAGCGAGAGCAGCCAGCAATTCATGAGCCATGGATGATTATTTTATTTCTGTTTTCAAACCATATGATTCGGCACCGGATATAGAATAGACAATAGAGGACAAGAAAGGACGTCACAAAGTGCCCAAAGTTTAATATCGAGTCGCACTATTTTCTGAAGAGTCGCGGCCGGTAATTTAATTAACTCAACAATACCTTGTTGGCTGGCTGCTGACTGGAAGGGAAGCAGATTCCTAAGCAGGTTTAATACACGTTCGGCAGTGAATGGACAGTAAGGTGGTACGGGAATTTTAGAAGAATTGAATGGATCAATCAAAGGACAGAACAGAGATGTATTGTCGAGCAGATGACCAATACCAGACTTTTCTACAAAGTGACGAAAGAGTTAAAAAAAACAGGAGTGTCTACTGATCTACTAACTGAATGGAAGAGAGAACGTATGAGATCAGATATCAGAGAGAGAGAGAAAGTGAGTGAGAGAGTGTGTGCCTTGCTTGGATTACACTTTACCAGTCATCCGAACGGTTTCTCGCATCCCATGATTCAGACAATACCAGGTACCGGGGTTGTCACCGGATCGCTGCTTAATCCAGTAATGAAACTGAAAAGCTGAGCCACTGGTTCAGCTTGACGGCAGATCACCCGCCGACCAGCCTCGACCCTTTCTTATTTCCGGCGGATGATCGGAAGGGGAAGGGGGAATTCCCGTAGGGTGAGAAAAAATAGAGGAGGGAGGAGAAGGACGGAGGGTGATTCCCAGATTACCGGTTGACAAACCCGCGCGACATCCCGCACCGCCAGGAGAAGGGGGAAAAAAAAAAAGTCAAAAGCAAAGATAACACAAAAGGGAAAAAAAAAGAAAAGAAAAGAATGCAAGATGGTAAACCTGCATGGACAGGGCACTTGCTCTCGTGCAGGCCAAACTTAATACAGAGGTACGGGCAGCACAAATCGGGAGGTGATGGTCCAATCTCAGACAGTCCAGAAACCACACGAGTTTCCTAGTCGGGGTCGGATAAGCTGGTAGGTCACGGGGGAAGTGGTCACAATCGAACTGCTCCTTTTAGACTTATTTTTGTTGTATTTTTACTTACTCCGAATAGTAGACTATTGCTATGCTACGGATGAGCTGAATGGAAGGAGAAATTCAAGCGCCGGAATTAATTATAAGGTCGCAGGACATGGAGAGATCGCGGAGATTCAAAATCAATATGGCGGGTGATGACGATGGACATGAGATCCCAGCTCCAGGTTACAGTCCGGCCGAGGTTCTAACCGAAACAAACCAACCAGATGATCCTTCCACTGGGGAGGGATCTATTGGCTAGGAAGATCTCTCTTGCTGATGAAGATTAAGTACGATGTCCGTCCGTTAGTCAGTAACTGAAGAGGGGGTGGGATCAGGGCAGGGGAGAATGAAAACGAGAAAAAGGAAAGAAAAAGGTTTCATCTAGAGGGAATAATTGGTCCCCGGCTTCCCAGAAAAGGATGGACCGCCCTGTGATCATTCCAGTTCAGTAATGAAGGGGTGAACGGTCAGCTCTTTTCTTCAAGAGCTTCTTTGAGACTCTAGTGTCTGAACACAGTGCATACATGGCATCCACTATGGTCTTTGATCAACCCGGGCGTTCGTCCATCCACCACTTCATTGCTTTCTCTCGAGGTTATCTAGCGCACCCCCCGACCGGGTGTTATTTCCGTTACTGTATCCCGACCTGGGATTCGTTTATGGACAGACAGGCGATAGTCCAATCAAGCAAGGCTCATCCTGACCAGGTTCCTGTAGGGCCGGTACATCGAAAAGGTGGGGAAAGAATGCGCACAGGACGTTCAGACGTCGAGCGATCAAGGAAAAGTCAAGTCACATACCTCGATTGACAGGAAAAGAAAAGGAAAGTAACAAGTATCAATCGCGCCAGCAGCTCAAAGCGGACGCAACTAACACCCTGTAGACAAACGACTGCATCAGCATGACTTGGGCATTCAGTGTCATGCATGTTAGGTAAGGTGGATGTGTGTATTCGAGTATCTGCTATACACACGCCTGCGCGCGCGCGCTGTGGGCAACCGGGCAGCCTGAACTCGTGTTGATGATTGGCGAGGCGTTTCCACGTGTTTTGAGCCCCGGCGAGTGGATGTGGAAGTGGAAACTGAAGGCCGCCTCGACATCGAGTCACTCTCTGGTTGAAGCTAGACATATCGATACGATAGGATGACTTTGCAGTAAGGCAGGCAAGCAAGCACTGCACTACTAACTACTAATCAGAATGGAGTAGTACTATCAGCTCCATTAAACCAAGTAAGTATACGGATACTCCGTGACAGTAAGTGTCCAGCATTTGCCACTGCCGCTTAGACCGTCACAGGGAATGGGCCCTGCATTACTCTGTCGGAGTTACTACGAGGCGTAACAGACACACTAGCCAGAGGAGCAGCAGCAGCATGCAGCTGCTGTGGCTTGCCCTCAATCATTCCCAGTTCCCTCTCTGACTTACTTTTACACCTGTTTTGTGTGCACTGGATGTCGGTGACGTAATGGGATATCTGATCACCTTCAACAGCAGTATACTGCTATCCCCTCATTATCCAGGTATCTCATTTTCATGATATGGTTTCTGTAGTAGCCAGCGAGTTTACATAAGGATGTAGTCTATGTAGACCCTCAGACACAGAAGGTCAGAATGACACCGTCACTCAGCAGGATGCATCTAACCCATCTGGAATGCAACCCCCAAATATGACTAACCAAGTAACCGAACTTCATTTTCCCTTTCTATCACCCCAGCCTACTGGAATAGGCATACACGGACTGACTGTGTAAGTTCAGATGTGAAGTTCCCGCCCGAACGGGAAATGCTGGAGGGATGATGGCTGGCTGGGAAATTGATCATTGGTGGGCCTGATTTCATGCGAGGGGAAGGAAGCAGAATGAATACGGTATGCGTATTTCACAACTTACGTACTTACTCTAGTATATTACAATACGTTTAATACGGGGACTGACAATGGAGCCAGCCATTGCCAGCACATCATCGACACAGCATCACATACCTACTAGTAGTTACCAGGTTGCTGTGCTTACTAGCACCTACTAAGAATAAATTAGCTAGCTAGTTAGTCAACTCTAGCTGGTAAGTAAGCAGAGCCCCTCACAATAATAAATCATTTACACTCCAAACAGGAGAATCAATATCAAGAAGAAGGGAAATAAAAAGGGATCAAAAGGACAAGACTCGAACTCGATTCGATCCCCACACATCCACCCATATCCACATCCACCCTCGAAACTAATTAGTTAGTTATCTACTACTATTGTAATGTACCTATCTTACCCCCTTTCCCCTAAGATACTGAGTCAACTTAACTACCCAAGTAACATAATCAGTAAGCAAGCAAGCAAGCAAGCACCTATTTTCCTCGACTGTATCTGCAGTGAAACAATTCCAATGCCCAAGCTCTCGAGCCAGCCAACCAACCAATCCATACATAGCTAGACTACTTACTACGAGTAGTAGTAGTTACTTATCCAGCTGAAACGTGCCAGGACCCTCCTGGTTTGCTTTACCCCTGTCTCATCAGCACCACCACCCCCTCATACATAAAGTAATCTACATACAAAAAATAGAATGACCATCCAATCCCCCCTCCCCTAGTCCACAAGCCAAAACGCTCTACATGCGTTCGTTGATCCGGATGCCTCCTACCGGGATAGCCGATTAACAATGATGATCCCTACCGCCGAGTAATGACCTATTTTAGGGGGGAGGGAGCGTGGGAAACGGAACTGTTAGCGAAACTGGAGTAGAGTAAGTTAAGTGTGAATGTTCTATAAATAAATAGTTAAGTAGCACAGCCGGGGTACTGCAGTGCTTTTTTGGATACAAGGATATGAAAGGAAAGAGAAGATGAGCTAAAGTGCAGTGCAGTGCAATTTACCCCATAGTTACTAACTAGTTAGTTAGTTAGCAACTCGAAAAGCAGACAGTAGGAAAGGAAAGTAACTAGATGGATAGATAGATCTGCAATGTGTCTTACATAGCCACACCTCTACCTAAGTAAAGGGCATGGAAATGAGGCTGAGCAGGCAGCCTGGCAGGGCATTCATACCTAAGTAGCTAACTAGTTAACCACGGAGTAACGGAGTACTAGGGTAATTAATTGGTGGGCTAGTTAGTCACTCCCTACCATCACCGCCACAAACAAGCAATGAAGCAAAGCAAACACCTTTTAAAGAACCACAGAAAAAGAAAACTAGAGTCATTAATTGTGAAGCAATAAGCGATACAACCGCGCTAAGCTGATATTACTTCTATACGTACCTACACAGACTGTTTCTTACATAGTAACATAACGCAGCTACACTGGAATAGTGATATTATTCATTCAGTCAGTCCAGTCAGTCAATCGGGTATTCTCTAGAATTCCTATTCACCAGATGATAGTAAGACTACAATCATTTTTTGAAATACAAACAAGCTCATCACCAAAAGAAAAGCCAGGACCGAGACTCAGTTACCATAGCAATCATCCCACATCACTAATTTCACCCCCAGGAGTAAGTTAACTGGAGTGGAGGAGACTAACGTTCGATATAGTATAAAGACCGGTAAACGGGCCCCCCCATCCTCCTCCCCCCCCTCCGGCCCACTTACCATACCCAGAATAGAAGGATACATACGTACCTTATGAAGGAGGTAATTAGTACAGTATAGACAGAATATAGGGGTTACTATAATAATAATTATTATTACTAGAGTATTCTAACCCAGATTGATTAAAAGTAGGCAAAACACACCGATGGATCGTACGAGAGATCTCCAGATCAAAGATTGCAGAAACCAGGCAATCCACTTACCCATAGTCTACTGATCCCGGATGACTGTGCCCGAAGAAAGGTGCCCTAACGATATGATATGATATGATGTGACTCAGGGGCTAGCTACTTTCTTACTTACACTACGCCGTACTAACTAGTTAGTTGTTAGTAAATACGTTCAAACAAACAAGGCACAATCCTATCCAATCCCCTCCCAGCCTCGTGAAAAAAAAAGATTCAAACTACTGTAATGTAAGTAGCAGTAATGCGGCATCTCATACATCGTACCAATTAGGCAGCATGCTCCTGATAGATCGATCAATTCCTTCGGTTTCTTCATGGCTCGCATGAAAGGGCCAACTCATACCTCTCTTTCTTCACTCGTGGTGGCTGGGGAGGATGTAAGTGCGATCTGATCTGGGCTATCTACTATCTACACCGCTACATGTCTCGCCCGACTCGTGCGTTGCGTTGGTGTGGCGACAGATCCCGTACCAGAAAAGTATGTGTATGTGGGTTTGCCTGCTATGTGACCTGTGTTTTCGGAGGGTCCGGATGCAAATTGATATGGATGGTCTAGGCCTAGAGTATTTAGCATCTTGGGTTGAAAGTCAATTGGTTTACGAGTCATGCTGGACAGCAATAATGTCATCCAAATCGTTGAAACTTGCTTAGATACTTAGATATGCTAATGTCACACATGGATATCAGTACAACGGGATACCAATCCCTGATCTACGTTTTTTCTATGAGCAAATGGTCCCCTCCCTGGATGCTCACTTAACCGGTGATCTTGTAGATGGACTCGGCGAGACGCTTGACGTTGCCGCTGGTGATACCGGCCACGGAGATACGGCCGTCCTTGGTGGCGTAGACGGAGTGCTGGACGAGTTAGTATATGCAAGAGATATAAGGAATAAGCTGGCTTACCTCCTTGGCCAGAGCGTCCATCTGCTCGGGCTTGAGACCAGTGTAGGCGAACATGCCGATCTGTCGCCTGTCAGTGATTACTCGTGTCAGTGATTGTTCTGGATCCTACCTGGCTGGTGATGTGAGACCAGTCGTGCTTGCTGCCAAGCTCCTCCAGGTTCTTGCGGAGGAGAGCGCGCATCTCGATGATGCGGTCGGCCATGCCCTTGACCTCACCCAGCCACTGCTCGTTGAGCTTGGCGTCGTTCATGATGGTCGAGGCGATGCGGGCACCGTGGATGGGAGGGTTGGAGTAGAAGGGACGGATGAGGATCTTGATCTGAGAATCCACACGCTTCTTCTCCTCGGCGGACTCGCAGACGAGAGAGAAGGCACCGACACGCTCGCCGTACAGACCCTATATATCGCTTAATACTGAATCATACATCGAGTCATGCATCAGTCTTACCATGTTCTTGGCGAAACTCTGGCAAAGAGCAATGTTGTGGCCCTCCTTCACGAAGTGACGGGGAGCGAAGGCATCCTGGTCAGCGTTACCACTGGCAAAGCCCTGGTAAGCCATGTCGAAGAAGGCAAAGTGACCCTTCTGCTTCATGACGTCGCTGATCTGGCGCCATTGCTCCTGGGTGGGGTCGACACCGGTAGGGTTGTGAGCGCAGGCGTGGAGAAGGATGATGCTGTTCTCGGGGGCAGCCTTGATGTCGGCAAGCAGGCCATCGAAGTCAAGCCCAATGGTGTCCTTGTTGTAGTAGCGGTACTTGTCAACCTCCAGACCGGCGTCCTTGAAGACAGCGGCGTGGTTGGCCCAGCTGGGGGTGGGGAGGTAGACCTTCTTCGCGTGAGGGTAGAAGCGCTGCAGGAAAGCTCCACCGATTCTCAGAGCGCCGGTACCGGAGATGGTCTGGGTGATGACGAGACGGTCCTCCTTGAGGACGGCGGAATCGGCACCGTAGGCCAGCTCAGCAGCAGCCTTGGTGAAGGCAGGGATACCGGTGATACCGGCGTATTCCTTGTCGAGGCGGGTGGCGACAACCTTGTCCTCCGCAGCACGGACGGAAGGCAGGACGTAGGGCTTGCCCTGGTCATCACCTGTTTGATCGCAAAGGAATTGTCAGACTATTGAACGTTGGAAGTTGGTTGTTTGGCGTGATCGGGAGATGGTATGGTTGGAAAGTTAAACTGAAACAGGGTGATGCTTACGGTAAGCACCGACACCAAGGTTGATCTTCTCCTGGAAGGTGTCGGCCTTGTAGGCCTCGGTGATACCCAGGATAGCATCCTATAGAGCCAATGGATCAGCAATGGCATCACAACAGCAATTGGGATGTGTTGGAGAGCTTACGGGAGGACCCTGAGGCACGTTGGACCAGGCGGAGGCGTGTCTGGCGCCGACAATAACGGTGCGCACACTAGCGTCACGGGTAGCAGCCTTACGGCTGGCGACTCTGAGGGTGGACAGCATGTTGAATGGAGGATGGAAAAAAGGGAAGAGAAGAAAGAAGAGGAGGAAATGAGCAAGCACTCCAAGAGACCAGGGAGGAGATGATCAGAAGAAAAGGCCGGGGCCAAGGGAGCTGGCAAGAAGTACTTGAATGAAGGCTGGAATCGGGGGAGGAGACGAGCGGGAGAGACGAGGTCGGCGATAGTTATTTTATTTTTTGAGTCACTGGAACTGCCTTTGGACTAGTCGAGTTAGTCCTGTAGGGAGTTTCCGGGGAGAAACGCGGGAGGCATCGGATTGGCCACGCCCTCCGCATTGCCAGCAGGTGACTTTGTGCTTGTTTGGCTGGTTTGCATGGCATGGCTGGCAGCTGCAGGAAGCAGGAAGCAGGAAGCAAGAAGCAGGAAGCAGGCTGCACATATTATCCCTTGAATGCAACTCCATAGTAGTATATTATTTATTCACTGGCATCTTGAATAGAATTGTATATTTCTCTACTAACTAACTGGTTGACTACTATCTGAATAACATGAGATGTCAAATGTCATCATCACGGAGCGTGGATTCCCTCATTGACAGATCGCACCACAAATGATGAGCCCGTCCCGCTCTCCCCGGTGAACTCTTTTAGTATCGAGGGAAAATCCATGGATGGGCTGAGGTTGGCCTTCCCCTCACGAGGAGTTGGGGTAATTAATCTACACCCCCCTACCACTTGCTAGTCACCACTTCCCACCATCATCTCACCATCAACTACTACTAGTATATAAATCTGCAGCATTGACTCCATTCCCCTTCTGCTAACTACGTTCTTGATATCCTTTGGTAGCTTCAACAACAATCCTGAATAGCTAGCTATGCACAGAACCGTGGTTGCACTCCACCGCCTCGGACAATATCACTCGGCCTCGGTTAAATTCCCCCACACGCCAAGCCTATCCCGATTCAATAGCTCTGCTACACCATCGACGGAGTATTGAGGACGTCCTGCAGTATCTTCGGAGCACCGAGTCTATCTTACCTTTCTACCCATCCAACATCGGACAAAACCGCGTGCTGCTTGCTTGCTTTATCGACCACCGAAAACGGATCGATCTATTGGACATAGATAGAATAATATGTGACGTTCTATTGGTATAATCTGTACAAACATCGCATAGCCTAGTAACCGCTGAGGATCATTATTGTGCCTCCAAAATGAAGGTCTTCGGTGAAGGTCATCATCTACTACAACAGTCCGAGAGAAGCAACATCACTCAGCCCAGCCGCACACCGGCCTGGCGGTTCTTGCGCGCCGTCGCTCCCATGGCGTTGTTCATACCAGTGTGTTGACTGCTGTCCAGTGCACTCATCGCCTCGCGCTTCTTCTCCTCTTCGATCTTCTTCAACCGCTTCTCCGTCTTCATCTTGCCACTGCCCTTGCCATGGAATTGATGACTGAGATGCTTGAACGCTTCCTTCTGGTTCATCGCGCGACCGTGCTCATCCACGTACTTGAGCTGCACGTCCGGCTTGTATTCGCGGTTGAACACCTCTGCCATGTGTCGCGCCTCTTGCTGATCGCGCTGCTTGTTCTCCCACCGAGCGTATTCTTCTCTCTCGCGCGCTGACATGCGGTCCAGCTTGCCCGAGGCACGGTCGCGTTCACGCTGCTGCCGAGCGCGTTTCTCCGCCTCGGTCTCCATGCGCATCTTCTCCTGCAGGAAGCGATGGCGGTCGCGCAGTAGAGAGTTGTTGTCCGCGGCGTCGGAGCCCTTAACTAGACCACGCTGTTTAAGCATGTTCAATGTAGCACCGAGACCTTGATCCAGAGTCGCTTCTTCGTCCAAGCCCGTAGTGCTGATCTGCTGCTGTGCCTGCGACTCCTCACGCTTGATCCGTTCCTTGAGATCTTCCTCGTCCTCAATGTCATTGTAGGTCCCCATCTCCACATCCTCGTCCTCTGCCTTGATGCTGGGGCCTTCACTCTTGGCACGTGATTCATCGGCGGGGGTCGTGGTCTGTCTCTCGCGGCGCTCTGGGAGGGTGGGTTTTTGTAGATTGGAGACAAACTCCGAGGTTTCATCGATGACGAGGCCGGGCTCTTCTTCGTTTCCGTCGGGCGTACCATTTTCCATCGGTGTCTGAGAACCCTCTTCTCTGAGCTGACGAGCAAGATCCTCCGGTCGCACTTTTTGTCGCTTCTTAAACGCAGCACGTCTCTGGCGGGTAAGCGAGGCCTGTAGATCATCATCATCGACAAACGAAACATCTTCACTTGCCCACTTCCGGGGGGCGGGCGCGGGTACGGGTGTGCCGTTATTGGTATCAACGTCCATGGCGTTGTCATTCGGGGTAGTCGTCGACTCGGTCGTAGGGAATAATTCGTCGTCATCAAGAACAGCTCTCTGCTTCGTAGCCTTGGCCTTCTTCTTCTTCGGCTTCTTGATCTTGATCTCACTGATGTCCATGTAGTCGGACGCCGGTGTCGTCGTCTCCGTCTCCAAGTCCAAACTGACGATATTCTTGTTCAACTTGCCCGATACCTCCTGTCGCTTCGCCTCTCGCTCCTCCACCGTAGATCCTTGAGCATCCAGAGTAAAGCGCTTCCGCTTCTTACCATCAATCTCCTCATCATATTGTGCCAGGATACTCGAGTTCTCTTCCGTAGGATCATACGCCGGCTTCCGCTTCTTCAATTCCGTCCGCTCCGTAGCCTTCTCCCTCTCCCGCAAATCGACATTTTCCAACTCATCCCCCTCCTCCTCATTCTCATCGATCGTCGCATCCTTCAGCGTAAGAATATGATCCTCGCCTCCCTCAAAATCGCCCACCTCATGCCCAACCTTAATACCAGCCAGATGAACCGCCGTGTATTCCGCCGCACGTTCTCTTTCCTCCAGCTCCTCCGCCAGCTTGCGCGCCCGCTCCTTCTCGATCTTCTTCTGTCGCTTCTTCGCCTGCATCAGCCACGCCTTGGTGTCTTGGTCCGCATCACCCGATTCACCCAGCGTGGTGCCTTGTAACTTGGCATCTCTCTGCGCCAGCTCTCGTGCCCGCTTGATCGCAGCGTTTCTCTCTTCCCGTTTCCGTTTCGCCTCGGCATCGTCTTGCATCTTCTTCCAGTTGGATCCGGCCATCGCTTCGCGCGACTCGAGGGTGCTGCCGGGATCTTCATCTTCGGAGGCGGACGAGTCGGAGTCGTCTTCATATTCGGCGCCAGGAACAGGCAAGGGTTTTAATCCGAGCGCGGCTCGGATTTTGTTATTCTGCTCGATGGAAACTGCGTCGGCCATGGTGGCGACAGATGGCAGGGGAAGGATGAAGTTGGAGAAACGGACGGTCAGTTGTTGATGACTCTTTCAACCGATGGGCGTACGTACAAGTGAAGTGACGGATATGAGATATTCAACCTGCCGCAGCGGCGAACCTGACCGACCGGCGAGAGCGCGCGCCAACAAGCACTTACCTAATCAATACCCATCTCGGTAAGGTTTAGCGCGACAAACTCTTAGCGCGAGCTTGGCGCAGCGGATAAAAGGCGCCTTCCTCGATTTTTTCTCTTCTTCTTTTTCTTTTCTTTTCTTCAGAACAGAACACACACGGATCTGTGTTCAGCGATCCCGTTCATGGAGGGTGCGGCTTCGGCTGTTATTTCTTTGTGTTTCGGTTGAACGCTGGACAGTTCGACGACTTAAGGAGCCATTCATCTTGTGGATGGTTTTTGCACTTCCGGTCGACAGATCTCAGATTAAAGGTTGGCGCTGGGTGTTCACTCGGGTCTTGAGCTCCCTTGTTTTCGAACTTGGTGAGCTCGGCCGGAGTTCCTGGTTGCTGACGGCGTCATATTCCTACTCCCTTCACCGAATTGGCCGTCGGTCACTGAGGTTAGGGAAAAACCATGACCTGCCAACATTACTATCAGTAAAATTTATATGTATGTAGATTTGTAGATGCGCACATCATATGCACATGCCTATGTGTACTGGATACCATTTGAACCGATTAAATAAGTCGGTTACTGTCGTCTATCATGAAAATGGAAGGCGATTTAGCATACTCTCAGAATGCTGCTCGAAAAAAAATAAGCCATGCTGCTGCATCAAGCACATCGCGTCGCGAGACCCATCTCCAAAACGCCATATAATATATCTCAACACCGACCCCAATACCACAAGGGTCTTTTCCTGGTGGCACTCGCTCACCCTCAATCCCCAACCCAACACTATAAAACTACAACAACTTCAAATGCCCCGTCACAGAATCCACCACACTCCTGGGTCCCAAAACCCCCAACACCGTGCGACTCCCACTAGCAATCTGCGTCCGTCCAGCATCCGTAATCACCCTGGCGCAAAGTCCCAAACTAATCGCCTTAGCCTGCATCTCCTCCATCTCCTCCTCCGACTTGACCTGCAGCGCGATCTTCGCCTGACCCTGCGATTCCCATCGTCGCAGGATGCCGCTGTTGGGCGTGTACGCCGTGAGGTATTTGTAGCATGCGAGTGTAGCGTGGGAGCATTGGGCGGCGATTTTACCTGCAACATCAGAACTATCAGCATGCGCTTCACGAAAAACAACAGTGGCAAGCAACAAATGATAGCAAGAGAACATAATATTGTAGAGAATTGAAAAAGGGAATAAGCTTACCCTTCGTCATACCCAGATCCGTCCGCACGACAAGAACCAATTTCACTTCTTCATTGGAGCTATCGAAGTTGGCGAGCTCAGTGCCGTCGCCTTCTTCTTCACTGTCCTCTTCTTCCTCTTCGGATTCGTAGTCTTCGTCCGACGAGTCTAGGTGCGGTTTCACATTGTAGCTGTTCGGCCAGCCTTCTTTTTCTTTGTTGCTGAAGAGACCTAGCGTGCTGCCTTGGCCGATGAAGTAGCCCGTTATGCCGGCTAGGATGGCCGTCGCGACCACGTAGGCGGCTGTCGAGGGGGGTGTACGGTCGAGGTCGGACATTTCGTTCTGGTGTTTTTGTGTTGGGGGTGGTGGTTTGGTTGAGGGATTGAGTGGTGGTTTTGCGATAAAGGCGGAGCGGAGCTGGATGTGCTTGGTCGGCGGTGACGTTAGCGGGCCGGTTGGTTAGTTTCTACGATTGTTGATCAGAAAGCTATCTACTTTTGTCTAGTTCATAGGTTTGATTCTTTACAAACTGATATGCCGCTTATTATTGTGGAAGAAAAGAATTGTTTTGTTCTAGAATGTTGGTCTGCTTACTGTATTACACTTCAGTTAGAGGCATCAACCCAAACACCGCTATCCAATTTGACAGGCGCTCTGCTTCATTATATACACATCCCAATCATTCTAAATTGAACTGCTATCTTCCCTTAACAGCACGTCTAGTTCGGACGAGGAGCGGGGGCGCCACCGACGTTTCCAAGGCGACGGCTCCTGTGACACATTAGTAGCGGATCGCAAATAGCAAAGGGTGCGATCAGAGCAAATTAACTTACATGAAAGTACGGCTGAAGAAGCTGATGCCGATCATGAAGAGCCAGCTGGGGATGGCACTGAAGCCGTAGATGACATATCCAAGAGGGAGCAGAAGGTGGTTCTGAGCGAGCCAGCCATCCGTAGGGTGAAGAGGACCATCGTAAGGAGCGGTCTTCTCGTAGACCTTCTCAGAGTGGACCTTGTAGATGGTCTCCGGGGTCACAGTGGTCGAGTTCAGGTAGACAGTGTAGAGGGGAGTGGTGGGGCGCTCCTCACCAAGCTGGGCCTGGGGCACCTGGAGGTACCAGACCGAAGGAGCACCGGCACCCCAGGCAGAGCAAAGAACCTTGTTCTCTTCGCAGTCCAGCTTACCGAGGTTAGGGGAGGTAGGATCGGCGGAGAACAAAAGCACAGATTCCTAAATAGGAGGGTTATTAGCGACTATTGTTATGGATTCCAGGTGGGTGCGACCCCCTTTTCTAGGGTTTGCTTACATTGAACGCTTTGTCTGCCTTGTCACAGCGACCGAAGCAAGTCTTGTTTCCTCCGGTGATGTAAACCAACCAGTCCTGGGGCTCCGAAGCGGGCTCCAGGTAGGACTGCCAGTTGGTCAAGTTGAACTCAGAGACGGTCTTCTCCTGGATCTTGGTCTTCTCGACGACCTTCTCAACAACGGCAGCGGCGGGGGCGACCGGGGTGGCAGTAGGCAAGTAGGACTTGGCCTTGTTGAACCAGCCCTGGACACGGTCCGCGAGGGGAACCTGCTCCTGAGCCACAGCAAGAGCTGGGAGGAGGGCGATGACCGGGGTGAAGCGCATGATGCTGAAGAGTTGATGACGCGTGGTCAGTATAGGGGGTCGAGGGGATCTATCACATCCAAGGGGATGGACTCGGATAAAAACTAACCTGAGCTGTTATTGAAGGGACGGGCGCACTTTGGAGAGAAATCAAATTCAAAAGCCAAAGTACGGGACAGCAGGCAGCTGGGGAAGACAGGCACTTGGGATGTTGAAGGTCGAGTGAAACGGCGAGAGATGTAAGCGTCGGCGACAGGTGGCCTAACTCTAAATGGCCAACCCGGAGATCCAGACAGCCGCGGAAGCGGGGATTCCGCCTTCTGGAACACCTCTAGCTCGATAGGTTCGACTGCGCTGTATTCTGCGAAGAATGAAGATGCAAACACTACATGATTTATTTGCCTGCTAATTTGGTGGTGCACGTATTGTGTCTCTGGTGCTCTTCACAATGGCATTGTTGGCGTGTTGACATATTGACACGCGGCAAGTCAATGGAACCGTGGAGCTGTGCCATCCGGGCAGCTTCACTACTAATGCGATGTGTAATCACAACAGATAAATCCAGGGAAAAAGGTAGGGTGATACCCGTGGGAGATTTAGGAGAACTAACAAAAGAAAAATCTTAAAAGAAAAAGCAAAGATGGGTGCTTATATTGACCCGGACAGGCATAGCATGCTGTTGCAATGACAGTGCTGTCTTGATCATGCTAGAAGTGTTCGTTGTTTCCATGCACTGCACACTCATTCATCATGGCGCCTTCCTTGGGATCAACTATGCTGCACCCTAGTAGAATTATACAGATGCAGTATTTGCAGCGACTGACAGATGCAGCTTTATGCAACCCGTCGCCAGATGCAATACTTCAATAGTTTACTGCATCCATATCGTACCAAATCAATCTATCCTCAATCGAGCATTTGCCTTCATCTCCAAGTATGATACAGTCCTGGAGGAAAGCTGGGGCCTGTTGTCTAGTTCTGGCAGCCATGGCTTGCTTCTCGTTCGGCGAGGCCATTTACATCGTCGCCGGGAAGAATGGGGCTATTGTCCACTCCAAAGGTATTCCGATCCCAAGAAGTGCAGGGGTCTAACGTGGCTTACTCCTCCAGCAATGACCGAGAGAATTGAGCCTCCTCTAAACTCAACCATGGCGATTCGACGATCCTCCCCCACACCGGGTGACTTCCCCATCTGTAGGGACCCTCGCGGCGCTGCCCGACCATTTTGTCTCCCAGAGGATGGTGCAAACGTGACGGTGGGTGGGACTTACTACATAACATGGGACGCGGACTTTTATCCTCTGAATGCCACAATCACAATCGAACTGAGATATGCGGACTCTGTGGAAGGGGATTCGACATTTACCTCGGACAGGACGGACAACAGCTACGGATATACTCATATCCATATGCAGCAAGAATGGCTTCAAGGAAAGCAGCAGAATCCTCTGACACTTTACATCATCGAGCTAGACTCGGTGTCAGATAAGCGGGCAAGTGCCCGACGGGGACCAACAGTCGTTCTTCATCCCAAGCCAGTGCAGCATCTTTTGTCTCCTCCGCCCACTTCATTTAACAAGTTGGCTCTTTATATTGGCCTCCCCGTGAGTCTCAGCGTGGTCATACTCGTTGTTGCTGGTCTCTACTTTGGCATGCGAGAGAGCAGGCGAATTGATCTGGGGAACATTGGGGGCCCGGGATATGGCATTAGAAAGTCCAAGGTTCAACGCCTAGGGCGCAACCGGGGCGAGTCAGCGGAGGAGAGAAATGTGGAGGAGACGAACTCGGACATCACCGAAGTCGCCCAGCCCGGTCGAAAGGGAGCTTTGGAACGAGGCCTCAGCTTTGGGATTGAGCGTGATTCGTCGAGAACGAAGAGCTGGCAGGTGTAAATTCCAGAGCATAAGAGCAGTGCGGCAAGACTAAGGCATGCAGGATTTGGTGCGCGCTTGGCCCAGTTGGAGGCAGTGGTTTAAGTATTGTATAAACGAGTCGGGTTCAGTGATATAACTGTTATCGGACTAGTGGCTGCAAAGAAGACTAAAATCTCACGCTATCCTTCAACCAGAATAGGAAAAAGAATGAATGCAGTAGCCTAAGGGTTAGAGAGTTAAAATGATGCTTTAGAGTGTTTAGTGCCGGAGTATCCCACCCGCCATTACATAACCCACCGCATCTCTACAGCAGCCACACTCTCTATACTAACTATTCTCCCACTCACCATGTCCCGGGGCATCCCCCCGTCATCGCCTGGCCTCCCACCTTGATATAGTTGGTTTGTGGAGTGAGCGATCCCTCCGCCGCCATGGATAAATTGACCAGGAATGACCCGCTGGGCGAGTTTGTCTGTCGCTTCCCCAACTGTGATGCCCGATACCGGCGTAAAGAGCACCTCCGCCGCCATGAGGCCAAACATATCCAAGATCGGACATATCCCTGTTCCATCTGTGGTCAGGAATTCGGACGAAAGTATAAACCGAGATAGCTTGCAGCGCGCAAGGATCCTACGTGCTTGTTGTTCTGTCATTAGTAACGTGCGTTAGTGACACACTGCGTCGACATCTACGAGTGAAACATCAGTTGAATGAACCTGTCCACCGAGCACGACGCGCCTGTTCCAACTGCCGGGCCATCAAGGCTCGATGTGAAGGGAAGCCTGTTTGCACAGAATGTCAGCATCGGGGCATTCGCTGCTCTCTCCGCGAGGCTGAGGACTCGCCGGCGCCCGAACCCCGACCAACGTCCGTGAGCCCGCGGCCAGCGGTGTCCAGAGAAGAACAGTTTGTAAAAATGTTCTTTGAGCTGTTCCACCCGCATTGGCCATTTGTGCATCGGGGGACTTTTCGCATTCGCCATGAAATTCCCATGTTGGTCCAGTCCATGGTAGTGCTGGGCTTGTGGGCGAGCGGGGAAAGAGGCGCGCGGTGTGCAGCTGTCGAGCTACATGAGCAGCTTAATTCGGCAATTCTTCAGCAAAAGGTAGATGCAGATCTATTGTGGTTATACACTGAATGCTAATGCAGCTGCAGGAGAAATGGGATGTGTCCAATGAAGTCCCTATACCCCAGGCGGGGTCATGGCCATTACCCATTTACCAGGCGATCCTATTACATGTCATCTTCTCTTTGATTTATAAAACGCACGGCTCTCTCGGGATAGATCTGAAGCCGTCTGGGCTGCGGACTGATACTGAGCTGCTGCTCAAGTGTCTGATCCGGAGCTGCCGCCTCAGGGGCATGTTCTACTACCCGCGCATCCTGCAGCAGTATCAAGAACCCGCGATTGCTCAATATATGCTGGTCAGTATTGAGGAAGTCAAACGGTTCAATATTGCCTTGTACAAGGTGTGCACGACGATCTATGGGTCGACCGCGCTGAGCCAGATGGTGGATGGGGCATCGATGGGCAACATCTTGTTAACGGCGGATGAATTGCAGTTTCCGCTGCCGGAGAACCATGAGTTATGGGATGCAGGGACACAATCGGAGTGGGATCGAGCGCTGGAGGGAATGAGTGTGGATGGGTTGGGGGAATATCGCGAGGAGGAATGGATATCGAAGCAGGCTCGGATGATGCATGTATTGGGGAATATTTAGCTTCATCACATACCATCCTATACTTGCAGTGGCTGCAGCAAATCACTACAACCTACGAACACATAATGTTCAGTCAAGAATATAAAATAAAAACAGTTAACTCCACTAACCCTACATAAGAGAACGACCACACTCGAACTCTCTGAACAACCAACTAGCACTACCAAATCATAAAATCTAAGCCTCCACCCCGTCCTTCTCATTCTTCGTGATGGTATCCACAATGGCAGTCTCCAAATGCGGAATAACCGGATCCTTCTGCACTCTCAACCCCTTCGTCATCCTCGCAATCGTAGTATAAAACCCCAGAACGACAAAACACTCCACGACCTCATCATCCGACATAATCCTCTTGGCCCACAGAATCGTCTCCTCCTTATTATCGTACGTGCGAATCGACTCCTCCACGAGTGTCAGAATACACTGCTGGCGCTCCGTCCACGTGCCCATAGCGATCAATTCCTTCGAGGTCAGGCCCTTGCGCAGCGCCTCAATCTTGTCGTCGCCGAGCCCGTTGAGGCGCGAGATGGGCTCGTTGATGCCGAAGAGGTACTCTGCGTTGATGAGACCCGTCATGCGGAGTACAATAAGCTGGTAGTCGAGGAGCTGGATGGTGCGCTTTTCGCCGGAGAGGATGCTGTCCAGGACGGACATGATGGGGAGGAAGGTTCCTGGGGAGCGGGCGTACAAGCGGAAGACGGCGCGGTCGATGGGGAAGGACCGCAGGAAGGCGGCGTTGGCTTCGTGTGCTGGGGAGGGGTTGTGGATGTCGATGCCTTCGATTAGGGGGTATTTGGTTGTCATTTTGGTGGTGGCGTTGTGAAGGTTTGAGGGATTGAATATTTTCTGAGTGAGTGTGTTGGAAGATGTTGTATAGGATTATGGAGATGCCTGTTGTCAGGTAGATGGGTGTTTTTCTTGGACACTTCTACTTTTAAATACAAATGATTGAGTTACTGCTGATCAGTCCATCTTCAATTATCAAGTCATGCCATATCGAATATCAGCCGTTGAGTATTACTGTCCTCGTATTCCCTTGCAGGATGCTGAAGGAGTGTCAGGATGCCGATGTGCTTGTTTCAGACTCGCGCGGATGTCAGCATCACCAGCGGCAACGCTAGCCAGCCATGCGATGCCCTAGTATCTTACTTTCTCTCCACGGCGGGAGAGCTAATTCAGGCCCGCATGCGGTATGCTCTTTGATTGGATTAGGGATGTCTATACACGTAGTATACACGTGCTATACGAGTATACAATTGAATTCGAATGGAGTCAAGATGTATGAATGGCAGTGATTTAAGATCATTCCACCGCTGCCACATATCCATCTCATCCCATCATCAGCCCATACACACACACATACACACACTCTCTCTCATCAATCCTATCTTCAAACCCATCCCCCAACCTTCACATCTTACATAGTAAAAAATGGGCTCCACTGACCCCTACCGTCTCGGCCGCGACGTCATCGCCTCCACGCGCCTCAACCTCCAACATTACATCTGGAAAGAGAACATCGGATACCTCCTGCACCCATCCATCCGATTCCCTAACGCCAGCAGCAACAGCGACATTTCCATAGCCGATGTAGGGACCGGTACTGGGTATGCCTTTCACCCTCCACACCACCACAAACATATCCTCCCACAATGCGAAGCTAACCACTTTAAAAAAGAATCTGGCTCCTCGACCTCCACCGCCAATACCCCAACGCCACACTTCACGGCTTCGACATTTCCTCCGAGCAATACCCCGCGCCGGGATTCCTCCCATCGAACATCTCCCTCCGGCATCTCAACATCCTGGAGGAGATTCCGGAGGAGTACGTGGAGAAGTATGATGTCGTGCACGCGAGACTCCTCGTGCAGGTTGTGTTGCAGGCGGGTGGAGATCCTCGGCCGGTGATTAGGAATTTGATGAAGCTTGTTAGTATGTAGCCCCCCTTCTCTTTACCCCGTTTTACCTCTCCTTCCTATAATGATATGATATTAATGAACAACAGAGCCCGGAGGCTACATCCAATGGGAGGAACCCAACGACGACGCAGGCAACCGACCCCTCGTGAAAAGTGATCCTGAGACTACTGTCTCCGAGAGCTCAGAGGAGCTTATGAGGAGAATTGATGGGAAATTTAGGTCGAAGATGCCTTCGTATGTCCCCATTACTTTTCTGCCATCTATGTCACTTTCAGGGAAATAAGATAGAGATGCTAATGATTGGTGGTATATAGATGGTCCATCCACCTCGCATCAACCCTAACGGAGCAGGGCCTGCGCGATGTCCTTCAAGATGAATGTCATCCGGACACGTACACGCTAATTCTGGACCAGATGAACTATCTGGGACTGTTTGGGGAGTTGATCAGTAAGGTACCAGGGGTGGAGAAGGAGGAGTTGAATGAGTTGTTGGAGAAGGCGGCGGTGGAGGCGAGGGGGGGTGTGGCGTGGAAGGTCAGGAGGTTTGTGTTTTTGGGGAGGAAGTGATCCATCCCTCTTCACTTGGGGGTTCTTTTAATTTAGTATTATGTTGAATGAGATATATATTTACATTTAAATTTTATGTGTGAGATTGATTGGATACTCCCACAATAGAGGGTGGTTTGTTGTAGGGTTGATGGATAGGGTGGTTGGTTGTTGTGTGTTGAGGGTTAAGGCTAGATGCGATATGTTTATGAGACTATAATCGGTTATGATAGTTTTGAACTGACAACCTACGAGCAAGACAAGTGATGGTTGACACAATATAGAGATCCTATACTTATACACAGCATATTTTTATTTTCTGTGCCTTCATGTAGAAGTGAACCTCGACAGAACTGACTTATGGCTCTATAAATCAGGCTGACATACCCGAGCCTGGTAGAATAAAGAATAGCGAAGTAGTATAACAAGGTATAGAGTATGATAACATCCGTCTATATCGATCATCTAACAAAACAAATCGAAAGTAACTGACATCCAATCTGAGATCTAACTCTTAATGCACCCAAAAGCAACCCTAAAACGCCCTTGAACCCAACGCCCAATCGCACAGAAAGGCATCACCACCTCCCCTCTAATTCTAATCCAAATCTACCTCCAAATCCCCTATCCTCTCCCCCCTCCCCAACCCTCCCAACACCTTCCCATACAATTCCACCGCCCTCCTCGCTCCCTCCTTATCAAATACCCTCCCATCCCAATAAAACCTGACCACATAACTCCCCCTCTCGGCCCCCTTCCCCACCTCCACCTGCACCCCATAATTAAACTTCATCGTGTTCTTACTCATCTTCATCACGATCCACCTCATCGCATCCTCCTCCTTCCCGTCAAACTTCTTCTCAAACGGCTGGAAACAGAACAGCGCCTTCGCGCCCCGCACATCCCTTTCCACTCCCAGCGCCTCATATATCTCTGATAATGAGACGGCAGCGTGGTCCGCTGACGTCCAGAGATCTCGCTGCGTATCTTGTAGCAAGGATCTGATGGATTGGGAAGGATCAATGGTGGAGAGGAACGGCAGGAAGTTTGCGCAGGTGCCGGTTATGCTTTGGGGATTGGGGAGGGGGACGTTGCGGGCTGTGATTAGGGTGTCGTAGACAATCTGGGTTTGTGGGGTGGTGGAGAGGTGTGAAAGGAGGAGAGAAAAGGCTGTTTGAAAGATGACTGACGGAGTCACGTTGTGGGTTGTGGCGAGGGCGTCGATACCCATGTCTGCTGGGATGGGGGAGGTTATTATGTTGTTTAATGATGGGTTGGTCAGGGTGGAGAGGTAGGGTGTTGTTGTGGTATCGTTATGGTAGGGTTTGAGCAGAGTAGTCCAGTAATCCAGCTGAGGTTGTTTCGGGAGCGAAGTGATGTAGTTGATGTATTCCTTGAAGGGGGTACATTCTGGGATAGGCTCATTGCGCGCGAGGGCCAGGAACTGGTCGTCGAAGATGTGTAGTAATGTGCCGTCGTAGGAGGCGTGGTCGAGCTTGATGACTAGATCACGGTCTCCAGTAGTGGCGTCCGTGAGGAGGGCGTAGCGCACGAAGGGTCGGGCTGGATCGAAGCGTCTCTCCCAGTTACTGTCGAGGAGAGACTGTTTCTCCTCTTCACTGCTGTACGTGTGGTAGGTAAGGTTGAGAGTTGCATCGCGCAGAATAACCTGCACTGCTGTGCGCGGATCACGGCTCTCGTCTGCGTACAGGTACAGTGCGCGCAGTATCTGGTTGTGCTGCGTGAGTTGCGTGGTCAGGCTGATCCAGCGCGCAAAGTCAAAGTCCGATGGGAGTCGCCGGACGGTCATAAGCTGCCAGAATTGCTCAGGCTTGTTGCCCTGCGTGAGGAACTCGATCTGGCCTGGGCTCAGGGGATAGATGTCCTCCACTTCGGGGCGGGAGATGCCGAGCTGCGCGAGCTGGTTGTACATGGTTTCTGTTGGTTGGAAGGTCGGCGCTGCTGGGGCTGGGGATGGAGCTGCTGCTTCCGCAGGCTCATCGATCAGCAGCGCGGCCTGGTCGCGCAGTGTCCGTGACGAGAGGATGTCGTTCACCCGCACCTGGTATCCGTCCTGTCGGAGGAGACTGACGAGGTTCAGGGCCGAGATGGAGTCGCCGCCGAGGGCGTGGAAGGTCGAGTTAGCGTGGATGTCGTCGGCCGGGGTGTCGAAGAGCTTGGCCCAGAGGTGTTGCAGTCTGTGCTCTGCTGGGGATGTGATAGCGGATATCTCTTCAGCTGGCAGATAAGCCTTGAGTTCGTCGTCAGCTAGACCCTGAGCGAGTGCCAGCAATCGCTTGCGGTCGATCTTGCCAGAGCCCATCAGGGGAAAATCCGACAGTGGGAGCCAGATTGAAGGGACCATGTACTTGGGCAGAGTGGTGAGATGGTCTTTGATTTCATCCAGAATCGGCGCTTGCTCTGGAGCCAGCAGTACCACCTCCCTCGAGCCCGGAGCAGAAGTCGAGCAGAACGCAACGAGCTGCTTCTTCTTGAGCACTGTCGCGGCAATGACAGCACACTGGCTGAACAGCCCCGTCTGCATAATGACACTCTCGATCTCACCCAGTTCGATCCGGTAGCCGTTGATCTTGACTTGGTCGTCTTTGCGACCAAACAGCTCGATATCCCCGTTGGGCAGCCATCTTGCTAGGTCGCCCGTCTGGTAGATCCGCCCGTCAGGCCGGTTCCGGAATACCTTATCTGTGGCATCTGGACGCTTCAGGTACCCCCGTGCTAGCTGCGGCCCGGCAAGACACAGCTCGCCGACTTCGCCGGCGGGCACGGGCTGCAAGGTGTCAGGGTCGAGGATCTGCGCGCTCACATTGCGGTAGGGCCGGCCGATGTTGCGCAGGTTCATGTCGGGAGTGACGTGCGTTGTGGTGACGCAGATGGTGGCTTCGGTTGGCCCGTAGGCGCTGTGGACGGTGATGCGCGGCGCCCAGACGGTCTGCATATGCGGCGTGACGGGTTCACCGCCGGTAGCGAGGATTTGCAGCGTCGGCACATCGTCGGGATGGAAGAGACCGGCCATGGTGGGCGTTACGCAGACGGCGGTAACTTGCATGGCGTTGATCAGGCCAGCTAGGTTGCCGACGATGGTGTTCTGAGGTGCTACGCAGAGTGTGCAGCCGGTGGCTAGGGCGGAGAAGAGCGAGAAGAATGATCCATCGAAAGTGTAGTTGAGAGCCCAGAGGATCCGGTGCGAGTTGTCCATCTGTGTCGACTCGATGATGCCCTCCACTGCTGTGGCTAGGGCTCGGTGCGTGAGCAGTGTGCCTTTAGGTTTGCCTGTGCTGCCCGAGGTGTAGATCAAATATGCCAGGTTATCTGGCGTGAGGTCAGGGACGATCTCACGCTGGATGGGCATGGCGTCCCAGTCCAGGTCGTCGATCACGATCACCTCGTACGTGAGATCGTCGAAGAATCTCGCGCTCTGACGATCCGTGATGACCACCTTGGCTTCACAGTCCTCCATGATGCCCAGGTTGCGCTCCCGAGGGTTCTCCGGGCCAAGAGGCAGAAAAGCACCCCCGGAGACCATGACACCCAGCATGGCGATGATGGTGCTGATGGACTTCTCCAGCAGAAGAGGGACCACCTGCTCCAGAACAACGCCTTTGGCGCGCAGCAGCCCAGCCAGCTGGTTGACCTTGATGGCCATGCCAGCGTAGGTGATACTGGCGCCAGTGGCATCCTCGACAGCTGTGCGAGAGGGGTATGTGCAGGCGATGCGATGGAAGGCAGAGTGGCCCAGTTCGTCGTCAGCTGGGCTGACCTTCGCGACTTCGACCGGCCCATCAATCTCCCTCTCAACACCATTCACCACACCGTCTCGCACGAGCTCCATCTCCTTAATTCTGGTACCTGGTGCCTCGGCGGCCACTTTCAAGATATCAGCCACAGACTGCACCAACACCCTGGCATACCCATCCTTCAACATAGACGACAACGTCACCCGGCCCAAGTCCTCATTGCTCAACTCCAGCTTGATATAGTCATGCGTTCCGTAGTTCTTCTCCGGCAGTATAGTCAATCCTCCAGCCGTAGCAGCCATACTATCCACCTTGATGAGGAAGTTGACCGTCGTATCAAACAGATCCTTCGGCTGACGACTCACTTTCAGTATCTTGCGCAGGCCGTACTGCGCATGGCGCGCCACATCCCACAGACTAGCTTGCACAGAGGCCAGATGCGCCTCGAACGAGTTGTTCTGGTCAAGCTTCACCCGCAGCGGAGCAATCATCAGCGTGGGCCCGCTCATCTGCAGGATACCTGGAATTGGGGCTTCTCTTCCGGAAAGAGTGACGCCGAGCACGACGTCTGTGGAGGAGGTGGCACGAGCGAGGACGAGGGACCAGGCGGCGTAGAGGAGCATGCTGGGGGTCACTTTCAGTGCGGAGGCTGTGGATTTCAAGTCTGTGGTTAGGGAGGCTGAGACGAGGGTCTGCTGCTCCGTTTGGGCGCCTAGGCGTGTGGGGACTGCGCCGTCGAGGTATTCCTTCCAGAAGGTCTGCATGGTGGGTTCGTCGTGTTGCTGGAGGTGTTTCACATATTGACTGAAGAGAGGGCGCTGGATAGGTGCCGACCCCGTTAAGAGGGAGGTCAGGTCCTGTGGGAGGAACTCGCTGGACCAGTAGTCGAACAGTGCGTGGTGGATAGTAATGGCCAAGATGTTGTCTGGCAAGGCGGCTGCGCGCCACCAGAGACCGCCGGCGTGCATAGGCTTCTGGATCTGCTCCCGCATGTAGGATTTCACGTCCATGGAGGACATCTCCCAGGGCACAGGGGCGGATTTGCGCACGACCTGCATGAACGATACCCCGTCTGGGATGAAGGTCGAGCGTAGGAAGATCTCCCTGTCCATGAGGGATGTAAGTGCGCGCTTGACTGCCGAGGCACTGTGGCCGGTGAAGCTGTATGACCGGCTGTAGATGTACTTGGTGCCACCCAGCATAGTGTTGGCAATGATGGCTTCTTGGAAGGGCGTCACTGGGAAGGCGTCCTCGACGTCGGCCATGTTGATCCCGAAACGCTCGAAGGAGGGGGTCTCTCGCAGAAGTGTGAACGGCACATGGCCATTCACTGCGCTGCCTCCGGTCTGAATGAGACCAGCAACCTGGGCGAGCGACTGCCCGAGAATGATATCCTCCACGCGCAGAATCATCTCATGCTCAGTCTGCAGTTGCGACACGACTTGGATAGCTTCCAGTGATGTACCACCCAGCGCAACGAACGAGTCTTCCACTGTGATATCCTCCTCAGCAAAGGATAGGAACCTCGCCCAAAGAGCCCGGACAATCATCTCCTTCTCCGTCCAGACCACTCCGTTAGACTCATTCTTAGGTCGGTCCGGCAGCAACTGCCCCGACTTTGCGAAGTCTTCGACGATCGCGCGAACGGCAGCCATATCTAGCTTCCCATTTGCGTTTGTCGGCAAAGCGGCCAGCGGAACCCAGAACCCAGGGACCATATAGCGCGGCACCCTGGACGCCAGGTACGTGCGCAGGTTCGCCACGAGCGAGGCCCAGTCGCCGTCAGCACGACTCACCACCACTCCCACGAGGGCTGTTTTCCCGCCTACGACTGCAGGCACCACAGCCGATTGCTTGACTTCCTCGTAGGACTGGATGACAGCGTTAGGTTCGGCAGGATCCACGCGCTGGCCGTTGATCTTGACCTGGAAATCGATTCGGCCGATCATCTCGATCGACCCATCGGCGTGGCGTACGGCTAGGTCGCCCGTGCGGTAGAGCTTGCCCTGGCCGAAAGGGTTGGGGATAAACCGCCGGGCTGTTTCTTCGGCATTGTTCAGGTACCCGCGGGCGAGCTGGGCACCGCCGAGACAGAGCTCACCTGGGATAAGCAATGGAGAGAGGGCGGTGGTGCCGGGGACAAGGATGTAGGACGTTGTGGTGTCGAAGGGCTGCCCGATGATGCGGGATGAACTCTGGGTGTCTTGGAGTCGGTAGCGCCAGTTGAGTTGTGTGCATTCGCTGAGGCCGTACGAAGACAGCAGCTCGACGCGATGAGACCAGGTTTGTACCACGGCTGGGTTCACCAGCTCGCCGCCTAGGACCATTCGGCGCAGCGAGGGTACATTGTCTGGTGATAGCAGGGATGCTGTGGTCGAGGTCATGTCGACTGAGGTGATGTGCATGCTGTTGATTGTTCTGGCCAAATGGACAGTCAGATTGGCCTTGCTGGCCAGACATAAACATCCTCCGACGCTGAGCGTGGCCCACATGGATCGCTGAGCTGCGGAAAAAACGGGGTTAAAGAAGAGCAGCTGGCGCAGGTCGAGCATCTTGGGGAAGGCCAGGAGGCCGTTATAGGCGGCTTGGTGCTCCAACAGGACTGCTTTGGGCTTGCCCGTTGACCCGGAGGTGTAAATCACATACGCCAGGGCGCTGGCGTCCTGGTCGAGAGACAAGTCGCTGTCGTCGTTGCCCATGGACTCGCTCAGCAAGTCACGGACCTTGTGTTCGTGGGGAAATTCACCTGCTGTGTCTGAATCGACCAGAACAAATTTCGCCTGAACATCCTCGACGATGAAGGACTTGCGGCTGGCCGGTGCATCCGGGTCCAGGATCACGTATGCGGCGCCAGCCTTCAAGATAGCCAGCAGGGCGACAATGAAGTCGGCCGATGTACGCATGTGCACGGGGATATACGATGCACCGTATGCGCGCAGTAACCGAGCCAACTGGTTCGCGCGTTTATTCAATGTGCCATAGGGAAGGGGAGCATCCAGCTCGAATTGAACGGCATGGGCATCTGGTCTCAGCCGGGCTTGTTTCTCAACCAGGGCATGCACCAGCCCACGACGGGCCCGGATGGCAGCCTTTCCGTATTCATGAAGTAGCTGCCTCTCTGCTGGGGATGTCAGGTTCACTGCTGCAATGTTTACTAATGGGTTCTCGACCACCTGCTGCAGCGTAGCGGCAAAATGATCAAGCAGTACTCGGACGTTGGTTCGCGGCACGGCCAGGTTATGCCGCATGCTGAGCTTCAGCCCGGAGGAGGCCGACAGATTCAGTACGAGGGGAAAGTCAGCATCGGCTGTCATCACCTCCTCACTATCATCAGGTATAATGGAGACTTTGACTTGTGGCGGTGCAGCGCCTGTCCGCGCGAGGATCTGCTTGTAGCCCAAGTGCGAGTGTGTTGCTGCTTCAGCGCTGACGGTACCAACGTATCGCATCCACGATAGGGCTTCTATGCCCTCAGGAACAGTCAGGACCAGGGGGAAGTCCTCCTGGTCTTCTAGCCCTTGTTGGGTGCTGTCTGATCCGAAGAAGGACCGGTCTCGTCCGGCTACCGTGAAGATGGCGGTGCGATGGCCACCCGCCGTGTGTCGAATAGACACGAGAGCCCATATCCCATATATCAAATCATCTAGTCGAATGTTGTATCTCTCACTAAAGTCTAATGCCGCTTCGAAAAGATGCTCAGGGGCGCGGATAGTAGTCTCAGATCGTGGCCATTGGTGATCGAGAGGAAAGGAATGGAGCTGGGGTTGGGCTCCAACATGAGAAAATAGGTCGGTCCAGTATTCCGCGGCATGTTCTGAATCCTGGACAGGTTGCGAAGAGATCTGCTCGTGCCCCTTCAGGGATTGGTATGTGGGAGGCGAGACAGGATGGGCATCTTGGATCTCGTAGTAGGAAATCATCTTGTCACATCAAGATGCAAAACAGAAACTAGGATATGCAGTAGGAGGTATCAATGCCTCTACTTGCTTGCTGCAAATGCATGATCCTGGCTAGATATTATGCTCCCTGGTCTTGTATAATCCCAGTCATTCTTCGATTTCTGCTCTCGTATCTAGTGGGTCAGAGGGCTTCGTGAATCCGCGATGCGCCATCCTGCGATCCTGCAGTCTGACACACACTCGGCAGTTCGCCACGAGGGCCCCCGCCGTGCATTAGCTTCGGCGGTTGGGCTAAACGGTTTTGCAGGGGCCAGTGGTGGGCATCGGGGCAGTCACGAAGGTGGTGGACGGTAAGGCTAAGCAATCCTTCCAGAGCGCGGCAAGACAAGGGTTTGGGCGGTAGAGCTAAGATGTAAAGGTGGCATTTGTCAGTGGTGGCAACATGGTTAGGAGCAGGCATACGTTCGTGTCTGACTCGTTGTGGCCATGGCGTTGCTGAGACCAGAGGTGCTGTGCTCGGTCATCTACGTGGCTATGAATATACAGACATGTCAGGTGGATATGTTTTCAATCTCAAGAAAAAGAAAGTCGTCATTAAACATGCCAGGATTTGTATGAATCCAGGCTCATGTACTATCTATAACCCAGAGAGGGAGATGGTCCCAAATTCTAAGTAGAGTAATGCATCTATCTGCATCCATCAGAGCAGTCTTCTCCAGCACTGCTTCCCCATATCCCCATTTTTACCTCTCCAACTTAGTCTAGACACCACCAGCACCACCAGCAATGAACAGCTTCTCACGCTTCATGCACACACTCAACACCACTACCAGCGCCGCCGCCACCATCGACAGAATATACGAGTTGTTTAGCGCCTTGACAATCGCCTCCAACACCCTGTCCTTCGTTTCCTGACTGAGTCCATCAAACAATTGAGACCCAGTACCCGTAATGGCCAACTCCACCTCCGACGAAGACACATTCGGTAGAACCGCCTTGATGCCCTCCACACTCTTGTTTAGGAATACCGCATTGGCAATGGCCAGAGCGATCGTGCACCCGGAGATCTGCGCACAGGTAATGAAACCCACCGCTGACGGGGCCATATGCGGCTCAGCCACGGCCTGGGCAATGGAGAAAGAAGCCTGAGAGAACAAGCCCACTCCGAACCCAATCAGCACCGTGTAGCCGTAGATGTGTGCGACCGAGGTCGTAAGACCCACGGTGTACATCAATGCGCTACCAATCAGGCAAAGAATGCCACCGGCCAAGAACCACGGCATGTACAGCCCGTGCGCAGACAGAATAGCGCCGTTTCCAATGACCGCCACGATCATCAGGATGATGAAGGGGAGCAGCCGGACACCAGACTCGAGGGCAGAGTCACCGCGCGTGAACTGGAAGAAAAGCGGGCACATGTAGACGGGAAGGAAGATGAGGGTACCACCGGCAGCAGTCATGGCAAAGAGGATAAGGATGGTGCGACTGCGGAGGAATTCAACGGGGAACAGACGTCGTTCCTTGGTGGTGAAGACAGGAATGCCCTGCTGGATACCGAGCAGGATGAACAGCACGCCCGAGCAGCAGAATAGACCGATGATCTTGGCCGAGTTCCAGGGATACGTCGCACCACCGAAGGAAATGGCCATGACACCGGAGATGAAGGCGCCAATGGTCAAGACACCACCCAGGTAGTCGATCTCGCGAGCGCGGGCTCCAAGGCTGACGCCGGGCCGGGGGTCTTTGTTGGGGAGCATGAAGATGTAGACAGGGGCGCAGACTGCACCGATGCACAGGTTGATGTAGAAGGACCAGCGCCAGCCAGCAGATGAGTCCGTGAAGGCGCCCCCAATGATGGGACCCAGCACGGTGCCCACACCCCAGGTGAAACCGGCGCCACCGACATACGTGGGCCGCTCTTTCATGGAGGTGGTCACGGCCAGCATGGTCATCAGACCGACGTACATGCCGGCGCCGGAGAAGCCACAGATAGCACGACCGACGATGAAGGCATTCATGGTGGGTGCGGAGCCACAGACGGCGGACCCGATTTCGAAGATGGCAATGCAGATGATGTAGGTCCATTTGGCGTTGAACTGGGCAAAGATCTTACCCCAGACGAGGTTGGTCGAAGCAGCACCGATGAGGAAGGCCACACTGATCCAGGACAGCTTGGAAATGGAGTTGAAGTCCTCGACGATGGTTGGTTGGATGTTGGCGACGATGGTGTTGTCTAGGGCGAAGAGGAACTGCGAACTGTAGATGGCCGCCACGACAATGGCCCACTTCCAGCCGGTAATGTCGCGCGGAGGAGCTTCATCTTCCTTGGAAGCATCGACCTGCTGGTCCTCCGAGTCCAGGTTGGAAGCAGCGGACTTCTCAGAGAGTTGGCCCTCTTCCTTTTCCAAGGAAGGGTGGTTCATCATGGCGTCGGCAGCCATTGGGAGGGACAATAGAAGGTAGAAGGGTCAACAAAAAACACTTGTCAAAGATTCCACTGTGCTCATCACCCTTCCAAATCATTTTCAAGCAAAAAAAAAGCCATCAGGGTATATAAAAGAAATAGAAATCCCTAGCAGCAACCCGGAGTCTCCCACCAGCCAGCAACCCCCAATCCTTTGCAATCCTTTAGGGCCGGGGCCTCCCACCCGCCCTTAATTTCTCACCAATTTTCAGTCAGGCCCTCGGCCTCTCCCACTGGCCTGCAGGGTCGGAGTAATCTGACACTCATTCCTAAGCGGGCTGCAGCTTATTCTAGCCCCGTGGGATAGACTTTTAGCTTGTTTTAGTTCGTGGTTGAGTCGATTTGGAGACAATAATGCCGCCCGATATTAGTCACGGCGCCCAAGTCGTGATTCCTGCAGCTTTTAGCTCTACCGCCGGCGCCCACCAACAGCATCTCACCAATCAGTTATGTGAGGGTGAGAAGCTGAAAAAGAAGAAAATAGATGGCCGGACCATCCCTCACTTTATTCCTAATAGATACTGCAGAAATATCTGGGGTGTATAGCTCCGGAGTGATTGTTAAGCATAGTGGGAGGGAATAGTTACTAACGATAGAACTGGAGGTTAGAAGAGATGGAGGTTGTTGGCCAATGATTATAGCTTCTACATAATCCCTCTGAGATCCTCGTACTTAGGGGGTTGGACTTTGATTGAGGATTCTGGAAATCTTGATTCGAATTTCATTAATCTATCGTTATTATTCATTCTATCGTCACTCATAATCGGCATCTCTATGTGGGTATGGTACTTTTCCCTCTATCGAAGCAGCACATAATCCCCCCGCTCATTCATCACTGAAACCCAGTCGCAATCCGATGTGCGACTTTTCCTTGCCTTCCAACATTCCTCCATCACTCGATATGCCTCTGCCAGTGTTCCCTCCGTGGCCTTCGCCGTCGTGAAGAGCTCCCGGAAAGAAGGCTGTTGTTCGGGCTGCGCTAAACAGCCCACGATGCAAAAAGGCCACACCACACTCGACAGGAGTCGCTGATCGCGAAGCATCTGGAACACAAGAATGGCCTCGGAAACAGTTTGTGCAATCTCCGGCAGCTCGGGATGAGCCCCGGAGAGCACAACATGGAGATAGGCGATGGCTCCAAGCCCAAACGCCTTGTTGATTCCTGGGTGAGCCCGAGAAACGCCCGGGGTAGCCGAAGAGCCCCATGCTGCAAATGGCTCTGAAACGGAAATCTGCTCGAGATCGGCGAATTCTCGTCGTAGTCGCTGCTCCAATTGCCCACCACGCTGTGCTAATTCAATGATGCTGAGCTTACGAGCCGCCTCAGACTCGTTCTTCCATCGATCCAGCGCAGAAACATCCGCGATCAGGGTCATGATTGAGTTCCGACACCCTATTAGACTTTCTAGAGAAATCCCGAAGCGGTCCAGTACCTGGACATGATCAATATCCAGAAAGGGAGCCCTCCGGGTAGAAGCAGAAGCGATAATATCCATCGACACGAGAGACCCAAGGAGGAGTCTCGCAGTAGAGTCGTCTTCGGGGGACGGGCTCTGATTGTCTAGCGGTATACTTGGGCAGATCTGGCTCGATGTCTCGTGAGGTGTAGAAGACATCCGCACCTGCATGAACACAGGCATCAGATTGCCAGCCAGCCGAAGAAGCCATTGCCAGTTCTTAGTTCCGCCAGCAAATATCTGAAGAAGTCAGTACCTTCAATCGCACCGTATCATCAGGTTGAACCACCTACCTCCCAATACAGAAGTTGAAGTATTGAAACAAGTCCCTCAAGACTGTGCGTAATTTGGCTCTGTGCATTCCAGCTAAACGAGTCGGCCATGATGCGTTGCATTCCCTGAAGAGCCAGGTCGTGATAGCCATCTTTGGTACGTAATTGCGCCAGTCGTGCCGGGAATTCACTTTTAGGAAGCGATGTCGAGAGCAAGTCGAGCTCACTGAGAGCCAAACTGGCATAGTATGCGGGTTTGATGCGCCGCAGAAGTGAGAGAAGCCAACCTCTCCCTTGTCGGTCTTGGGTGTGGTAAAATGGATATTGAATGTAGAAGACCCGGTCCAAGTAGTGCATCAGTAACTCATCCTCGGATCTGCTTCCCGGGATGGGGTCAAGGGGTGTCCCGGGCCACGAGATGGTCTGTCCGCAGGTTGCAGCTGCCAGCATATGCATGCCGGACGTCGGTTGCAGGCTTGTCGGGTCAGGAGACAAAGTAGGTTCTTTCTGCAGGTGGGGGCTATCCAGGGATGCGCTCCACATCAAGTCATCCAAGTCCGACAGGGACGATTTACTCATGGCCAAGCCAAAATCGTCCGAGTTCATCATGTCACCCCATGCAATTCCGGGCTCTTGCGTTTCCAGCACGTTTGGGGTTAGGAGTCCTTCTACTGACGATGAGGGAGACGAAGGGTTGTGCGCCCACTCTAACTGCTTCGAGAACGTGGTATAGTCTTCCTCAGGGAAGACCGAGGTGCCTTCAGGGGTGGGGAGCTGGTGGAGAGGCACGGTGCTGTACACCAGCGTACTATTATTAATAGCAGCCACATTGCTGTCTCGGGTTAGACCTTGCAGTTCGTCTGGGGCTACATTGAAGAAAGGGTAGACTAGAGTAATCGATCTTAGTGCGGGTCCTTTGCTTGACATCTGTAGATGGAGACCCTTACCGGTATTGCGGGCTGATGGGCGAGTAGAAAGGAGAAGTTTCTGTCTTCTCTTTCTTGACCGGGCCTGACTAACCATCTGCCGGAACTTCGAGGCTTGCTCATTTTGCAGGGTCCCATTGTCCATCCAATACGGCCGCGGACCGTATCCGTGGCACTCGAGGTCCAAGGAGATGCATCGGGTGCATGCCGGGCGAGTCTCATCGCATTTCTTCCGGCGGACACGGCATGTCCAGCAACCATTGAGACTTCGTGCGGCTGAAATAGCAAGCAGGGAATGTAAGTATGGGAGCCGGGATGTTGCGCACAGCAGACGAGCACAAGCAAGAGAGAACAGCTGGGCTTACGGATTTTGGTGGCTGCAGCCATCATATGCGGTGCAATCTTGCTGGCTTGCCGGGGAGTCTAGCAAATGAATAGGATCCGGTTACTCAACATTCCATGAAACCTTCTCCACGGATGAAGTTGCGGGTTTGTTCCATAGTATTATATATGCTCTGGTATGGCTTCGAGGGATTGGGGCCAAAAGATAGACAGATGGAGGCTGAAGCACCGAAAGTCACTAACACCATGCAGTAGGCTCACTCGCCGATTGGGAAACTAATTGGATAATTGGCTGATGGCTGGATGAACGGACGGATGGGCTGTTCCTTCTGACTTTCGCCGCCATCGCAACGACTACTATGAGGGACTAGTTCCAGTACCTACCTACCTACCTCCCTGCCTACCTGCCTGCCCAGAAACGTACCGCTGCAGGTCAGATTGGTTATACGAAGAAACCGAGTTGTGAAAATAACCGACTGAGTGTAGGGGGCACCAGATAGAATGACCTGCCCCCAGTCTACGACCCATGGGGGAAGCTTTGACATGCGGTGCCGTTCCAATGCCGAACGACCATGGCGACGATGGCATCATGGGTCCAGCCGGTAGAGCCAAGGACTTTTACGATGTCCCCTCCCCCACCATCCTTCAGACTAGTGGGTCTGCAGAAAGGAAAAGCACCTCAATTCTCCGCGTGGCGTCCAGGCGATTCCTCGTGGGATCTCACCTTGCATGGAAGGGCTCCTGGTAATTTCCCACGTGAGTGACAGGATGGCTACTGTCTCTCGTGGGTCTGACTGCAGCCTACATGGAGCGTACTTGAGCCGATGCTAACCTATCTGACTACACCTAGCCGAGTGGGACATTGAACTTTTGCAAGGGGCAAATTCAGTTCTCGGAGTAAGAAATCTGATCCGGTGATGACTTGAAACAGCCCGTAGTCTTTAGTGCTCACATGGTAGTCGAACGGCGTTCAAGTCTTTTGACGGACGGTACACGAGGATCAGGCGGGATCTCTAGGACCTTAGACTAGTTTGTGAGACTACCATGGATACGGATAGTAGCCAAGAACAACAGTTGGCTTGGGGACAGCTCAAGTCCGAATCGTACCAGAACACCCCAATTTTTACCCCTTTTATTTTTCCCATGAGAAGATCGAGTTCTGCTGAAGATTTTCTTCAGCGCGGCAACCAGTAGACGGTCCAAGCAGCAGATGCCGGTGGTCATGGTTCTAAGCTTGTTGCAACGCCAGTCCTGATGTTCCTTAAGCCGTTCGGGGATGGTTCTAGAATTGCCGTCGCGCATTAAGTTCTGTACGAGAGATCACCCTATTCAATCCTGGGAGGGTGTTGCGTCGTGAGTAAGAGGGACCCAGAATAACTTAGCGATGTGATGTCGCGAGGAACAGCGAGCAATCACAGAGGGAAAATGGATCCATATTCCAACAACGGGAAGGATTGAGGCGTGGGAGCGTCCGGAGGATTTTAATCCCATTCCTCCCACTGGTGGTGGATCTGGTGTCAGCCTCTAGCCTTTCGCTTTGTCGGGGCGTCCAAGCGCATATTCTTCAGCAGGTCTTGGACTCGGACTGGGAGCAGTGGGCGTCCCCGATCGATCTGAGGTCAGCTTCAGTACGCAGCACCCAATACCACGCTAAGCTTAAGCGATCAATCCAGTCAAGTGCATCCATTCTCAGTGGGACAATCCGGATGGGCAAATGATCTGATGTCAGCTTCGGCGTGGGAGTTTCCGGCCGAATTAAGCAAACACAGCCCAGCCAGTGGGAGCACCCGCGGGCATTTTCTTCTGCGGGTGAGATTGCCCGGTCGATCCCATGCTCGCTCTGTAGGCACAACAGCAGCATCTAGAACCCCTTAATCAGCCCAGCGGTGGGATATCCCCATTATCAATGTCCCCTAAGCGGTGGGAGTATCCGGCTCCGCCGTGCAGTGTGGGTTAAGTGGGAGTGTCCGGGGTTCTGGG